CCATCACTTCCACTGACCACCGGAAGGTCTTGACACCTGAGTCTCCAGTCACTTTCGCTAATAGCGACACGGGACTCTGCCTTATTGACAAGGAAGGAAGGAAAGGAGAGGAGGAGGGGAGGTGTTCGTGAATGTGACGCCTCTGAGTGATTCATCACAAGCAGAATCAAGTGATTTCTCGGAACCATTTCTTGTCAGTACATTCTGCTACCACACACCACACCTCCTCCAAATAGGCCTCAGGAAATGAGATGAGAATCCGTAAATTTGACAAGCCTAACCCATATTCACTGGGCTCAGGCCAAAGTAGGGGGAAGGAAAGGAGACAACATATCTTGAATAGGTGAATCAAATCAACCGAGCCCACTTGACAAGTCCTCATGATTGATAGGCTGTGTAAGAATCCGCACCTGACATACATGTAGGCCTTGCAGTTGCTGAATTCAAAGTACTCATCCCTAAATTTGAGGCAGAGGCACCGTTAGTGATATCCAGTGCAAAAGTGAGAATTAAATGCAATTTTAAAAAGAAGTCGAAGAAAATATTTAGCATAAATAATTGCAAAGTGGTTGCCAGTACCTACGAGTCAACCTGACACCCACTTTTGAAATTTGTTTTAAAAAGGTTACTTTTTGAATAAAATGTTTGCATTATTAACAAGTGATGGGCTTTCGTGTTATAAGGTATTAATGTTGGGGGCAGAAGAGGTTGGATTTAGAGAGAAAAGACTTCGGATTCGGGTTTTCACCGTCCTAGTCTCTAATGGGCAGACCTGACGGCATCCATCCTTGCGGCCAAAATTGTTGCCTTAGCGACATTAATGTTGTTTGTCGTAGCAGTACCCGCCAAAATGCCAGGCTCTGTAGTGGCGGGAAGGATGACGATTGTTGGACCATGGGCCAAAATCAAGAAGGGGAAGGTTTGGTCGAATCCATACATAGCATGCACCTGAGAAGTGACTTGCTCCTCAAAACAAACCAAAATGGCATGGAGCTTGCGGATGACGGTGTGACTGTCTGAACCGACGGAGTCAAAACTATCCCCCACGTCCATATTTCATCGGTTTTGGATGATACCACTGAAAGGAGGGCAATTGTGGTACTACAGCACACGCTGGTGGGAATCAACTGTGTCTTATTCACAGTCCGGTCCAACCATCGTTAATCCAGATGGAAGTCCACGGTGGTAGCGAATGCGTGACTGCGTGCGTGCAACAGTTTGTGATAATAGACGGAGACCTCAAACCCAAACCACAACCCACGGACTTCAGACAAAGTACAGTACCGTGCGCTGATGGTACGGGCAGTTGCTGACAGACGGTCGGACAATCGAATGGTCTGAATGCATTCATCTCCAAGATGGTCTGCCTTACCTCAGTCAGCCACCATTCCGATCACGGTGGTTACCAACACACATCACAACAGCGGGTCATTCTTCTAGGCATTTAGCCAACACGTGTAACACCACATTCTGGATGTTCGATGACAAGATCTTGCAGCAGTCGTGGAAATGGTAATCATTTAGAAATAATTGCAATTTTAAAGGATAGCAAGAGCTGGATACAAAGTCACCTGGTCACCTTCCAATAGTACAGAGAAGTTGACTGCGGACAGGATTTGAATGATCCTTTTGACACCGAAGACAGAAAGTTTATAAATCCCTTTATTAGAGATGAAGAAACTGGATCACCTTAAATAGCTTCACCGTCAAAATTGACATAAGAGCCGTAGGAACATGGCTGAGGGAAAAATGATGAGGTCTCATTTCGCCCCTCGTGCATTGCATTCTCCTTCGTTCTACCATCAACGATGAATAGTGCCTCCATGCTTTTTACAAGAAGTACATCCACATCCATGGAGAAAGAGATCAGGTTTGATCATATAAATTTCTCACTTTCTTCCCTAAAACCCGAGCACCCATACTACTAACGATACTACTTACAAACTACGGAGGCTTGACGGAGGTCTTTCCCAAAATCCTTTCTGCAGTTCGAATCTCAGTCTGTTTGTATCCTCACATGTGTACCTCGGAGGTCATCGTTTCATAACCAATAATGCAATTAAGTAGGATAGTTCAGTAGTACACTATCTTATGCAACAATTTGTAGAAATCACTTTATAGCTGAGGTGAGTGGAATGAAGAACGTGTTTGATTGGATGTGGTCTTTTACATTTTTCATAACCACCGAAGCCTTCATTTAAAGAGAACGTTTTAGCATTCAACCATTTAAGCAATAAAAGCAATTTTAACTATGAGAAACCGAATTTTAAATGACTTCTAAAGTCCAAATCTTGATGATTTGATTACTTAAGGACTTAAATGGCTTCGGACTTTGCTTGGACGTGGCCCACATTTGCAATTAACAATTCAAGTAGTCCAAACTCTCCAAGTTTATACGTGCACAGTTGCATTAATCGCCTCTCCGCTTATTTAGCCTTCGCAATAGTAGACTTATTAATTGAAGGGCAAGCTAGACTCCGCCTTGTATCCAACCCACCGACAGCGCTAGAGTGACTCGAGGTTTCCTGCACTTCTGTGCTGAAAGCTTCTCATCTCTATGTGTAATGATTATGAAACACCAAAAAACAGTCAAATTTAATTGATCACCTTTCCTGTGCTTAAAACTAAACTCAGTCTTCCTCATTTTATCCTCACTGTCCCTCATTTTCTTTTCCTTCTATCAAGTATTGCTCGTCCACATGATCCTTGCATTTTAAACTGCTTTGTTGACCTCCAAAAAAGGGGCAAAAGATGAAAAGGGTTGGTAAAAGTTCTGCAATTACCGGGTTTGGTGGAGGCGTGACATTTCTTAAGTCACTCGAAGGTCTCTTCGGCGTGATGGAAATGCGATTAACTGGCCCATAATAGCCATCCCATCTAAAAGTTGTTTTGATTCCGAAGTGAGCCACCGCCCAGTGACTTATCAGTATCGTATCCTCGGCAAAGTGGGGTAAATAACCTACGTACGGTGTTGTTTTTGTTTTTACCTGATTAAAATTAGCCGCTAGAATGCGAAATTTACACAGACACGGTGTGGTCTGCGTCCCGAAATGATCTCAGTTGCATGAAAGTGGAAACCACCCGCCCCTAGCGTAAACAGCGCCACGTGAATACATCCTTTAAAACATGGATGTTTACGAACACCGCAAATTTATGTATCTAGATTAGTGGAAGGGGCTTCTAGACAGATCTGTTTGTTCATTTGTGTAGACCATCAAAGCCCTGTCCACATTAGTAAGGACTAGTCACTTTCTACATTGGTTGCTTCAAAACGCTTAAATCGTTTGTTCATTTCCAATCTAATGGATCTCGATGCTTCAGAAATAAAAGCTGGCACATTGTTTCGTGGTTTTTAATGTACCCTGATTCATTCAGAGCCTATGCTATTTGGCCACATTCAACCCGCTTGAATATTTGAAAGAGGTTTCGCTCAAGCCCGTAATAAGCCAGAGTAGTGTGGAAGGATGCCTATTGCCAACATCCAGAAAGATTGGAAGGCTACTGGCATGGCCCAAAGACCATACTACAGAGCAGAAGAGCATCCTAGAGAGGGGCTAAATTGACTATGCAATTAAACAAAGCCGAACACGGCATAGTCTCCCTCCTGAGTGTCGTCTCCGACGCTCCCCTGGGTCAATTCTCCGCATCGGCCATCACAGCGCAGTCGGTGCTTCATAATCCACTCATAAAAATCCGAGCCACTAGCCACGGAATTGTCTTGCACTTGATCTACAAGTCACTGATGCATCTCGACAATTCCAGAACATCTGAGGTTCCACCCTACATTACTTCACACTGCATAGAAGCAGCAGTGGCTCTTCAACGAAAACATCTTTTACGCCAATCGATAGTTGTAAGGAAAATGGTCCCTAAGCAGAGACAAGATTTAAAGCAGTTTCACAGGCCATATATTGTTCATATTTCCCCGCCTGACACTTTGTTCTCTCCTCACAGCCGCCCAGTTTCCTATCTGGATTCCACTTAGCCAGTGAAGACACGACGGTGCTATCCCTTGTCGACGTAGCTACCATCTACAGGTAGGTCTCGTTAACAGCTTTACGATGGCCTTTTTCAAATGGTTTCGCTTCAGCTGCTAATAGCATTCTTGCAGAACACGGGATTTCCATAGACCCTACTGAGGGAAGTCTTCACGGATTTTCCCCACTGCGACTGTACCACTGCATCTGTCACATCAAAGTCTTACGTTCAGCCGTCGAAATTAGGATGGATGTCCCAGTAAATCGAATTTGTTCGTTGCACCCACCACTGCAACTTCTCGTGTCCTAGTTGAAGCCGTAATAAGCCAAGGCAGTGCGAAAGAATGTGAATTGCCAGCACTATAGCTAATTAGCTAAACAATGCTACAGCGCGGAAGTACAACCTGTGGAGGGTTAAGTGACCACGCAGTTCAGCATACAACTAAATCAAATGTTAAAGTAGTACATTGCGTCAGGAGGGAGACCCTTAATAATGTCACGCCCCACCATTCCCGTGCTGCTTCCTTAATCATTCTTCAAACGTCATCCAGACATCCACCTAGATAAGAATGATCGCTGCCTTAGCGATAGCGACTTAGCTCTTGAACTATCAACATGGATGGTATCCCACGCTTGCTTAACTACAAATCCAGGTCAAGCATCCGGATAGTACCCCAGTGGACATTCATTCGTTTATCTGACAGGGTGGCTTGAACATCCCACTCTGAATAAGAGCGTAGGACAGTCTCTTGTAAAGAAACAACTTCAGGATATCAGTATCCTCAAACGAGATTATTTGGACTGCCCTTTCCAACGCCAACGATGGAGACCAAATGAGACGACACAGAAGCCAAATTGGAAGGAAGTACAGAAGACCATTCAAATCGCAAGTGTTACTCTTGATTCAAGTGTAAGAAGTAGCAAGACAAAGAATACAGGCGCGTGGAGTACGAAGTCAGTGGAACATCGAAGTAGGCAGAAGGGAACCAAAAAGGGCGGAAGGAGGAGAGAATAATGTCTTCGCATTAGAATTCGTTTTCATCGTGGTCTTTGTGACGGTAGCTCTCTTGATTTATCGCCTTCAGCCGATTCTGCAGACGCTCCAACTCTGCCATCTTGGAAGCTATGCTCGCCTTTGTCTCTATCACCTAAAACCAGCAAAAAAAAACGAAGAATAACAATCTAAGACCTGAAGGGATAGACCTGACAGTTTTTCCGACGTGGACCATGGACGTGTCTACGCGAAGATACTTGGTTTTGGTGGGGAAAAAATGATGCGAAATACCCACCATTATGAATTGTTTGTCTAATCACAGCATTTTATGATTTTCTTTTAAATTTTTGGAAATGACGATTAGGGAAGGCATTGTCGCTCAAGGTCATCTACTTGGACACTCCTCATTGGCTAATCAAGGTGTGATATAGAGAATGGGATATTTCCCAATTTGTGATTAATCAAATGAATAGTTTAGTCCTTTCCTGGTTTTTACATACCGCCTCTTTATTAGTGAGATACTGTTTAAAGAATAAATACTTAACAATCGAACCTGCAAATGTGAAACCATACGGCTACGACAAATGCATAGAGGATCACGAGTCAACTGCCTCCATTGTCTGCCATGCCTTTTAAAAGTGCAGTTAAAATTCATTTCTCCCGTAATTAAAAAGCGTTTGAGCAAAAGCCGCAAGCCATTAAACATTTGCTAACAATGTCCTTGCATTAATGGCCCCATTAGCAGTTCCGTATCACCACCTCCTACCATTTACTGAGTGATTAACTCACCTCCATAACAGATCGGCAATGTTGTCTGATGCCACGAAATGTGTTGAGTTTGTGGTCCTAGGTACCCTCAAACGACATAAATACGACTAGGGCGTATTTATGCCAGGTTGTCTGCTTTTTCCGGTGCCAAGGCGTGAGCCAATTTTGTGGTTTCAGAGACCCCTCCCCCCTCCGCCCAGATGTCATAAACTACTTTTCTTTTTAATTAATATTCTGGAAATAAAATCGCATGGTTTACCGAAAAAATATAATCGAAACACAGACAAAAATTGACACTAAAGTAGTAAAAGTGGGGTTTTTATCCTCCACTTAAAGCCCATTTGGCAACCCTTACAAGAAGCTCCTAATATAAACGGATGCAATTTTTAAATTCCTTTATCACAATTTACAGTTAGACTCCACAAATGCTCATACAAATTCTGAAAAAGTGCTTCAAGCTCGTCTCCGCTAGGAGCCTATAATTTGCTTTGTCGCACTAAATGACGAAGTGCTCCGTCAACAAAGAGGTAAGCACGCCTATAATTTTCCACTTGAAGAGTAAACAAATACCTCGACGCAATTAGATCGGAGATCTCAACCAAATCATTTGGAAGACTAAGTGAATGTTCGCCGTAGGTGGACGATTTCTATTTCAACAGCCGTGTGAGCTGTACCCTATGAAGCCATTCTTTAGCACTGGATCCTCTGGAACCTACCTAGATCTGGTCGACCTATTGTCACTCGGCCCCTTGAAACGTAGCCAATCTCACATGTGGGCAAAAAAGTCGGCAAAGAAAACTTCTCACGCACCTCTCTCATAGCCTCCACAGTAGCCTTCCTAGGACCGGAAGGCTCTAGGGGTTCATCAGGTCTATTTTTGGCCTTCTCCAACTCCGTCAGTTCAATCAGGCGTTCGGCGTGGCGTCGAACCGCGGAGGCTGTTGCGTTGAGGCCGCGCATCGAGGCGGAGTTGGCGTCCGCTTTGGCAAGACACGCGAAGATCAACTGACCGGTGTTGGAGACCACAGTGCGGGCTGCGGAAACGAGGTCCTCGGGTGCAAAACGCGGTCTCGCACTGTCTGCTGACGCGTCATTGGTATGCACTGCTACCAACGTCTCCGCGGCCTCGACCAGATGGACAGTGGCTGCAGAAACGTATCTCGCCTGGAGGGTGAAGGCCAATGGAAAAAAAGGTGATTCACGGAGCAAGAAGAAATGCAGCATGAGTGACTGGAGAAAAAAGAAAGGGAAAGGAGAGATAGCCCACACATTTTAGCCATATTTGCGAATCTTCTATTGTGCATCATTCCCGACTTACTGAATTCGAAAGCAGGAGAACAAAAACCGTTAAACTCACAGCAGAAACAAGTCCGCAGGTCCACTGCGATTCCGCCTCACTCTCGTCCACATTCTCACTAACCGGTTTCAAACGACCCTGTTTGACGAGTTCGCGTTGTGCCGCGGTGGCCCAGTGCATGAGACTGGCTGTCCCCTGAGCTAAACGCTTGCACGTCGCGAGGATGGCGTCCAGGCCCTCCAGACCGTCATTCTCATCATCCTCAGTCGGAAGTTTGGGACTACCGGGAGACTGTTTCTGAAGAAAAATCATTGGCACTTACCATTTCGCTAGAAAGGCTACTACACACCCAACGGTGAGAAGGCATGAGGACATGTGAGTCTGCAAAGCACCCCTCGGGAGGTTGTAACGAATGGCTAAAGGAATTCGTGAAATGAGGCAATTTTACCGACTGCTGTTGAGCCAGCCTGAAAGAAAAAAAATGCTTCTACCCCTTTTTTTGCATGTCCATGCATACAGAGGTTAGAAAATTGGATGTCACAGTCGATTCATAAGTGAAATGTTAATTTGACAGACTTGAAACGCGAAAGGTGCTCATACCGCCTCAGATGTCAGGAGAAGATGAGATGACGTTCACTAATTTATCTATGGCACCAAAGTGGAGGAAAAACCTACAAAAGGTTAATGAAAAGGAGCTACTTAGGAAACACTGATATCTGTCTCATACACCAAGTGAAAATAGGCGTCTGTGGCATCGCACTGATGCTCGCCATCGCAACAGCCCTCAATCCTACGATTTAGTACCCTAACAATGTATCATTATCGGGTATTTTATGAGTCAAGAAAGTCGCTTTAAACAATACTGGTGCCATCGGTAGCTGAGAGGTGCGACTGGTTGCATCTAAGACACGGACAATCTAAGCTACGCAAAACGGTGTGGGCGGGGAGTGGTACAATGACAATGGAATGATTAATACCCAAAAATGGAAAGGGGTTAGACGCAACGCACTTCACTCAAACAACGCACAAAAAATTGAGTGTTCATGCTGCAGCGATTACTCTGTCACACTTACCACAGGAACAACCGGCTCCTGCATGACAAAAAAAGTTATGCACGATTAGAGAGACACCTCAACGCCTTCGGAACAATGAGTGGCTATGAATAGACAATAAGCAGGCAAGAGCATTCCCATGCCACGTTGAAGAGAAGTTAGTAGCTAGCATACCCTTGCCCACTCTACAAATGGACCACTGGAGGCTGCAGTAAACAGTAAGATGTGAACATGTATATTGTCTAGGCTTTTACAGTAAATAGAGCTGTTACTGTGGCTTCATTATCATGCTGACATAATGATGTATGAGGGGGAGAGAGATGGAGTTAATGGGTGGGCTCATTAAAGTAGGAGGTATGGGGATTCGGGCTGCAAATAAAAAGATTAGAGCTCATTCACCTACTTATATTTGTTTCAGTAGCACTTGCACACCAAAGCGTGAGGTTAACGCTAATGTCAACCCTGTGCCGGTGAGGGCATTAAAACAACCTGTGCCCGAGAAAAATGTAAAATTATAGGAAAGTTGACGAAAATATACGTCAGTAACCACATGAAATCTCCTTCAGAGCATTGGGGCGAGTAAATTATAAGCGAATTTTCTGTCTCAAAAAGAGGAAAAGTATGATGTGAATTATGTTTCGCTAAAGAACTTAAGCGAATTAAAAGATGATCTAGGTAAGCAAAAATGTCATACACATTCACCTTTTAAGTAGAAATTTAGAATGGGTGCAAAAAAGGTTTAGTTTTGATGAGATGACCAACTGATGTTGAAATTTCAAAATTCCGACCTGCCTTGAGAAAATTTCATTTGATCCTACTAACTACTCCACTATTTAGAAAACAAAATATTAGTCGTATTTGTGGATTTTAGCAGAACTCAAATATTAGATTCTAGATCTTCAAGCTCCATGTCCAAATTTGTTGTCTTGGATCAGAAATTAAAACATTAAATGAAATATATAAAGGCCTGAAAGAAAAACAACCAGACTATGGCTTTTACTAGTCAATCAAAACAACCATTCATTTGAAAATACTGCTTAAATCTCTCTCACCAGCACCAGCATTGGGTTCACCTCCCCCAACCAATAAGAAATGAGATCAGAAAAGTCAACCAATAGCAAAGCGACTGAACTCACCGCGGCTTTGGACTGCAGCTGAGTAAGTTTTTCCATGGACTGCTCAATCTCAGAGGTAAATCCTCGCAACTCCTCGGTGCCTGCAGCGTCACCGACGTCGGTGGCGATGTTAGCCGCCTCCTTGATACTGAGCGCCAATTCAGAACGCTTCGAGAAGGATTGAGTGGTTAGAACAGGTTGTTTCAGCGGTTGCTTATGCTGCGAAATGGGTCTGGGGATTTCTGTTGTCTCTCGCTGGCGAAATACTGCAGAGGGGGTATCTAGATGGAGGGTGATAAATTGTAGTCAATAAACAATGAATGATGAGTGAGTTGAGACCTCCAATACATTTTTTTCTTTGACAAACCACCCAATCAAATCAAAAAACTCTAAGCCAATTGGAGAGTAAGCGTACCAGATTCGCTAGAGGTACCTCTACCTCCAGGCATTTGTTTCACACCTTCGACAATCTCATAGACAGTCTCACGAAGCCGTCGCATAGCCAGGGTCACTTGCATTGCCGGAGGCTGTCCTGAACCCGGGTCGTCCAAGGACTAGGTTCAAAGGAATCATCATTAAAAACGAATTCACGTATGCATAAACATGCGCTCAAATCCTCCCCACCTTGATCATATTCTCCACCATGACGCCCAACTCCTGCAAAGTGGATTTACCACCTTCAATGGCGCGGCTACAAGCTTGAGCACAGCTGGTCTTCTCCGCATTAAATTCTGAGCCATCAGTGGTGGAAGTCTTGCGAGTAGCAAGCACGACAGCACACGTGCCGCACCGTAATCGTCGAACAAGGTCGTTGGCGGCCTTGTGGATTACCTCACCGGCCACGCTGATGTCCGCCAATTTGCGACCTGCAGCTGTGGCGCTGTTTGCTTTCAGCGCGGCCTGAGTGATGCCCAAAGCAGCCTCCTGGATCTGGCGTGGTGTAGTGACGTCGTTCGCAGCTACCTCGCGTTCGAACTCGATGGTGTCTGGGATGAAATTACGAAAACTTAGAAGTGTGAAACCTCAAATGACTTTGGGAAAATTAACGTTTTCCTTACGCAATATAGATTGGTGATAATGACGTTGATCAACTCAGGAGTTCTGGTAACTCAATCCAGCAACTGAAAAAGCACACCATCCACTCAGATTCAGTGTAAAACCCTACCTCCATCACTAAAAGTGCCTGTCTCCGGTGACCAGCCATTTAGCCGTGTAGCAAGCTGATGAACCGTAGCCAGGACTGATTGCAGACCGGTGCGAACAGAAGCAGTGGCGCTATCCTCCGGCGTTGGGACCATCGACGACGTTCTAGGTGACTTTGTGATGGGAGTCAGTTTTGGTACGTTGGACACGGGACGCGGTGGAACGAAGACCTCAGAGAAGCTTCTCAGCGAGGAGCGCAGCTCGCCTACTCGTGAAACGACCTCGATGGTGAAGAAAAGTTTATTGGCCCGCGTTTTTGCTGCCATGGAATTAACTTTTTGTTACTATTTGTCAGAGACTCACATCAGCAGCGGTGGAATTTAGTTGAGCCTCCACAACGGGGAGATTGGCCTTCTCTGCGGTGACGAGATTACGACTGTGCGTCAGTAGATCAATTAGACTGGCGGAGACAGCGCGAGCCATGGAGAGGAGACTGACCCGTGCCTCTGTACGCGCCTCTTCACTGGCTGGGGAGATTGTGTCAAGATCAGGATGCGAGAGAAGATGAAGTGTTCTCGTGTGGAGGTTGTTTACATAGAGGAGACAGTTCTGAGCTGAAACTGCCAGCTTATCCTGGTCGCCAGAAGTGTTGCGCGACTGAAAGATTAACGAGACATGAAAATCAAATTTGCTAATAACTAAGAGGTAAACTAATTCCGTCTCAGAACCCACCAAGGCATTTGTCTCCTCCACAATGCCCTTAAGTAAATGCATAATCTCCTCCTGTGAGGCCTGGATGTCGTTAGCAATGGCTGTGGGACTGCCACGCTCAGCGAACTGTCCTGCACCAATGCCGCAACTTCGATTGACGAGGGAATTGGCGCGGGCAAAGTAGATGGCCGAGTCAAAGTCCGCCACTTTGCGGGCAATACCCTCGGCTGCGTTCACGCAGGCGTGTACGCCGTGAGCGGACTCACGTAGCACCGCGACTAGACTTGATACACGAGTAGTGAGAGAACGCAGGGACTCGGGATGGCGGGAGTTCTCTACCACCTCCACGCAACTTGTGCCAATGCCCTGGAGAGGAGGGGTTGCGAAAAAGGCGTCTTCAAATAGGTTTGATGTGGACAACTCGCCTTACTGTACCTGACGAATGGTACTCATGAAATCCTACACGATTCGTCATCAAATAGTGCTAGCTTTGAACCAGAAATCACCCACCTGTACAACCATCCTAAGTCGATCAGCCAGCCTGGAAGTGGTATCAGGGGAGCCGGGCATGCTGGGATGACTAGTAAGGAGGGAACTCAGCTGCTGCGTGGTTTCTACAGTCTTTGAGAACTGCTGTACCAGTTGGCTAGCAGCTGCCTCCTCCGCGCCCGATCCCGCGGTCTTTGAGGCCTCTGAAAGACGTCCACCGGCCTGCACCAGCATCTGAGCTTGACTTGCCAGTCGTGTTTGCAGTGCAACTAAACTGATCTGCTGGGGGATGTGTGGCGGACTGGCATTGCTCTCCAACTAAATTGACAAAACATACAACCTGCTTAGAAGGTGATCAAGACACAGGTTATTTCAAAATGGGCGAACTTGATGTACCTTTTTACAAGCTCCCTGAATGCTAGCAATTTGTGAATTCAAATTACCCTGACGCGCCGTAAGATCTTCAATACAGATTAGTAATTCACGACATGCTAGACGTAGTTGATCAGCACTTGCAGATATGGGAGAGGGATCGGGATCCGGTGGTCCACCGAACTAAAGCCAGTGGGGTAAAAACATTAGTAATAATGAAACATACGTGATTGTCCATTTGGGTAAGTATACGTGTTGCAAGAGCATCAGTGGTTTCCAAAACAGTACGAAGGTAGCTTTGAAGGGCAGCTTGATCGGAACTTCGTTTGAGCATTCCACAGGCGGATATGCACACCTAAAAAGGCAAAGAAAGTAGAAGACTTGGATGCCGCACAGAGAGTTTTATTGAAACAGGCTACATTCAAAAACAATTTCCTTAATTTTTTTAAATAAAAAGCGTAATAAACGTACGTTCGCCACATTGGGAAGGTAGGAAGAAATAAGATGAGCATCCTGGCTGAGCAATTCCCACCTCGAGTGCCTCCAATCGCCGGCCAATTTCCCACTCAGAGCGGTCACTTGACGTAGGCTAGAGTTGAGCAGTGGGGTCGTGGCCTCCAGATTGGACGCATCCGCCTGACTGTACTGCTGCAAACCCGCGTGATCCAGTCGATGCAACGACTCCCTAGCCGTAGATTTCAGCTTCTCTAACGCCTTCCAACCCGGTCGCGAATCACTAGGAAAGTTTTTTTACTTAAATTGGATCAGCAGCGATTTATTGGCAGGCGCAAAGGTGTATTCACCCACCAAATACAAAAACGGAGGTCCTGTGCAGCGCTTTCTACATCTTCACGGTGCCTTCTGTAGGTTTCGTCAGATGCAGTGGCCTTTAAAAGGTTTCCTGCAGTTTCGGTCAAGTCACTCGCCTTTTCTACGACCTTCCGACCATGGAGTAGAATTGGAGCTTGTTGCTAAAATAAGCAAAGGAATGAACAAGTGTGTAATGACTCAAGTGACTCAGTGTCAGTAACTTACTTTAGCCGCTTCAGGCAGGACTTGAACAGGTATATCACCAACATCCTCCAAAAGGGAGCTAGCCAATCTCGCGATAGAACCATTTAGTCCCGTGGCGATTTGGACTACTTGAGCCCCAGTAGAGGGCGAGTCTGAATTGTCGGTGCTTAAGGACTTCACTAGATGCGTTGTCGTCTGGGCAACGTCTTTGGCATTCTGAAGGGAGAAACAGTTGGTAAATTATTTACTGTAGAACTAGATAAATCTGGTTTAGGAATGATGGCAACGCACCTCAGCGAGCATCTTCTTCTCCGAGGAGTTGATACTCTCGGCAATACATTGACGAGTTAGTTGGCACATATTGCTTGATGCTCGAGTGATCTCGTTGACTGTTGGGGCCAACTAAATGTTGACAAAAGTTTAGAGGTAAAACTAGTACATTATATCTAAACAGACGTATCCAGGATTTTGCTCAAGGACTTAATCGCGCTACTCACGTGACTCGCGCGTTGCTGATTAGTTACGAAGGTGAGAGCCTCACGTGTGATAACATCAATGCCGCGTTGAAGGCACTCAGAGTCCTCTACAACTTGCCTCGCCTCAGATTCGGTCAATCGTGGTGCTCTACCAGGCTCGTTGCAGGGCTGGCCAGCACCTACCAGATATGCTGACTGTGTGGCCACTTGAAGCATTCCCATTACGGCGTCCGCCACACCTTGAGCAGCTTCACAGAAGGCATTGGCATTACGCGACTTGGCAGACTCTTCCAAGCCATCCATTTGATTGCTAAGGGTCTGAAACATCCCACGATTAATGGAGAATTATTTGAATGATTTACGCAAGTGAAAGATGGCACGACTTCCTATTACTTATACTACCTGAGATAAATCGTCCAATTCGTCGATGCATTCAGGGTAGGTGAGTTTTGCAACGGGGTAGCTGATGAGAGGGAGAGAATCGTTTCCCGCGCCCGGGGGTGGCTGAAGTCTAGCCAAAGCGGAGTCAAATTGACCTCTGATGCTTTCCATAGTTTGATCTGCTGACTTCGTGGAGTCGCTCTGTGGTGAAGCATCTTTGGCCAATTGCTCTTGGGTGGCCTTTGTCACACCGATCGCCCAATTACGGAGCGACCTTGAGGAAAGCACAGAACACGATAATCACAACTCCGACTCGGAGAACACAAAACTAACCCCAATGATGAAAGGGTATGGCATTTGCCTAATTCCATGAGTTTTGAAGTTGGCGGTTCCCAAACGCGTTAAAAGCTAGAAATGACCACCTGACCTCCATCACCACCAACAAAGATCACAGCAAAACACCGGCCATCAGTACTAAACCGACCTAATGTTGTGGAGAAAATAAACAAATGTGAGACGTAGGGAAAATTCGGTGTCGGGAAAAGGAGTAACCTTTTGGGCAAAAGTGGTGGGAAAACACACAAAGACGCCAAGTGAAATTCTCTTCCTGAGGGATTAATGCAACATGAATAAAATCGCACACCACGACAAAATTTATGAGTGCCCTCTTCTTACAAACAAAATATGTTTCCTTCAAAACGGGGATTTACAGGGGATAATGTCTATCACTGGTACCTTGTATGAGGGTTAGGGCAAATTTCACAATGTCAAAATGGCGAAACGTACTAGTCTAAATGGAGGAGTAACTCGAGCCCCCGCCAAAAAAAGCAATTGACGTAAAACATGCATAAATTTTACCCAACAGTTTTATCAGGTTTCATCTTGTAAACTGCATCGAGAGCAGAGGGTAATAATGGAGAGGCTTTTGGCACATGTATGACAGTGAGATGCATGAAAACCAGTCCAACATGAAAAACTATGGAAAATTTTAGACATGGGGATTTCCTCGGCACGAGGTTAGGGCTTGAAGCCAAGTCTTGGATACAAATGTGACATTGATAGGTGTCAGAAACGGTTACGAAATCCCTAGTTTACACAAAAAATAGGTTTCCTAGAGTAAATTTCGAAATATCCTTCAAATTAAGCACACTAACTTACAAAGAGGCTTTTGACACAAACATGACGTTGACAGGTGTTTGAACAACGCCCTCTGAGGCCAGTGCCCGTTCCAGTTCGGTCGCCAGAGGCTTGGCCAGACGTTGGAGATCTGCCAAAACCTCCTCATTGGGACTACCAGGGCGACTGCCGCGGTTAAAGACGTCCAAGACGTCATAGAGCGCGTTAGCCAGACGATCTGCTGCCATAGCCAAGGAACAAGTGGAGGAGGGGGCAGATTCGTCAGCACGACGTCTAGACGTCTGCTCGCAGGCCACTCGACCCACCTCCTCGCTGGCCTGCAGTAGTAAAACACCGGCACAATGAACCGGTAAACATGGCCGATTTTTGAACTCCAGGTTGTTTTTTATGTAATAAACGCGGAAATCTGCATTAACTTAGAAGAGAACCAATTCGCAGCCTTCGATAGCACCGAACTCTACTGAACAGACACATACTCCGCAGACATCGCAAGACAGCAGAAGAATTAGATCTGTGTTAACTTTGTATTCAGCCTTCCAGCCCTTCGTCTATGCTTGGTGACTTAGGGACTGACTACTCTATGAGGCATCCCACTGTCAAAACTGCCGCCCTGGCAGTCATTGAGGCCTTAAGGTGCGACTAAGATCCGGGATCAGCGGGGATTACTCAGTAGGCAATTACTTTTAGGGCTATGTAGCTAGATGTCTGGTGGTCTACTAGCGCCTTTCAACCTTAGCACGGATAAGCCCAGGCCCCGATTCAACTAGGGATGCAAATGTCATCAAAAAGAATATTTTTACTGAATAGCAACCGTAGATAACACAGGAACACGCAGATATATATAGACAATAGACTACACTGCAGTGAGAGGGTGTTTCGGTGTCCCTCCAACAGATCTATTTTAAGATCGACCACTTTTTTCCAAGAAATGCACCCCCGTAAATACAGAATGGACCAGCTCCCAGAGAAAAAAGATACCTCTTTCCACCATTTCTACCAGGCAACGAGTGCGAATTAATCCGCCGTCTGTTTTGGCGAGTCAAATCAACTGAAATAGTAAAACTGGAAGCCAACTCCCGATCTTTAAACGGACAAAGCCCGTGGAAAAATTAACATCTTGAAAAAAGAGACGTCACATGGGTTAGGTCTTAACAAAAGCTGCATTTTTGCGTGTGCGGCGGCAATTTTTATTTCACGGGAGGCCTTACTTCTAGGCAAGAAGTCACACAGGCATAAACAAACCTCAGCGAGTTCTCTGAGCGCCCTTAGAAGTATGCTTGGATCGGCAGTTTTTTGAACTACAGGAGCGGGTGTATGCGCGATCTGGCCGTTGATTTGTGGAACCGTCTTGGGCAACGCGGCAACCAGGGCGCCTAGCTTTGACGCGGATTGGGCGCCCGGTACATAGTGCCGAACCTCGTCGATGGCTGATTGCAGCTGGAACGGGAAATACATAAATCAGTTTAAAGCGTTGGATCCTCATATTATCAAAGTCATTTCTTTCCCAAAAAATGCCTTTTAAATGGGAAGAATGTATGAACTCGAAAATTTCAAAGCAGTCACCTCGGAGGCATAGACTACAACGGCCTGTTTGGCAGTATCATAACTCTCGTCTTCGTGAACCGCCCAAAGGAGGCTGGCGTGTGCTTTTTCAATACACTGGAGACCTTTATCCAGAAGGGCGGCTCGTAGACCATCTGCCGCCAGCTGGGCTGAAAACTCCTGACTGGGTGAATGCACAAAACGTCTGCCTGCTTGACTCCTCTGGGACTCAGGCAGTAAATTCCATGAGGATATCAAAACTTTTTCCAACTCTACAAAGACCCCAAAAAATGCAGCTCTAGGTGTAAAAATCACGAGTAAGCCAACCCAAATGACTGCAAACCCTTCTGAAAGGCATACCTGGATCAACGGAAGTTAAGTCCTTGATAGAACTCAAAAAGCCCGCCAAACCACGAATACCACTGATAACAGATTCGAGGGAGTTGAGCAGCTTAGCTGTGACAGGAGGCAGTCTATCAGGACCCACTCCAACAAAAGTTGAACCACTAGCGATCGTTTCCGCCTCTTTAGCCAGAAGATCTGGAAGACTTGAATCTCTTTCTGAATCTGGAGCGGCCTTGAACTTGTTTATCGCAGCTAACAAGTTACCACATACCGAATCCATCTGTAATAAAGGGATGACCGCTTGAATAAACTATAAATTCAAGCAGGAAATTGAGCATCTGAAGAAGACAAACCGTTTGCCCAGGCAGGCTATGATCCGAGTTGGAGTCTAGCTCCGTCTGCATACGCGCCAGTCGTGAGGAAATGGATGGCCAGGCCTGGCGCTTCACCACTGCAGGCGTCTGAGGAGTGCAGTGCGCTGAATCGGCAGTGTTCGGCGTCTTCTCAAGATCAGTCAGAGTGGGCAGAGGCGACTGTAGCAAGGGACTTGCGGTGGCACAACACTGGCGCAGGTCAACCAAACAAGCCTCTGTGTTTCTCGCAGCATTTGTCAAAGCCACTTGAATCCCTGCGTCAGTGACCGTGGGTGCAAACATATCCACGGTACCGATAAAGTCTTTCAGACACTAAAATTACAAAAAATTAACAGATTACAGTAGGACCACACGCATTTCCAACTTCAAAAATGATGCAGAAACGTGACAAATGTCACGGCTACAATCACGAGGATTGGAGGCTGAAACCTGGAACTAGTTGACATGGCACAGAAGAAAAAGAGTTAAAAAGGTGAATGTGGATATTGAATCCTCTTCACTACAGTCTTGAGACTTGTAGCGTACTGTGTAGACACCCAAAATAGATTGGGCTATAGCTCGCACAACGAAAACCCTCTGACCAGTGACTCCGGATGTCTCCTTCAGTAGCAGCCCTCCTGAAACCATCGTGCTATCGGAACCAGCAATGTCGAAGTTATTCAGACAATCGTAAATGTTCGAGTGCAGGAAAAAACTTGGGAGTACAGCCGAATGGATCTACGACTTTACTGAACAGTTGCAAGGAAAATTGACTTCAATTCTGAATCAAAGGTCCGATAGCCTAAGTACACCGTTAAACATCGTCTTGAAACACGGTCCATTGTGACTTATGATTATAAGCTTCCCAGATTCCTTAAAATAGGGTAATTTTAAGCCATTTCCCTTGAGCCGCATTAGACTCCACAGCACCCCGTGAAATCTAAACGATTTAAATGTTAATGTCATTTAATGGAGTCGTAAATCTCGGTAAAGTTCATTCCTGGTACCCATAGCCTGTTAGGACTTACGGTACATATCGTGACAACTAAAACCGAGCCAATAGAAAGAGCGACATATAAGTAAGTGCACTAAACGGGTAAAAAAAAGAGAATAAAAATTCTCACTTCTGAGAAAAAAGTGATGCGCAGACAGTCGGTACGTCTATATCGACTGTCCGGATTCCGGAGCACCTAGGATCCCGGCCGAAAAATGAAGTTTTGCCTTTTAAAAAGTGGACACTCATAGCAGGTATCAGCAGTTTAAATGAGTGCGAGGAGAGGCAAGTTGAAGCGATTTACAAAGAGTATTTATGAGTCAACAATATTCTTTTAAAATCATTGGGGAACTGAAATTAAGTCCACTGTATTCACCACTCAGATAAATTTTGAATTTTCCAGTCGGCAAGGCACATTTGGCAACCCACTTGATAAACAGAATTTAATCAGATTTTGCGACAGCCGGCTAAGGAGACTAGCATAAAAACAACAACAACAAGCTAGTTTTTTCGGATAACTTCACAGCGAAGCAACATTTACACACACCTTCTGAACACGGTACCTAACATTAATTAGTATACCCGCACAGGCCTGTTGAACAGCATCAAGTGTCACAAAAGACGTACATCCATGAGGTCCTTAGAGGCTTCCAGGAGGCTGTTTTGGGCACCAGGATCGTGAGGGTGAGCGCGTGCGCTATCACAGGTCAAATTCGCTTGTGGAATCACCTCAGCCGAAAGTTGGTCTAATTCTTGTAATAGCTAAAACAAAAGGGATCCATCTCCGAAATTGTGAAGCAGAGGGATCTTTGGTTAAATTGTCTGCTTTCCAATCTCTCACATTTCAGACTCCATGCCAATGGTACGGAGCCTGCTAACACCACATCTAAGCTACTAGTTTCGCAACTTTCTAGGCAAGCAAACGAATTAGTGAGGAAGGATGAGAATTCGAAGCGGCTATGGAAAAAAAAGCCAGTAGTGATTCATCTAAGGTAGGCCTTGCAAATAGCTACTAAATAAATCTCGCAATTCTATTGGTCCACCAAACTCACTCGGTATTGGCTGCTTCGAGTATGACGCGCAGCCTCCTCCATTATGGCAGCCAATTGGCTGGCATTTGAGGCGGTGAGACGTGTTGCAAACTCAAGGCCAGTGGTCAGACGGGCACGAATGATTGGTGCGGCGAGTTTGTTCGTCTGCTCAATCAACCGATTGGCCGTAGCGATGGTCTCCTGTTGGTGCGGAAGCGATTGCTTGTTGCCGGATTCGAGAGACTAGAAAATGTCAGAGGTGAGTAATACAAACCTTGAGTTGGCAATTAGCAGCACACTGCTACTGCACATGAGAAGTGGAAGTAAAACCGCCCTATTATAGTGAATGGATAAGTCGGTTGGACCACGTGGTTTAAGATCCCAAACTTCTAGATAATTGACTCGACAGTCTTTGCCGATCTCCCGCAAATCGGCTTGCAAGCTATTGGAAGGGAATTCTATGCCTCGATTTTAAAAATATTTCGAGACTTGTAGATTCTATTATCTTCTGACGAACAACTTGAGGAGGACAGTGGTACTGGTCAGTTCTTTGTTTTGTCTAGCCTCCAGTAATTCGTATAGTCACACTTTAAAATATTACCCCAATTAATAGAGTCAGGGGCGTACCAAGAAGGCTAACACTACCTGATGCCTCATAGAAGCGCACTCATTTTATCGAATAGCCACTGCATGGAAAGATGCTCTAAATTACCCATAAATGCCGTTTGGTACATCACGTCCGATAGGAAAGCGTCTGCTCTATGTCGAAAAGAGAGCGGTATCATCAGCGATTTGATGATATCAGAGGTGTCCAGGTGTCATTGCAAAGCCAGACTGAGTTAATTCAAAACCGTTGCGTAAAAAATGTAGACACATGAAATCCATCATTCGGTGCAAATCCTTTGCCACAAGTCAAAAGTGTTTAGCTAATGAAACCCAAAGGAATGGTTCTGGCCTGAAAAAGGTATTCAGACACCAATTCAACGGAAGACTGACATTTCTGACAGTAGCGGGACTGTCAGAAAAGTTTTAGTGCCTGTGATAACCTCATGACCTCCCCTCCTCCCCGACCATATTCGTTCTTATCCTGAAAGGTCTCCATTTAGGGCGTGGACGGAGAATGCAGACAAGAATATGCAATCTCGGGGTTACCTTCAGTGATTCAAGAAGATCGGTGATAGCCTGGCTGAGCAGATTGGCACGAAGATTGACCTCCGATTTGGAGATGTCAGCAGCGCCGAGAATGTCGTGTGAGTTTTTAAGCACCTCCACCAAAGCAGTGGCAGTTTGTGCCAACCGCGAAGCCTGTTGGAATAGAGCGTCACCATCGCCAAGCGCAGCCGTCAGCTGTTCTCCAGCACCAAGGAGACTCAACACCACAGGATCTTGTTGAGCCTAAGAATGGCAGTACCTTTTATCACTCAAGAATGTAAATTGTCACCGAGTGCACGAAACCGCTAGTTTCTCTGGAATGAACTCAGCACGCATCCGGACTGGCTGCATACGATGACCAAGGCCAGTGCTTTATTATTTACGCCAAGTCAGTAGCAAAAGAAACACAGGGGCGGGGTGTGCTCCTAACTGCGTTTTGTCTCGCAAGGAGCGGCAGAACGCCTGTGAGGCGTAGTGGTCTAATAGGGGGGCCAATAGGAGCCGAGATGGGTCCCTTCTATTTAGTGGAGTGCACATCACCTACTGACAGTAGCTCTGTCTCGAGGCCTTCTGGGTATGGTGAATACTGAACAGTCGATTCTTTTGAGGATACCGTGGATAACACCAGCGAATACAGCAGGTTTAGAAAGGAAGGAGAGTATGAGCTCCAGGATTTCGATAACTCGTTCACTTCTGATTGAGCTTTAGAGTTGTGGAGGGAGGGTGGGCGTTCAAAGTGGTGGGGACGACGAAACTTCAGCGAGCCATGTGATAGTACAAATTGGGATGAGATATCTGAAACATAATCTACTTATGTTCAGGGGTAGACAACAGTTGCCCTCATTGGGGCATCAACAACTTATAGCCCACAATATCCATGCGGAGAGAACCAGAAGTGCAAATTTTAGGACACGATAGGTAGACACTCTGTTCTGACCCCTCTTATTTTCCGCTTAAATCCATTTTCTGCCCAACTCACCCCGAATTCCGAAGCATATACCTCATAATGTGGTTTATCACTACTTTACTGTGTGAAACAAGCGACTCAAATGAAAGAATCATGGAAGTCTAGAAAAATGCCACTCGGACAACCTAAATGTATAGACAATCCAAATGCGTGGACAAAGCTTATTTCCAAGCCATAAAAAGCGTCCCCATGACTCTCCCCTCTCCCAATACCAAAAACTTTCATATGTGAACAAAAGCGCGGTTTCCGAGGTTCGTCCATGGGGGGAGGGTGGGAGAAGACGGAGCACTCCTTTCATGTGTCCAACCATTTAAAGAAGCCATTAAATCAACTAAGGTTTACAACTCAAATTGTGTTAAAATAATGTATCATGTCGGCCTGGCGCCAATAATTGATTGACAGTTAAACTGCAAAACCAACTTGTAGTGCTAATTTGCGGATTTATTAACCTTCCCTAGTTATTTTTTTCTGCGTCTTTAACTAAGTTTGCAAATACCTTAATCTTTGTTGAAAGAAATTGTTGATGATGCATAAAAAATCTCGTTTAAAGTAGGATAAAACAGGTGACGAGCTAAACCAGAGGCGAGATACCCTCAACAAACTCGAATCGTACCTGAATGGACCCGGCCACAAGACGGTTCATTAGGGAGTCCAGAGAGCTGGATACGGTGTTAGCAGCATGGTGAAGATTACTTAGAGCCCTCTGTTGTTCGGCACGTTGTTCCATATTCTCCAAAGGCAGGTATGGTATTTCCGCCACTCTTCGAGCCACATCCGACAGCTGATCCACGGCTTGACCCACCTGAAATAATTGATATATAAATTGGAGAACTGACGTATAATGTTGTTAGCTTATTTTTTAAGATCGGATATTAACAAGGAAAACAGTTTCCCAATTTTATGGATCGGTCAATGAGGTTGGTGGTAAGTAACCAATGGGATAAGAGTTACCCCAACCAAGCACTAATCAGATAACGGGAAGGCGGTGTCCCATTCATTATAGGACAAAATATCTCATTGGATGCATTAAAACAATAAAAAATATGTAATGTACGAATCCGCTCAAATGCATTGCAATGCTTTGGTTATTTGCTTCACTCTTAGCTTTGTTTCACGGGCACTTAGGGCACCGCCTGTGTGCTTCCGCTAGGCGGCATAACCTCCGAAGCATGTCAGTAGTCACTTAGCCCTCTTGTACGATAGTAATACATGTCCTATCCTAGTATCACGTCCCCTTTCATCTTCACGGAGGCCTCGGCGCGATACATGTGCGCCTGGCTTGAAAACACATGTACTTTTTAGTTCAAATCAGAAAGAAGGAAGAGGCTTTAAGTCTTCCACTTATAGTTTATGAAGCGCAGTAGATAAGATAGAATTAACTGGCACGATCGTGTTATTAAAATGTAAAATGAAAGTCAACTTCTTCCTAAACAACGCTATAGGCAAGCAATGAAACCTCTGCACCGGGTGCTAAATTCATCGAGATTTTATGCCCAAATCATTTGATGCCTAGTAGAAAAAACAGGTAGCTAGAGCACCCCAAAGTCCTCGCTTTTAATATTTTTATGTTTTCAAGGATAGATATTCATTGGAATCTTGGTGTTGAATGCCTTATTTTACAGACCCATCTGAATATTTTGTGGCCAATCAAAAACGTCCTAAGTCAGTAATTATCCAATTAGATTGAAAATTATTTAAAAGAAGTGTAAAGATGACTCTTCCCAAAGCGGCAGCGGAATCAAGGAAATATTTCACGATTTTTATCAATTTCTCGATAACAATATACATTCAGTTGCGCCACACTAGTTTTAAATGCTCCGAACCATCTCCATTCGGATAAAACAAGCGTTAGGACATCCACATAGGATGTTTTTGTTTCAAAAAGCAGCATTCTTATTAAAAAATCCATCGAATAACGGCCACCCTTTAATAGGATAAACTCATAAAAGGAGAAAACCATGCAACAAACGCTATTTACTTCTAGGGCATAATCTATGGTAACCTTTGGGGTATTCCACTTGTCTCCCTTATTGCAGAACCACGAGCAGTGCGTCGATTTGATTAAATATACGCATAAATTCGCAATTGCCCGTTAACGACGGAAAAAGAAGATCATATTTGATGCCATTAGGTAGAACAGGGCACAAAACTGACGCGGGGGTGCGAATGCAAGACGCCTTGTTCCCCTCCCCACCCCCAATACGCACAAATGCATCAACTACACAAAAAAATTGTTGCGTTAGATCACGGCAGTAAAGCAGAAATCACCCCAATATTCAAAAAGAATAAATCAAACAGTGTGCGTACCTAATGCACAGCGCTAGGAAGGCTGTAGCAAATCCCAAATCTCCGCTGACAACGCTGAAGGTAATTTCAATTCCAAACCATCTAAACGACTGCAACAACTCCGGTGCTGTGTTCAGTCATCGCACCATTATAGCCCTCTGGCCAAGACTGCGCCATTATTCAGTGTTTACTACACTACCTCGCTTCCTGTCTGCGTAATTTCACTAACCTGTCAATACGCAGTAGTATGTACTTTGACGCATCATATTAGAGGTATCAAAAGGGGCCAATTCGAATGCTTGCGTAGGAAGAGGGCTGGGCAATTATGCCAAATAAACGTTTCATGCCTCTGGAGTTCTTTTTTCGTAAATAAGAATGATAGTTCATTAATCATGCCGAGTTCTGCAGAAAACAGTTCATAAGACCCTTCGGCCTTGATATCCAACTGCTTCCATAAGTAAAATGAAGTTACCCAACTTAATATAGGTGTTAGAAACTAACCTAGGCAAAGAACTTCGTCGATGAGAGATGAAGCGGATCCAGGTGGTTGAGCAACTTCCACCAAAATCACATCTTTAACCAATCAAACTGCCTCCTTAATTAAGGTCAAACACACTAAACTACTGTGGAATTGAGGAAATAGGAAGAAGTCAAGTTACTTAATGCACACGCTTTGGATGATTTTTTGGAAGGAGACGGCAAGATTATGCTCAGGCAGGAAACCGAGCCCTGATCGGCTCTTCACCATCGCTAAGCTCGTGATTGGTCCAGTTGGTTGAAGCTCACCTGTTTTACACAGCTAAGCAACTGGCGTTGTGATGCGGGCTGTTCCATGGTGCAGACAGCGACTTTTGCACTGGTGACCAGACGGCTGGTGGTCTTGCCAGCGTGGGTGGCGGCTTGAACTAGGTGCGACTGAGCGTCCCTCAGAAAGGCCACTTTATCGTCACGCTGATTGGCTATTTCAACGGAATCGGTCTCGGTGTGGGCCAGCACTGTCGCCTCCTGGCTTATTGCCACGGCTGCCGATTTGGCGTGCTTCACGAGGTTCGCTGTTGTACTGGCCACTTCCTGGAGTAAAATTAATGATACCATTTTCGTAAGGAAAACGTCCACTTTCTGGCTTCAGATCCGATCCACAACTTTGGAAGATTAGGTTACAGGAATGTGATTTTGTTCACAAGATTTACCTCTGGCCAAAGTCTAACTGAAAGCCGTCCTTGCAAAATCATATAATAAGTGCGACTACTGCACAATTCCTCACAACGATATTTCCTAATCAGGTGTCCATAGTGCGAAGTCTTTCGTCATCTGTGACGCAGTGGCAGAAGACGTCGAGCAGAAGAGATACAAAGGCAGTAGGAGCATTGTGAATCCCGTTTATGGGTAAAAAACCTCACTTAGTACTCCCGTAACGACGTTAATGTCGTTGGCCTTAATGTTTAAGTAAACTCCACAATTTATAGCCACCATCAAATCGACAGTCAAGGTTAATCGCCCTGTAATAAAACCAGAGACGATAAGGGCGCACATATCACATTGAATCCTGGTAAATAAATTACCTTGAAGGTTTAATCAGGATCAATCAGTTATCATCCTATTCACTCCGAAACTTCATAGGCGGAGATAATAAGATTCTGGGGGAAGAGGCGATCAAAGATCTGCATTTCCTAGGTGGCTTATTCGTCACGGATTGACAGACAGTGTATAACGGTGACTTTAAACCAACTCTTGGTGTAGTGGAGGAATCCAAACTTTGTGTACGTGAATTACGAAATGAGGAGCAAGGGCGAGAGGAATGTGTGTGTCACCGCATGAGTGTGACCATTGAAAGACAGATGCTACGCCTCGACAACCTAGATCTGTTTGGACAATGGAAACGTGATAGCTTCACCATCAAGGCATGTTGGATTAAAGGGAACAGGAGCTACTCTGGATTCTAAGGAGACATCAGTCGTGGCAGGAATACGCACATGCAGAAACTCAGAGACGCCAACTTTGGAGGTACGTGTATAAAAAACCAAATGGAGTGGAACAAAGTTAACTAAAGTAAGGGATAGAAATACCTTTGTAGCAGCCAGTAGGTCGTCTCGCAATTGCCAATCCATAGCGTGTGCATTGGCGATAATTTCCAAGTCCGACTCGTAGTCGCCGTAATCTGGGGTACAATACACACGCATACTACTTAAATCACAAGTAGGACCTTCGGCCACATTTAATTCGTAAGCCGTAGGCAATTTCCAACTTTTGTTTACGGATCAAAGCTGAGTTTTTTGTGATGATAAGCTTTAATGCAGCTAGTTGCTGATAAATTAGGTGTAAATATGGGAAGAGAGGCATCGAAAGACTGCACAAATAGGTTGGATTCATGGGAGAAAGAAACATGAGACAACTCTACATGTTTTGGGAGCGATAAGACTACTTGGCTCATCATTAGAAAGCACTGCAATCAAGCGATTGACACTTGACAGGTTGATGGGACAAGTGATTACACGAGTACTTTCAGCCTTCTGTGACTCGATATTCACTCTGATGGCACGTGGCTCTTCTCATTCGCACTAACTCCATTTTTACATTCATTAGCTTCAATTCTATCTGAGGGAGAGAGTGCAAGTAAATTTCTCCCCTCTCGAAATCGGTGACCATGGCATTACTAAACAAGAACTAACCTTAACAGTGACTTAACCGCGACAGGTTAAGAGGGGACTCAGGTAGTGAAGGGAATATGACTGTTAATATCCTCAACCGAACACAAAACTACCTACCTTGATCGTTTTCATTGTCATCTTCAAGGATGGGCTCTAGACGTTGTTTACGACGACGGTGGGAGTAGAGATGACTGGCAGAGACCAATTGAAGCAACTGTTGGCTAGTATCGCCCACTCGGGATGCTGCCTCGTAGAGACTCGGACGATCTACCACAGTTCCCGACTAAAGTGAAACCGAATCTTTAGGACTTTTGGAGAGACAAATGGACGAAAGAACTTTGTGGATACTTCTACCCATTATCAGAGCACCTCTCTGTGATGATTATCAGTGCCGGAACTTCAAACGGCCTTCTTAAACTCATCTAAACTTATGTACGTGGCCGAAGCAGATGAAGATGTGATGATGAAGTCGGACCATGCCACATGAAGTGTATGCGAATGAGATTTTCTTACCAAAACAAACATAAACGATTATGTTCCAAACCTCTGCACAAAGCTGTTTACGCCCAGCCCGGTTGAGCCTGTGAAGTGCGGCCCACCATGAGCCATGCGACAATAATCAGTGTCGCCAGGTGTTTTATGCATTCGCCCTCAAGCGCTGTCCAAGTAAACATTCAATTAGCCGAGAATGAGGAGCTATTTTCAACAGACACCGTAATTAATGAGGAAGCACAATAACAACAAATTGAATTTTGTTTCAATGAGTCCCAAGTACATTTTAACCAATTAGAGTTAAAGCGAGAAAAAAACACTGGAAATTTAAAGGGTGAACCTTTGAACTCTGTCCATGGATTTCATGTTGTTCACTTCAGCACCCCGTATGAAACCACTACTGCGAGAGGAGGGGTCAGCTGTCCACTAGTTGACCTCAGGGTCATGCGCTTTGACAGGCCGATAAAATTGATAAAACAAAGTTAGTAGAAAACTGAAGGTATCGAATGAAAATACCTTTCAGCTGCATTTATCCAACCTCAACGTTATTCGTATAAAAAGTTAAAAAATTCATATGGTAGGAAAATCTTTTAGTGCTTGGACACTCGCTTTGACGAGGAGAGATGATGTGACCTTGAAACAAAAAAAAACCCGGCCTCCTAGTTCATACTAGCCAAAACAGTGCTCCTCATTTCTCATCCAAATCATGCAGTTTGTACTTTTCTGACACCGTAGGCCAGAAGTCACTCATCGCCGCCAGATCTCCCGACATGGTACCACCCAAAAACTATTTAGGCCGGTCGATTACTGTAGCGGTTACTGCATCAGTGAGCGTCAAGGAGACATCAAAAACAATCAAAGAGGCTATAAAACTGTTTTGTTTTCAAATTCGAAACCTGATTATGAACTGACATGGAAAAATCGGTACTTTTTCAAGTTTGGGAGACACCTGTATTCTCATTGGTCGGTCACTAATGTCACGTGGTTTGATTGGTTAATCCACTTAGGGAGGAATTAAATGTTCCAATTTGCTCATGTCCACGAGCCTTCACTTTTTGCTTATCATAAAGCCCTTCCCTTTTAATTGATAAGAGAATACCGTAGCCATGGTGGACTTGAAAACCATCTTCCTAATAACAAAACTTTCCTACTCCTTTCAACCACTAAGTGTCAAGAAAACTAATCAAGCTTGTCTAAAACGCTCCTTTAAACTCTCTGTGTTTCCACCTCATTTTTTATATCGAGCTCGTAGGGCAGTACTTTGTTCCAAGTTCAAAGGTCACAAATCGAGTAAACGTTTGAAATCATACCGCTATGAACAGTAAGCTCACCCCCTGTTTTCCTTCCTTCAATGGCATCGCGGATTGCATTAATTTGAGGAAGGCGTCTGCAACATCTTGAGCGGCATTCATGATGTGGCCTTGAGACTCGTCACCAGCATCAACGGCCTGCAATTGGTCCAACACTCGGACATTCTGCATGAGTCGCTGTACATTCAAACCAATTGTAGCAAGAGAAGCGTCCATCGCTGTGTAATCGATTGCATCCTCCTCTTCCTCCTCCATTCCCTCTTGGGAGCTATCTGTAGAGTCCCAACACACACGGTTATGACACTATTCTACTGACGGAAAATGGATACTTTGACCCGTGATAGTGTTTAGGGACTCACCACCAACGCGGCTGTGAGAGGAGGGTTGAAGTAGGGAAACGAGATTTCCTGTTGCGATTGTCATGGCTCCCAAGTAACTGCAGATGCCTGCTCGTGCTTGAGCCATATTTTCTTCTCGCCAGCGCTGTGTTGCCTACAGAATGCACGATTGGATGTCATACTGTCTTCTAGCAATACTACCAGGCTCACCCTGTGGTTGGGGCACAGTAAGTGTGGATTAGGAGTGTGCAGGGTGGATAGGCTGAATGGTTAGAATAATGGTGGTCAAAGTACAATTTGTGAATAAAATGCTGTTTTCGTTGCACACTTGTAACCATATTCAGAGGTGTGATTGGAACTTTTTCGTTACCAGTGTCACAACGATGTGAATGGATCACGGTCACAGTGAATAAAGTAAGTCAAAGCTGTGAGAAAGTGAAGTTTTTCCGTTAGCCACAGAACTGCTGAATAGATACGATGGCAAATTAGATTTACTGGGTAGCAGATTTTCGAGTTGAATGGGTGAAATACAACGATCCTAAAATACGATTCTATTCGGTGAAAGTGCCTTACCGAGTCATCTCGCGAGACAGTGTCGTTATCCTCGAAGTAGGGCTTTTGGAGGCTATCACTTGCATCCTGAATTTCTTTGGTACTTTCGTCGATTCGGTGCATCACTGCCCGTTTAGGCTGACTCAGTTCCTTCAATTGAACCTAAACAGACGAAAAGCAGTGGAAAGCGGAGACATATTTGTAGGAACAGAGCGGATGGGATGGGAGAAAGTCTACCTCGTTTCCTCCAAATCCTTTTCTTTTTCCCCCTGGAGTATGGACACGCATAGCGACTGCTGGACTGTCCACATTGCGATCGGCAATATTTTCTCCTGATCTTCCACCGACGTAGCCACGAGTGAAGGTGCTGGCTTGACCGGGGTAGCCCTCAGTGGCAACACGACCAGCAGAAACGTTGAACCGCCTTCCCACTGTGCCAACATTGGATATGATCTCCGCCCTACAAAGGGGAGGAGACCTTTTGACTAATGCAGAGCAATAGAGTTCCCCAAAAGATTGTACCTCTACCTGACCTCTCTCAAACAACCACATCAAGGTCGAGGCGATGGATAGTCTACTCCAAACTCCTTATTCCGTTCACATGCACATACCTACGCGTCACATCAAAGTGGAACATAAAACCGGCTTAATTGGGCGCGTGACGTTATGGTAAACAAAAGGGCGTTCACAAGTCCATATTCACTGACGCGATATAAAAAAGCTTGCCGTTAAATCACTCGTAAGTACTAGAAACCTGACCCAATGTGGATTCTACGCACTCATCGATGACCGTCATGGATGACTTAATTCCGCATAAATTACCGGCCTACAGGTTGTATTAAATCTGGAATTATCTGCCTGGGCGTCAATTTTGGAGTGACATTGGAGTCGAACACACCTGTCCATCTATTTATCTACCCGACAGATTGGAAAATCTCCGCAATAAACTTGAACACGACCTTGACAGCATATGCTAATTGCCTGTAGCTCGAGCTTGGCATCTTCACAGTAGAGACTCGTCTCTTCGATGCGAATTCCAAGACTCTATAAAAGACCTAATTGGGCTAAGGCGAAAAGAAAAAGTGAAATACTTGACTGAATGAAACAAGTATCTAGACGTGGAAACTCGGCCCTACAATCATTGGCAGATTTAGCCGATTACAACGGAGTGCAGGTGCCTCTAGAGGAAAAAGAAATGTCAGAATTGACTATGATAGCAGTTAGTATTACACCTCCTGGTGGGATTTTAAATGTCAGGCACAATCGAAGTCGCCTACCTATCCGGGTGGAAAGGAGAGGGTAGAGGCAAGAAAAACCCACCTGGATGGGCCCACATTCTCCTCAAAAATGACGTTTGAGTCATCACTATCGCTCACAAAGGCGTCCGACTTCTTTTTCCTCCGCAGAATGATATCAATGTAGCCGGAAATCAACTGGGAGATCTGTTCGCCCTCTGTTGTCTGCATCACGTAATTCCCGTCTGGACTGTATTCACCGAAATCCTGTACAACATTTGGGAGAAAAAAACAAGCTTCAGTGAAGGACATTCTTCTGCTCGAATAACGCAACAAATTTTAAGGTAGTATCGTAACGAAGTAAACCATTCGGGTCAGAGAGTAAGTGACAAAAGGACAAGGAGCGGGCAGTTTCCTACTGGTAGTATCCACGCCTACCACAGGATGAAGGCGGCTGCCCGTGTACTTACATGTGGACAGGCCCAACTGCCTTACGCATCTACGAACACCCCCACACGCATAATAAATTAGTCGCCTTTCACTTAAGCTCTCCGGGTGACAATCGGTCCAGGCAGTCAGTGACAAAACAATACAGGGATGAATAGAAAAGATGGGCGATAACAGATGTTTAAGCTATCGCAGACTAGACGCACCAAAGTGAAGAGATTTGCTGTAGCCGCCCATCGACGAACACGGGTGAGGGGCCAGGTTTGTAGAATCTCCTTGGTGTTCTCATCAACTCGCATTACACTCTCCTTACTGACACCGAATAGCCGGGGGACTAGTTTGTTCTTTCCAGGTAGCTTTTCCTGCCACATAGAAAACAACATTGAAAGGTGAGGAAGATGATCTAATTTTAAGAAAGTCGGCAAAGCGAATTCGTGTCTTTAATACCCTCGAAAACAACCTCCGAATTCCAGGCGATTCAAAACAATCATCCTAGATGATTCATGCTTGTTGGATCGAATGCAATCTCGTATTAGCGCAAAACCGATTAGGTCTGAGTGAAAATAGAAGAAAGACTACAAATACAGTTTTAATCGTCCCAGAAATGTGTGCAGGTGATTTTGTTATACCCTTCCCCATCATGTTGTGACTGACTAATCAAGCAAGGAATTGCTTCGTAGGAGGGGTGAATCATTGCCTCGTCAAAAAAATCAAGAAGTAGTAGGGGTCCGCAGCTCTCCGGAACTATGCTACCGTCATAATCTACGCCAAGCTAGGGCTCCGGTATTTTCATTTTGTGAATCACATGACCTTGTCAAGGAGGCATTTGATTTCTGTGACATCGTCATTAAGGTTTCATGTGCAACGAGGGTTATTTGACACATGGAACAATAATGAATTATTCCTCTCTTCCTTCTTAACAGTTTATTTGCTAATATGACGGATAATGTTTGGTATCCTTAAAACGACGAATTACATTATTTACTAATCGAGGCCGCTCATTGGGTCTCCTTCTCCACCAATGGGAGATGGATTAAGGTGGAAGCTGAACCTGCCCTTCACCGCGGCAGAAGAGGGCATTAAGGAAGCATCAGTTGGACCCTTTTTTTAATGTTTTCCAAATGAATTACTAACAGGACGACATATTGGATAATGTTTGACATCTATGCAATGCCGAATTGCACGATTTACTAATCCAGGCCACTCATTGGGTCCCCTCCTCCACCAATGAGAGAGGGATTAAGGCGGAAGCACTATTGCTTCTTTGGCAGACATATAGGCTAGGCAAGTTTCAGCATGTACCGAAGCGTACGAAAGGCCAATGAGTCATTCTGAGTGAGGTCATTTCACGAACACGGACATGTTCGTACACAGTGAATCAGGAAAAGCATAAATTAAAAATCCCGCTACGTACAAAAAACCAAAACACCGATTTAATGAGTCAGCGGCTAAATTTCACCCAAATCAGTAGTATCGAAGGTAGGGCGTTAATTTGTAAAGGTCAGCCTCCACACAGGCGACATTTTGCGCTCCTCATGCAGCGCCCGATAATTATCAGAGGACTAAATTACCTTGATTAAAAAGAAGGTGATTCCATATGTGGGAAGGGAGCGGCAGACTTGTATGTAACGCACTTTCGCATCCTTTTCCGACAGACCGTTAAGTTTTTGGTATTGCTGAAAGGAGGAGAGGAGGGGGGAGGGAGGGTAGTGACGTTATCTAGAATGTATATTTGACAGTTGACTCTAGTATAGTCAGCTAGTGCGTGCCTCAGCAGCCGCTGTAATTGTGTCGAAGGGAACAGCACGACATGCCATGTGATTGGCAGTCTAGGGAGATTTGGGATTACTACTGGGGTGGAATTCCCGTCATCATCTGGACATCCTTTGAAAGATGGTGTAGAGGCCCACGTAATTGGGCGCGCACATGGGGGTAGGCGGGCTTGGTTGACTGGTCGAGGCTTTGTGCACACTTGAATACACGTGCGTACGTACCAACATGGGTGTTTATCAATGAGTCAGCCGGATAAAAAAGCCGGTGACCGCCGCAAGAAGGCCCCGCCCACAATACGGTGTTTGGGCCATGTTGATCAAACCATTTCAAATGGCTACCTCAAGGTAATTTATACCCAACTAGGTGAGAAGAAAGGCGGCGTCGCACCAGTCACTATAATATGGAAACCGCCACGGCACTTACCTCCTTGATTTTCTTTTCAATACCCTTTACTTTGACGTATTCTTTGGGAAGATGCTCTTTCACACTAAAAAATTAAAAAAAATCAGACTTATTTTCTTCGAGGGCAAAAAATTTCGAGGCAACACGTCATCGTGTTTCAGGAATATGGTTAATAACCTTAGGTAAAAAAGCGGACAGATAGATCCACTTGACCTCAAACATCAAAAGATGAACTTAAAAAGAAATAAATAGCAAGGTATTAACAACGCACTCAATGCAAAGTGATTTGGCCTTTTCAGGAATGAGGTTTCCCATTTCGGCTTGGCATTGAAGACCGGCGAGTTCGATGGCTTGACTGAGGCTGATAGGATGAGCGCCATTGAGAATGGCTTCTTTGAGCTGCCCAAAAAGGAAAACACCAAATGCAAGGACATTTTCGAAGGGGATTAGAAAACCATGAGAGGGTATGGAATTACTTGAATAAAAAGTAGATTGAGTTGGACGGGATCCCGAGCTCCCACATTCTGATCGGAGAAGAAATACTTGCGCTGGAGGAGAAGGTTGTCCGTTTCTTCAATGCCCAGTTGTCTGAAGGTCTTGGCGTGAGGAAGCCAATTCGCTGTGGGTGAAGTAAGACATTAGGGCGCATTTGCTTGAGCGAATGCATTTCTAGAGTTACTATTCCCACCTCCGTCATCGGTCTGTAACTTATGTTTTAAGGTTTCCATTTTATCGTAATCCCTTGGAGCATTCTTTGGACGGCGCAGCGTCTGTGCACGACCTTTTTCGTGAATGAGAGAGTATTCTTCATGATTGGTAATCCCTAAGAGAAAAATGACTTTATCAAAGTCACAAAAGTAAAACACCACTAGGTACATCGGAGTGCTAGGAGAAATGAGCCCCAAGTACACCAAAAATTAAGCTGAAAAGCAGGTCTTGTAAAATACCTGGGCAAATAATTCAGCTTCTAACTAAATTGCAACTACAAAGCTCAACGAAAATGCGTGAAGATCCAAGTGCCGATTACAGAGCATTCAAAGACCCAATACCTATGTATCAAACCTAAAATACCAGGAATAAAAGGGGTTTACCCATTTTGCCACATATTGTAACCATCAAATCGGCTATTGTTTTGCTGTCATCAACTTGAAGAGTCTTCCGCGTTCCATCCAAAGTGCTAACAACGAGGCGCCGCAACTTCGACTTGTATGTAACTTCCATCTGTAGCCGATCGAATAAGACTAGATCTAAGATTCATACCCCATCTTGAAGGTGATAGTATGAAAGCAATCGAGAGCTTTCAAGCCAAAAAGAGTGCTTTGGGTCGGAGTCACAGACGAAAATCCCGTATTCTTTAGGAAATCAGACATTAGTTAATGTAAAATTACCTGGACCTTGGCCTGCATTTTTGATATTGGACTGAATATGCCGACAAAGGTCAAAAACTGTTATATCTAAGGGGGTTTTGAAAGTAACTCGTTTATTCAGATTAGTAATAACTAAATCCAGGGCCACGATCGCCATCTAAAGACAAACGAACCCACCGTATACCCCTCAAATTACCGCAAGCCAGGCCTAGGTTAAGCGAACGCTCTCAGCAAGTTAAAACGAATAAGTGAAATTGTAATGCAAGGCTGACAAATAACTTAAAAGAGTAAAGGCAATTGTTATAAAATTTAGCGGATAATTTTGTTTACAGTTGTGCTAAAAGTATGCGGACAGGTAGGAGCATTTAAAGTCGGGAGCTGGAAAATGCGCGTTGTTAGAAGTTAGTTTATAAGACATTGCATAACACAACACTCATTGATGTTTATACGGATGCTTTTTGTTCCCTGTAATTGACTTTATTTCTCAATCAACGAACTCAAAAGATGAAGACTTCAATATTTCGGGGAGGGTCGATAGATGCTTGGCCATTTGTGGATAAATTACCTACAAACGTATTGTGACTGCTATTTTGCTAATGATTTGTTTGACTACACTTGTTTGCTGGTCTTAACGAGCTATAGATCTGCTAGTTGTAATAACCAGTCACATGTGTTTACTGACCACACTATTCATCCTCGATAATAATGCGGCTAATTACGATTTACCTAAAATCGTCGATTGATAAAACCAGTAGCAATAGTGTAGCGTCCCAAGGCTCCCTTAAGACGATAGAAGACACAATACTCGGGCAGAATATATATATTCAGCACGGAGAAGGTGTCTGGGCTATTGGCATGGCCCAAAAGGCCAGCCCACCCAGCGAGGTACAAGGGGGCTAATTCTAAGTACAAAAGTGGCGCCTCACCAGAACCGAGGGATAAACCACTATCGTATTACAATAGCAAGTTAAATCCGGTCTACATAGTAACTCTTCTAATTTCTGTGCCTGATGTTCTAGTTTTTATGTTATGGATGTCTAAACATTTAAAAACGTTTAACAGAAGGGTTTAAAGCCACCGAACTAAAAAGTAGTCCCAACCTCGAGTGATGCAGGAAGATTATTAACAACCAAAGAGCCGCTACGCCTGAACCACTTTAAAGAGCATTACAAAGTAAGTGATCCCATTTCACCATCATGCGATTCACAAATAGGAGGCAAATCTAGGTGTGGCAGAATCGTCAACTCGCGTAATTGACATTAGGAACAAATGTTCTCTGTCCTACACAAAAATTGATGTCCGTTACTCCTGTCCCAAGAAGGTGTCTTTCCTGAAGTAGAAAGAATCTATAATGCTGAGGCTGAAAGTGCATTGCCAACATGGAGAAGGGCATGGAGGCAGCTGGCACGGTTTAGAGGCCACGCTGCCTAGCAAAAGTATAGTGACGAAGCCTTAAGCGCACACGTAATCAAAACACTTTATTAAAAAGCAATTAGAGTGTTTCAGGGGCATATAAAACACCGATTACTCTGTGATGTCTACCAGAGAATTTTGGCCAAGGTGTAGACCAAACAACCTGACGAAGTGGAGTGAGGAATTATGTAATGATGTAATAGTTTGTTTAGCTGCGTGAATAATCAAGCCAGCTCTAAAGAATCTGTAAGCTCTAAACCCACTTTGCTGCATTGCCCCGTGGCCACGCCCACAGGTTCGTAGTCCTTATGTGCATTCGTAAGACAGCTTCAATTAAGCCAAAATGCGGTTTCGTTCTGGTACATACATTGTTGTTCAAATAGTAAAACTAGCAGTTTACTCATTTTTAGCTCTTAAGTTAGGCAAAGTATAGGTACTAAATTTGTTCCTAACTACTGTCATAACGACGTTGTTCAAACTTAGATTGACAACAAGGTAACATTTTAAGCTAGTATTTTTAGTTTGCAAAGAATATGGGAATCTAGAGTGACTAAACCTGAAACAGGTAAGTTTAGAAAAGTAATTTAACCCTCTGTAATACTTTAGTTGTTTAACTCTCTGGTTTTAATAAAAGACCACGGCATGTCTTGGCTATGGCATCTTACCATTTTGGCTGCCCTCTGGCCCTGTTAGTAAAACCTAACCCTTCAGTACGTTAAATATGTATTCTGCCCGAGTATTACGTACTCTTTCGTCTTCGGAGCAGTCTTGGAGTGTTGCATTGATGGCAGCGGGAAGAGAACCCGATCTTAAAGGACACCTATCCTGCTTTCTACTACCAGGCATTAAATCTTACCGGGGAGGAAGAAGTGGATGTACAACGAATGAGAGAACCGGTGCCGGTCCCGTGTTCTGCAATAAGTCTGTAGACGATGGAGGCGACACTAGCTATGGACTATCTGGGAAAGATTTACCATGGAATTGCCTGTCATACCTGTACAAAGATGCCGATAATGTAAGCTCCACCACTTCCCTATTTTCCTATAGAAACAAGGTAGATGGATAGGTATGACTAGGTGGCTCTGAAGTAAAACAACGTGACAAGATGGAACAGAAACACAACTCTACCCCATAGGACTGTATTGAATCCTGTTCTCCCTTATATAAAACTTCATTTGTGCCAATATTTCTACAGCTAGCTATAAACACGCGTGATGACCAGCATATTCCCTGTTTGCAAATCCATTTTTCTATACAGGCCAAGACTAGAGACCCAGTGAATCTGCCGATAGGATCATTCGTGTTGCGGTCAAGTGTCTCCTCAGTTGCACAAAAATCTGATGATTAGCACAGATGGTTTGTAAATATTCTTGCAGCACTGATTACGTTGTGATAGCTGATAAGGGCAGCTAAATCAGGGGACTGACAAGAGCGACGCTCAAAAGAATAGAGGGGCCGTGTAATGCGTTACTTGTTTATTAAACGCTAGGTTTAATTAAAGGACCAATTTATGTCATGGTTATTGTACCTCACCGGGCGAGCTGGCCTCTGAACCACAGTAATAGACATACTACATATACATACATATGTAGCACTTATATTATTCAAATGTGCATTTCAGGAAAGAAGCGGGCAGTCGAGTCGAACTTTGTGATTGTAGGGCACTCAAAGCCTATCAAACCAGAGAGCGCCACTTTGTCCAAGTCTCCCTAGTTTTGTATCTATCCCCATTTGCGTTGGGCAACAAATGCATCCAGGTCCCACCAGCCACAGTGCTACAGTCGTATAAAGGCCAGAGAAGGGGAAAATAAACGAGATGCGTGCAACATACAAGTAAATGCATATTTTATCGCCTCCTGGGAAGTCTATGGGTGCTACTTCTCCTTTAATTAAAAAGATGACGGCTTTTTATAGCTAAATATTCTGATTTTTATACTTTAGGCACAGTATCTGTTAATGTGGGCATAAATCTACTAACTTGATGGGACAAAAACTTATTGATTCACTAAAATTTGCATTACATCCATCATCTCTGCATTATTCTCGTTTCGAATAAAAACTTCTAAAAGTAAATGAGAATTTTTTATATAATAAACTTTAGACTTTTTATACTTCATCATTGTTTGAACGCACCAATTTAAATCCGACGAAATATAACTTCTCAAAACGAAAATCGACGTCGACTCTTGTTGGTAGGTGGCTTGCATGTTCTCTATTTCTGGGCTTCTTTTTTGGTTGTGGCCTTAATATAACAGGTTTTTGAGAAGTATTCATCCTTTTGTTTCGTTCATTATTGATTATACATGAATTCCTAGCCAATAAGTACACGATTTCTGTACATGCCTGTTAGTTCTTCGTGTAGGGTTTTCTTGTTTTTACTCTGTTGTGTCTGTTGTTTTTTTGCAAAAGTGTTGATTAACTTTGCTATTTTTAGTGTATCATTCTGAAATGATGAATCGATCTGAAGCACATGGTGAACGGCCAACCTTGGGTTACAAACGTGATACGAAATTGAGGTCATTATTCCAATCCTTCTAATTACGGTAATTTAGGATTTTCGTAAACAGAAGTCTCCGTCTCGATTCAATCAGATTTTTTGGTTTCGACATGGACTACACTCTTGCTCGTATGTTCTCATTCTCTTAATCACGCAATTCTCATCAAGAATACAAGTCTCCCTACTACGAGGAACTTGCCTTTCAAATTTTGCGTGATCGTTTGGTTGGGATTGGCTATCCACAGGAGCTTGCTTCTTTTAACTATGAGCCTTCTTTTCCAGTCCGGTTAGTTCTACGGAAAAAATGTTTTGTGGCTACATTGTATTCTTTATTTCAGGTGATTCTGATGCTAGTTTTACTGTTACGTTTTCAATGCCCACAAATTGATCTTATTTCTGCTTCAGTGGACTTTGGTTCGATACATTATACGGGACCCTACTAAAATTGGACCAGTTTGGAAACGTTTTGGTTTGTCTTCGAGGTTTCAACGTCATTCCACCGTAAATTTTTCGTCTCATCTTTCCTAATTTTTATAGGAGTGAGATTGTTACGATGTATCCAAACAAGTTTTTGAAGTATGACGAGTCGAGGATTATTATAATGAACACGCTCTTCGATCTGCCGAGTTAGTGTATCTCAGTAACACCAAAATTACTTTGATCAATTTCATAACTTTATGCATTACTTGTCTTTTCAGAACTCTATCTTCTCTCCTGCGTAATTCACATGTTTCACAACGATCCCAAGTATACGAAACTGGAGCATGGAGTAAAACTCGCTTCCATCTACATGTCTTACCATTCCATCTACGATGACGTAGACACTGTGGTTAATTGGATGCATCAGGTAAGGATCCTTAATCTAGTAAGTGCATCCGATGGCATCAAGCTGATTCCTGACATTCGCTCGAGTATCACTTTGGAAAGAACCCCGTAAATTTGTCTTGTATGCTTGTGGCTAAGCAATTCCGCGATCGTTACGTCTTTCCGCACTCTAATGTACTGGTGCTAGCGGTGCTGCTACTTCTATGAAGGCATTATCAATCCTATCAGAATGTTCGGGGTCAGCCAGATGACGGCCTGAATTTCTAGGTCGGTATCCTTGTAATTCCAAATACGGCGTCCAATCCAAAACATGTCAAAGGAAGGTAGCTTCCTGGATCAAAATCGGGGTGCTTGATCATCTAAAGGATCCTGCTATCCTAGGTCAAGCTTTCATTCACGCATTCGATTTGTCGGGGCACTTATGGTTTTTTTCAGTTCCATGTCAGGGCCAATTTTTTTAGGCCTTAACTTGTTTGCGTTAGTGAATTAAATTGAGTTTGATGGCATTATTTGCAGTAGGTAGGAATTGTGCTGGTATTAGCTGGAATATTCCGATCTAACAGGAAAATCTTCTAAAGAAATGCACAACTTTCTTATCTCGCGCAATTAGTAGTTTAACAAATTTTCATTTGTGCTTAATGTAGTGACTGAACACGTAAAATGTTGATGCAACCGCAAAACTACGTCCTTGTGGCACTGACGTCTGTCCGAAGCAGTAGTTAAAACACTAGGCACCACTGGCATCATACCTCTCTTTGGAAGTAATGGCGAGTCGAGTGATATTCTACGGCTAGTTCGGTGGTAAGTACATTGGCTCGGTGATAGACCGTGTGAAAGCAGCTGAGTGACTTGACAACTACTGAAGCTGATTTAACAGCATGCCTAGGTGGACGGGCGGATATTTACGATAAGAAGAGCAAATAAAGTTGTTTAAGTTAATGTAAGGCCTAGAATACGCTGGTTGCTTTTAAACGTCAATCCAAGGGAAGAAAGCAGTTAAAGCTTGCGTAAACTTCCCTTTGGGGTTAAAATTTGACAGTAGTTGGAGACTAGTGGTGGGTAATGCAGAGCCTCAATTCTCGCTCGCTATTCGGCCTCCCCTACAGCTAAGCAACTGGCTTTGCCTGTTTCGTACTTTCCTGTCTCCCGCGCTCCATGGCCTGTTGAAAGAAAAAATCCAAAGTCCCTTTTCGTACGCATGGTTTGGGATTTTGCCAAAAAGTGCTCCACTTTAACGTGTTGATTAGTAAACCGCAGAGTAGATGGCGATTGGTGCATGTAGTAGATAGTATTGAAATTACCGCAGTTAACTGCCGCTTTCGTTAATAACTAAGTCGTAATGTTTAATTCTCCCCAAAAGGAGTCTCCTTATGAACAAATTTTTTTTTCATTCATGTCAATCAAGTTGTCATCCTAATTCACTAATTTCAAGGTGATAGATTTCTTTTTGCATGCAATAATTCATTTTCTTCGCGCAAATGTAACTGTGAAAAATTTGCTTGAACCCTACACACCTTTTTATGGAATTAGGGTCGGAAGGAAGAAATCGCGTTTTGCATTCTACCAACAGCAAAAATTGGCAGTTTGTACCGGGGTCTTGTAGATGATAATGGGGCAAAATTAAACTGCCCTTTTTTTTAACTCGATTAACAGGGGGATGTACCTGATGAAGGCTTATTCCCTAGCCCCTTGAAACCGCGTAGAAATTATGCACAAGCAATGACTATCAGCCCTACTGACCTCCCTATCCTTCTATTTCCGGGCCTTTATTAATACTCCCTTTGAATGCACCCTTTGGGCGCTACTCAACTGCCCATCCTAAATGGATTATCTTTCAAAATCCTCTCGACTATAAATAAAGGTAGCTTTATGACTGGGTTGGCCCGTTGAAACACCAAGTTGTAACAAAATTTGTTTCCCAATACATCTTAACGATGATTTATTACCGTCAAGTTGGGGAAATTCCATGTATCTTTGCGTGCAGGCATTATAACTATTTTTCGCCCTCTATCCTTTTTTTCACCCGAATCGTAAATCACTCCGTTTTAATCTTGGCTTTGCCTTTGGCCATCCGTACTCTTTCGGCAACTCTTGAAGGGAATCTCTTCCGTTGCGTTCAAATTGACTGGTTTCTGAGAGGCCTCACTTTTATCTTTGCCAGGACTTCAATCACCGCCTGGGATGCTAATTTTTACCATTCATTGCACCGTTGACCACTTCTGGAACTCGCTTTGATCATTCCTAGCGTTTGTCCTTTGGGGAATGCGGGGAGGTTTGTGGAGGGCACAAATTCCTGAGTTTTTAGAATCAGGATCGGTACATTGCTGTTAAGTGTAACCAATACGAATTCTTTTTCCTTTCAGGGAGAACTGAAGAAAAAGACTATGAAAAATTTAGATAAATACGTGGAGAAAAATCGGGATTTACCCCTTCTGTTAGAAAAGTGAGTGTGTTTAACGTCATGGATTTCCCATTTATCAATTGTGAGGTCAGCAGCTGTGAGTCAATTTGTCATGGGAAGATATGGTGACCTTTCTTTAAGGGGCGAATGGGTGCGATGCTTAAGCCTCCTCTATCAACTTCTCCCTCTCATCCTTTCAGGTTACGTAGCAGAGGCGGAAAGGTTTTCCTCCTTACCAACAGCGATTTTGCATACTCCCAGGTGCGTTGGCAGAACAAAAATTTTTTTCCCTTAACACCGAGGCACATGGCCTTTCCTCCCATTTTTATTCTTAATAACGTCAAATTAGATTTGGTGACTATTTTTTTGAGTACAAAACCATGATTGCATCACAGGAAATTAGTAATTTCGGAATTAGCATACTAAGCAGGGGACGGGAAATGCATTCCTTCTCCAGGCAAAACCTAGTAGGAGGATAAGGGCATAGAATCATTTGAAGAGCTCAAGCTTTCCTTTGAAAACAATTTTGTCTCTTCCTCCTAGGCGATAATGAAGTACCTCCTTGAGGAGCCGTGTGAAGCGGTAAGTTAGAGCGCTTTTGAGATGTGAAGAGTGCTTTGATAGGCAGATGATTGTTTCTGTACTACCAGCAGGGTGAAGTGCGCCCGTGGACGTCTTACTTCGATTTCATTCTCACCGACGCTCGGAAGCCTCTCTTCTTCGATGAGGGCACCATTCTCAGAGCTGTGGATGAGGTATGTGTTTGGGGCGTAGTTTGCTAATTTTATCTTTGCTTATTTACTGTCTACTTTCTAATCAGTATTTTGTTTTACCTCGTCTCAAACAAGCCGCTCAGAAATTGCTTATTTTTAGCAAAGATGTCTTTGTTCTGTCGGCCAATGAGCTTGAAGTTAGTGTGATTACAAAAATGTCTCAACGCTTGAGAGGTCATGCAGTCGGGAGAGTGCTCTTCTATTGCAAGATGAATGAAGAACTTCAATACATAGCTCTCGCCCGTGCTCTGGGCAGTAAGAGTTAGTGGTACCGAGGCACCGCTCTTTTTGCTAAATTGTCCGTCTACTTGAATGGGTGTGCCAAGTTTCTTGAAGCGTTTAACGTCGATTTTTTAGTCTCCGACGCTATTCGGCCAAAAGCAGTGCTTAACCTCGCATTTACCGATGACAAATACTACTCAAAAGCGGTTAGATACTTACCTCATGATGTGACAAAACAAGCTGAGACTTTTTCTCATGACACGTAGAATTCAGCCGACTTTTTTACTACCTTCGGTTTGTTCCAAATGTTACAATAGTGCCCAAATAGTAAATAAAGCAGATTTTGCTGTTAATACTTTGGAATACATTGGCTTCCGCCTTCCTAATCATTGGCCAGTGCACACCTTCGTGATGTATCAAAGCGCTTGCGCCGCGGCCTTAGTCCATTAATGTCATTCGCAGTAGTAAACAGCGGGCCTCATTTCCAATTTATCCATTTTTGGGTGCAATGCCTTGTAATAGTTAATCGTAGATCAAAAAGCCATTTTGAGCCAGCACTAATGGCACACATTCATGATGACCAAACATTTCAAACCTGTAGTGAAGTGGTGGGAAATGCTAACCGGTGATGAAATCTAAATTGACGTTTTACTGCACATTGAGACCTCACTTCCTATTTTCCTCAGGAAACCGGGCGTCTCTCGATCGGGCATCACATTGGACCGTTGCAATCGGGAAAGATCTACTCGGGAGGTGAGTGGATTATGACCGCTGTGCTTCATTTTCATCTAGCTAAGGAACTACTTTGTACCTATTTTCAATTTTTGCCCGAAAAAATATACGGGAATGTGTTTTTCATCCTTGGTAATTGTGGAAGCGTCTTTGGTGATGTATGCGATGAGTTTTTTTCCTGCGGATAAGTCTGCCTTTTTTCTTCCCTATGTCATATGGTAAAACATCTTATCTTCTCCTGGGGCACATTACTGAATCCAAATGATGACGCAGGCGCTAAGTCCCGTTCAAAATCGACTTAAACACTTTTCAGAGGTCAAAGGTTCTCTTGTGTGGTCATCCGCTTTGGAGTTTGTAATATTCCCAACTTGGGTCCAATACTTCAATTGCCTGGTATCGTCACTGTGTTCTGACGAGTTGTTGTCTAAGGCTTTCAGATCCCAAAATCTGGTAACAAGGCTTCTTTCCAGTGTTCGTGCTCAGATGTGCTAGATAATCCTCTATCTACAACGTTTTGTCTGTGTTCAGAACCCTCGTGGCTGGATTACTACGAAGGTTGTTGTTTTCCTTAACGGTCTCAATGACGGAAGGTACTCGAAAACCTCTATCATACCTCCTCAAATCTACTACATCTTTTTAGCTGAGTGAAGTAAATTATTTTTCCCGCATGTATGGTCACGCACTGTTGTGTAACAAAATCTAAGCTTTCCCGCGTACAGCTGTCCCTTCCCGAGCACTTTATGCAACCTAGCTAATCACTTTTCTCGACATTACCCCCGAAATATGAATTCGCCTATTCAAACTCTTAATCTCCTATTAAATATGTAGGAAACGTAGTTACCGCTACGGTTAATTTTCTTATCTACCGTTGAACTTAGAGGTGATCTCATCGGACCGATTTCTGGTGTGGTGGTACGTCTGCTTAAATCACTAATAAAATTGTCTTCTTTTGTTCCCCTCAAGGCTCATGCGAAGTGTTCACGCAGTTGATTGGCGCTCGAGGCAAAGATGTTCTCTACACCGGGGACCACCTTTTTGGTGATATTCTGCGATCCAAGAAGAAGGTTGGCTGGCGCACATTCCTCGTCATTCCAGAGCTGACCAACGAGATCTACGTGTGGAAGAAGAAAAAGGAGCTCTTCGACCGTCTGCAATACCTCGACAATAAACTGGCTGACACCTACAAGTGTGTTTTACTTTATGGAAAAATCAGATTTAGTAAACCAGTCAGTTGTTGGTACCCCAAAAAAATAATCCACTCTTGAACATCTCTAATCCTCATTCTTTTTATTCGCTCATTTGTGAATACCTGTTGTTCTCTTTTTATTCGCGTTCAGGGACATGAATATTGAGACTTGTGAGCAGCCAGATGTGGACAATTTGCGAAGGGAGATTCGAGTATGCCTTGATCAACTTGAACATCTTTTCCCACCTTTTCAGGGCTTTCCACGTCTATTTCTGCTTTGTAGGCAGTTGCACAAGAGATGGAACGCTCCTACGGCTTGCTGGGAAGCATCTTTCGAAGTGGTAAGTTTTGCCCCATCCGCCGGCTGAGGTGAGAAAGAATAACCTCCGGTTTTTTTGCACGACTTGGCCGGAGAATCAAGACGCTAGGCACCACGCGCCCACGCATCGAAATGTACACACCAGCATCGTATGCCTGAGTGACTTAAACTCGTTTGTCTTGACAGTCAAATTTGATGGTGACATTTTCTGCTGGGGGCTTTGTTTACTCGGAAGCGCAAATGCGTGCTGATGTAGAGAGTTTACGCTCTGGTTTTTGGAGGCGTTAGGAAATTGAACCTGACTCTAAAAATAGCCTACTTAATTGAAGGAAAAGCCCTTGCAACAAAGGCTAACTGAATTTTTTAATTGATGTCTTGGCAGTTGTCTAAATACCGCCTATTGATACTTGACAATGGAAGTATCGGAGTTATTTCAGGGCTTTCCTTTTTAGTCGTATTGTTGACTCAAATTGGGAGGGCGAACTTGACTGTAAATAAAGGTGGGAGGCGTTTATTTTAGCAGCATGTCTTTTGAAGTCAGTGCTGGAGGGAGACTTTTGTGGGATTGAATAGCGTGTCTTGCTCCTGACGTTCCATTAGAAGCCATCATATGTAGATATCTTAAGCGCAGGCACGCAAACCCATAGAAAAGTCTTTTGGTGGACCTTGAAAAGAGCCAAATGTCAGCATTTGTTGCGTGATAAATCGCTAAGTGCAAAATTTCCCATATTTGCTGCGTGTTTCCTACTTGTACTAATTCGCCTATCCTACGGTGTAGGCAGAGGAGCCGAGGAGCAGTCTATGCTTAATTTCCCTCCCATTTAGGCTCCCGGCACACCTTCTTCTCATCGCAGGCAATGCGTTATGCCGACATCTACTCCTTCAGCTGTTTCAACCTCCTTCACTATCCACTATGCTACATGTTCCGCGCGCCCACAATGCTGATGCCCCACGAGTCCACCGTCCCGCATTCCGATTCACCCATCGGCTCATTCGCTGATCTTGATGAGACGCCTTGTGGGCTTAGAAGACGCTCCTACGCAAGTACGCCGTTTGGCATAAGTCCAATTTTTATGCCTTGTTGTTCAGGTATTCTTAGACTTCAAGATAACATATTGCGTCAACACTTATGAGGTGATCTTCCCCATTTTTGCTCGTCTCGAAAATGGCCAACTTCTGAGAAATCGAAGGGCAATATTGGACCCAAGTCCTTGGTTTATTTCCCCTCCAACTTTGCTTCCAGTTATAATATTTTTGGTTAAACACAGTCGGTAGACTTCCCACACAACGACCTGCTACGATGGCTACGAAGCGAAGATTTTTTTTCAGGTCCTGGAAAGGGGGGGAAAGGGAGGGTTCTGGCTCAGCGTCACCCTATAAAGCAATATTTTTTCTTAAAATAGGCACCATTCACCTCGTCGTAGGAAAAGCTTATTTTTGCAAAACCATAGGACAATATTTCGTTCCAGCTTTTGGTTAACACCTTACTTTATGTGGTCTGTGTTGGCTCTTTCTCAAGTAGAATGCTGAACAAGCTCTCGGTCTCTGGGGGTGCTTATTTCTAAATTTCCAGTTTATTGCCTCCAGGATTTTGGATTCAAGCCCTTGGGCCTTTTTTTGGCCCCAACATCACCTTAGATTTAGGCTCTTACTTTTAAGTACTTGATTATCTGCAATCCCTGTAGGTTTTTGTTTTGGAATTTTGGAGACTTCGAAGTGGAAATAGACTCCAATAAGTTTGTTACTGTTTTTACAAGTTCTTTTTTCCATCTTATCACTGTTTTAAGACGATTTCTTAACGAGACCTTGCCTCGTTTTATTACTTCCATTTGGATCTTATCATCTACTACCCCATTAAGTTAGTGAAACGGTCAAGCCTTTTCTCAAGTGAAGGCTCCTTTTACCGTATCACCCAAAGGTGAATATTTGGACGGCAGTTTAAGACAGATTAGTGATTGCCTTTCTTTCAAATTCACGTCATTTTTGTCACACTGAGAAACGACAAATGCTTCATTTTTATAAGAAGAGCTTTAAACAATTGTTAATGTTCTTTTCGGGGCTTGCGGTCATTTTGACCCACATTTGGGGGACTCTGACGCTCTAAGGAAGACATAGGAGGCATTGGACGGTTTCATACAAGCCGTTTTCCTTATTTCCAATCGTTGGAATCGCATCTGCCTTGCATGTCGTACGCACCTCCGATCCGGTTTTGAAAGTCAGGGGTACATGGGTCTAAAAGTACACCTCTTCCTTCATCTAGTAGAGGCAAAAGTGCAGAATACTATTTACCTGGCCCCAAATGTCCCAACAGCGATTGCGATATCCTTGCGAAGGCAGCAGTAGGCGAAAAAGCCTACACCGCAATGGGGAACGTTTGGACTGCCATGGAATCACAAATGACAGGAGTAGCCTGTCTTTTCTTTTGTCCTTACGCATTGATGTGCGTGATGACTTCTAATATTCCCTTAAATGCCTTTTAATTTCAACAGATCCTGGGTCACCTCAAGGTTAGTTTACACGGTTGTTGATTGTACTATTACTGTCCCGAATTTCCTTGATTTGCAATCAAGTACTTTCCTCCTGCCAAGCCTCAAGTGTCACCTTTTCATCCCACATTACTGTTCCTCCTAATTTTTTTTTCAAATTATGTTTTTTCACTTATCAAGAGCGCCCTTACGCCCACAGCAGCAAACGCATTGAACTAACTACGTTGTTGCGTTGGTGTTATGCTTTAAGTGTTATCATTTTGATGCATTTGTTGAAATTCATCTCCTTTTTTTTCTTGTGGTGGCATTCAACGTTAAATGTAGCCGTTGGTATTTCCACTCCTATAGAAGTACGGACATGGTTGTTTAATGGAACTAATACTTTACGGTTCTATAATTGTGAAATTTGTTAAAAGTAGGATTGCTTTTAAAGCCGTCCACTGCCAATGGTTTTGTTGTCAGCTTTTGTCTCCAATACCCGTAACGTCAGCCCGCATGATGAGTGATCTCTGACGGAAATAAAAAAGGTTCTTCATTCCTCAATTACACTTTTTGCACTTTTTTTAATCAAATCGGCTGATTTAGGCGCGCGCGCACACACGGAGGAGGCAGGCTCGACTAATCTGTGCTTCTCACTGTGCTTCAGCTTCTTTATTTATCTGTCAGAGATGTTTCAAAAAGGCCATTAACCAGTACTGTTGTTCTTTTTTTGTGTAGTTCCCCCAACCGGTTCCGCGTTCGTTCGTCCCGAGGAGTCGTTGAAGTCGAAGGGTATTGTGAACAGCAATCTTGTGGAGGCGGAGAAAGAGGGTGCCGAACCTCTGGTCGATACCGCCGAGGTGGAGTAGTCGCAGAGTGAGTTCGCCCTACCTTCTCTGTCGTATTGCCTGATGCCTTCAAAACACCTTTGACAAGACAGCCTCTTTTAACTGACCGATGGTGAGGTTTGTTAGACACTAGCTGCGAAAGCAACAGTGATCAAGATCCCATTTTTGATGTGTAAGGTCTTTGAAATTAAGAGGGAATTGGCAAGGTGAAATCTGTCTCTCGCCATACCTTGTCAATAACATGATCATCATCGTGACATCAAATTGCATAACAGGTGCAATTTGGCTGCCCATCATTGGTCAAAAGCATTTTATCGGCACAATTAATCGGGCTACAAGGTAACTTGTAGCTACAACTCAGTGGGATAAGTTTTTGCGCTAAAGTTAATGCTTTGTTGGTAGCTTGAAAGGCATGACCAAATGCTGAGACGACTGGGTCGTTAGCTGGCACGAGGGAGGTTTCTGTAGCTAATTTCAGTCTACAATTTGGAGTTTTGTCTTTGCCTCTATTGATCAATCTCGACGGCTGTGAACTAGCCGTGGTGCTGAAGTCAATTGAATACTGGATTACCGAACAGAGTGCATTAACTTTTCCGAGTTCGGAGTGTGCCACCATGTAAACTGCAGTATTTACTGAATAAGTAGCCACATAGTTATATACTAACATTGGGAAAGTCCAGCTTCTAGACGTTTGGTGCTTTTTCGCTCACCCAATTGTCTAGCTGGTATCTTTATACACCCAATTTACTTCAAACGCTTTACAATTGTTGAATTGTGGTCACATTAAACACGTATTTCGAGATATTTCCCCAATCCTCCTACATCTTTCAGCCATTTGTTTTTTCTAGCTCACCGAAACGGAGCTTTTTACGCATTCCAAGAACCTTTGGCTCAGTAGAGTTTTTTGGTTACTTAGATCCGTCCACATGTCTGTTTCGGTCTCACCGACAATCGTGTTCGAAAATAGCACGCAGTTTTAGTTAGGTCAAATGACGTGACCGGTATGCCTAGCGTACAAAGGTCTTATCTGCTGCAAGAGGGATGATTTATGCGGCGCGCATTTTAAACGGCTTTGTCATAGGTTGAGGCCATACCGTCTTGAACTGTTTTTTTTAACTGATCCTCTCATCTTTATGTTTCCAAGCCTTTTAGCAGAGCTAAGTACTTTAGTTGCGGTGTAGCGGCTGGAAGTCCAAGGACACAAGATTAGGTTCTTCTTCTCGACATGTCATTCTTGTTCTTTGTTGAAGGGCAAAGTCACAAACGTTCCGAGATCGTTGAAGCAATGACCGCCAACGACTTCACCTTGTGAATTGCCGGCGTTATTTACCCGGTTGCGATACCTCGGTCTTGTTACGGTGATTACACTTATTTCTAAGGTGAATTAAATGTCTAATGTGGACGGCGTTGAAAGTCTAATCCGTATACCCGGAGGTGAAGGTCATCGCATACCTCAGTGATTAATGAATGGAAGGGGTTATTTCAGTATCGGCTTCGGCTTATTTGACAGGTACTTCTTTTGCAGTGGTCATTACCAGTGTAAAGTACGATGCCAATCGAAAGTTGAAAGATCGGACAGACATTGGCAGCTTTTTGGTTTCTAAATGCGTCCCAGTGCAGCACACGCTGTTGCTGACATTGGCAGACCAGCCAAGGTTCGATTCGGAGTGTTCTGACAAGTCATATTTCTTTGCTTCTTGTCATCAGGTTATTTATATGATCCATATCTGTATTTTTCCAGGTTATGGTAAATGTACAAATAGTGATTGAAGCAAAGTTTGAGGTTGATTCATGTATTCATTGCGGTTTATTTGCCTTCCATCTCTCGCCGCAGCTCGAAGTCATTCCCCCTCGTCTCAGACTAAGCCATCTTGGTAACCTAGCCATTGGCGAACTTCTCCCTTACCTTATCCGGCAGACAGTTTACCTGAACCCACTGTGTCTTTCGTATCGGTCTGTAAATACGTTAGAAGATGTCACGTTGTTCCTAGAATTGGATCTCAGACTCTTGGAACCATAGAGGCGAAGTGAATATTCTTTTGGATAGCGTAAAAATTGTGACAATGTCGTCAATTGGAGGGAGAATTAATGAGCGCGAAGGATGGTTTTTCGTACTCACTTCGATTTAGCAGCCTGAACAACTGTGTTGATGTGAGCGGAAACTATCCAGGTCTATCTGCACTGGCCGATCCCGAGGCCTTTTTGAATTCAAGTCTCCTCATTAATCCACCTATCCCCCTAGTTGCGCTTGTCAACCCTCATTACGCTATCAAGGGTTATGTCTTTTTTGATTTCGTAGTAGACTGGTGCATCAAATTCATCGTCCTAATAGTTGTCAAAAAAGGTGTGACCAAATAACAACACACTTCAGTGCGTCTCACCTTGAGTTTAAGGCGCTGGAGAAAATGCGGATGGGCTTAAGAATGTCTACTTCGCATGGCATTCAAGTCGGCTTCGCCATCTCGTCAATTTTGCGTTGTCGTATCTTCCGCTCAGCTCTTAACGATTTACTTTGTTCTCGAAATCAAAGCGCTTCCTTGTGATGTTCGGTGGCCATTGCCTCGTCTATCTACCAGGTCTTTGTCACTCCAAGTTGCTCACACTAATGCTTTGGTGGCATGCTAAAACACGCATCGGGAAATCCACGAATGCCCCACAACTTGGCCACATTTTCATGAGAAGTGATCGGGAAAAAAAGCTGTCCAAAATGTACTTCTGCAGTAGTGATAAGACGTTGTACACACAACTCGGCAGAATTTAACGTCAGTGGGAGATGCAACCCCTCGAAATTGGCGGTCAGACAGCTATAACAGTGCTTCTTGAAGTTTCTTGAACGTGGGCTGAAAAACTCATGGACTAAAATTAGAGCGCGTGGAGGTCGCGTTGGACAGCGAGGAAAAGCGTTTGGCCGATGGACAGTTTCAATTAAACGGAGTTGATTCCCTTTTTCTGGTTCCACGAAGGCATGAAAACTAGCCTAGAGCTTGGACTGGAGTTATTTTTAGCGGAAGCAAAGCTGCCTCCTGCCTTTTTTTTCACCTTTAGACCCTCGAACCTATGAATTCTTAGGAATTTCACCATTGTTTCGCCGTGATACTCACTCCGACACCTCGTCAACGTCGATCTTCCACAATAGGCTGCTCCGATTTTCTAGATGTGCTGCTGACGACAACTGATTTCGTGGGCATCTGCCTCACCGATTCCCCCAGCATTTTGTGCCTACCTCGTGGGCTCTGTCGGCGCTCTAGTAACGTAATGCTTTCCCTCCCCATCCGCTCTTGATCGTTCGCTATCTCTATCTCTTTAAAATTCCGCTGCTACTGTCCAGCTAGCATTGTAATATTTTGTTACCATTTGATTAAACGTTGCTCTGAGCTAATGCCAAAATACCTTAGTGGCGCGTCCATGAAAAAATGGAAACGCGGTATACCGGGACAACGGCCGACACCCTCAGCTTGAGGGGAGGTCGACGCCTGTTACGGTTACTGAGCGGGCTTCATTGCTTGGACTCTAGACATTTGTTGACCTCATCAACTAGGGCTCCACGCTTAACGAGGACATTCTAATCTAGCAGTTACCTGACTGGTTAATCGCTTCGTCCCTAATATTAAGTCCGACGACCTTAACTGAGGGTATCGGATTCCAACGTTAACACCATGATAAATTTACTGCCGGCGTGACGTGACCTCAGGACCTGGTGTGTTGACGATGTGACGAATGTTCTTTATCAAGTCATGGCATCTGCACGGTAGAAAACATTCTTGTGTGGATATCTTTGGATTAATATTTTTGATTTTTGAGAAATGTCTAAATTAGTTAAAGTGATTGGTTGCAGTCGGTGCCATATTCGGACAACAAAAAATGTGCGCAATGGTGGGTCGACTTTCCTAGGGAGAACGTGGTAGCAACTGTATTAAAATATATTAACTTTCTAGACGATTTGTCACGGTTTAATTACTACTGTCTTGGCCTCCAAGCCATGCTGAGAACCACAGTTCGTCTGCACACCAGTAATAAACCTTTCACCATACTCCTGCGGCCTCAACCGACTTCAGGGAGGACTTGGGGCGCGACAAATATGCCAGTACAGATGAGACTGGAGCTCAACTTTCTTTTTGGAGGCAGCCATTGACGGATGCGTAGATGTATGTTTTTACAGGAGCGATAGTAATGACATTACCCGACATTATGTAATGTAGGCAGCGATAACTATCGACATTGCGTAAAACGGGGGGTCAAGACGTAGGGTTTGGAGGCGGTAGTAAACTCGGCAAAGGTGGAATCCGGTACTTGCTATTCGAATAAGATTAAAATAAATATTTCCAATGAAAAACTATCCAAAAGGCATGAGAAATAAGTAAAAGGAATAATATAAACGGAAAAAGAATTCCTATCCACCACACATTACGACAACTGAAGGGCAATGGAGAATGCTGAAGAATACGAAAGTACAAATAAACTGCTCTACATATGAAATTGAAATACAGTGAAGTGAAAGTGAGATGCATTAAATGAGTGGAAGTATTCAAGCCAAATATCTCATTGGCTTGGTGCCACTTTTAACATGAATTAGACTTGCATAGACTTGCGCCTTCTGGGGTGCCTTGAGATTTCCCTGAGGATGAAGGAAGACACAATACTCGGGTAGAATATGCATTGTCGCAGTCATCGGATTCCCATGCGACTGAGGAGATACTTGATCACAACGTCACCAATTCTTCTTCCACTGGATTTGAAGTTTTGGCTTGTTTGTGAACTGAATTCGGGGACGGGGGAATGTGGTGACAGCCACGCATGTCCATAGCTAGTCGTAGAAACACTGGCCCCGGAGCAGCCTTGCGCCAAAGAACGAGATGTAACAGTTCCGTGAGGGTAGGGTTTTACTTCCATTCCGCCTTGTTATGTTGTCCTCAATTTAGAGCTGCCCACCCACGTATCTATCCGGGTTCTATCCAGCTAGATGGGAGGTGGAGGAGGTGTCCCGAGTTCGCTCAATTAACATCTCCATACGGGCAGGGTAGGCAACTCCGTAACGGGACTTTTTTAGATAGCTTACGGCCGATGCCGCTTCCGTTGTTAATGGCACTCCTGTAAAACACGGAATCGGTGTAGTTGCCGAAGGTATACGTCATATTTAGCCCTTCTCTTTTAAATCATCCCCGATTCTACTACAAAGAGCATATGCACTTCTTCCGCCCCGCAAAGGTTTATTGCTTAGCGGTAGAATTCAAGACAGCAGACCCTTTAATAACGGGTCTTATTTTTGCTGCTATTAATGTAGCGCTCCAAGACTCCCCCGAAGACGAAGGAGTGCGTAATACTCGGGTAGAACATGTATATTCGGCATACAGCAGGGTTCGGTGCTCCTGGCATGGTTCGAAAGCCACCTCACCCGCAAAGGTGCAATGGTGGAGACCACAAGCAATCTCCTTATCACTACTGAGAGTTAAACAATTAATGTATTACTATAAGCGGAAAATCCTTAAGCGACACGCATTTCGACAACTTGACGACAGTAGGGAGGGTTGCAGAATATGGAATTGTGGACAGACCTCATTCTACTTAGTGAAATTTAGAATATAATTAAGCAGTAGTGAAACATGTTAGATCAGTGACATTATTCAAACCCATCAGTTCAATACTTCAGTGAGGCACCTAACCAACATGCATTTTTAGCTATACTTTATGAGTTTCACATTATTATTACTTAAAAACGATTAGATATAGGCAATTAAGAGCTTTTTGTAAGACCTGCACGGGTTAGTAAAATGTTATTTGTTCACTAATTAGCCTTTATCAGCTGAAGCAATAAATTGCCAAAAGTTAAAACTATGGTAGATCGAGCCTCGAAAAAATACATTAAGCAGAAAAATGGCAATGCCAAGCTTCTGCGGGATGACCTTGACATTTTGTCTAATCAATGACAGCAAGCTTAAGTTCTGTCGACTTGCCCGCTTTGGCTTTGCCTCTAGACTATCAATGGATCATCATGAGTGAATTGATTTCCTGGTTCCTGCCCTTAATTTTAAGTTTCCCTTGACAACTGATTTATCTTACAGCCCGTAACATCTGTTTTTGCGGACTCCAATGTCTTTTATCTTGTGCATGCCAATTCGTTTAATACATATTTCGATTTGCGGTTAATTCATTATTAGTCGTCGTCATAATCGTTTTAGCGGACCTGTACATTCTGTATCGAGATGACAGCATTTTGAAATCTCCTGTTTTAGTTCCAATGAACAAATGTCTACAGACGAGCAAGCGAGTTTAAAGGAACGCTTAAAGACTTATCCCGTGGAACCCTTTGACAGGGACACAAACGTTTTTCCCTACTACGTCATTTTCACAAAAGATAATGTTAAGGTGCTCCGTCTTTTTTCTCATCCTTAACTGTGAAAACAATAGGTTAGAGTCCCAATCGCTCTTGACTCCAATGCGTATCGGTGCGTTCAGGAGAACTCACCACTTTTCCTCGAGAAGCTGAAAGACCAGTTGTTCTCAAAATTTCCCGAGGCCTCTTCAGAAAAGACTCCTGTGGTGCCGAAGCTTGATTCAAAGAAGTCCTATATTCTTGTTTCCGATACATCTAAAAAGGTATTAGATCTCAATTGTACATTTTTATGAGTGGCTCAAGTTTTTTATAACCTCAAGTCCTAAGTTTGGTTTGCTATATGTGGGTTTCTTGTACGCCCTCAACAGTTGGTTCAAAAGCTACCTTTATTTTCTACTCCCCCTTTCCGAAACTCCTCTAGAAACTTCCTTGAAAATAATATCTTTTGGTGAATAGCCGATGTTGTGTTCCACTAGACTTTACCCATATATTTGCATCTAAATTGGTCGGGTATGCCGAGACTTGGCTAATAGTAACTTTTGCTTACTTTAGGATGTGACACTTGCGCTTCCCAGTATATCTTCAATGACCAACTCACTCTTTGATGAAATGGTAAATTTTCGGCGGGAGTTCAGAAGGATCCGGTGTTTCTACGGTAAGTTTAGCCACAAAATGAAAACGCTGATAACGCTTGTTAAAATACACTTCATTTCTATTGAATGGGAACGCAACTGAAGTGTCGCTGTCGGTATTTTTTTAAATTTGTCTGTTGCATTAAGTTTTTACAGAGGACATAGGAAAAGTATGATTAAGCTTTATCACCCACATCAGGATGTCAATCTCCATAGCTAACCTATCGAATTTGAAAGAAATGGTTCTAGTAAACCGCACGTATACTGTGCTTAAAGTAAATGGCTCACTTTGAAAGGTATCTGTCTTGTTGTTGTTGGTAGGCCTGACCTACGATGACGTGGCACAGTCCATATTAAACTGCTACAAGGTGGACCAGTCGGCTTACATGCTTTACCGTCTCGAGATGTGCTCTTTGACGGCGTGGAAGCATTCACAAGAGCTTGCCCTCATTCGACGCTGGGTAGCTGATATGAAGACGCCCAAACAGCGGGCTCGTCTTTTCCCACCCCGCAAGCTCAAACAATCTCTTCTGATGCGATATGTGAGCGCCTGTCTACCGATGTAGCTCTTATGTCAATTACACTGCTCTCTGTTTAAAATTATGCATGTTCATTTGGTCTCTCTTTGTGCCAGGAGAAATTGGCTGCTAAATCGGTCACCTTTACTAAGGATCAACAAGAGAAATTGGAGAAGTTTTACTTAAAGGTAAGTTCCATTCAAATTTATATGCTTATCACCTGTTGAACGTGTAACTGGTCGGTGTTTATTGGCTTTTCTATTTTTAGAAGAAAAAACCCAGCAATGAAGATCTAAGAGAACTGAAGGAACAACTAGGCTTGCAAGTTTGGAAAATGCGCTATTGGTTAAGGGAAAGGAGCTTGAATGATGAGAACGCGTAGTCCCATGTCTGTATGTATTTTTATTTTTCCACAAAACTACAGAGATTTGCTACTTGCTTTACTTTATGCGTAGCTACACGAGCCTTTTGATCTCTTCAACATGGGGGGGTTATGTTCGCAATTATTCATTTCCTTCACTTTTATTGTTTTATTATGACCTCAGGGGGGGCTTGAGTTACTACATTAGTGGCACCATTAAGCCAACCCGATCCATGCAAAGAATAATCCTGATCCCCTTGGTTGATTATCAGATCTCAATGCTACAGAATGGAGGTGGCTGCTAGTTATGGTTGGATCTGTGGGGACTTGTCGCAGGGAGGCTAAAACAGCGGTTAAATTTGGTCAATCGTCAATTTTGAGTTCTACAGGATGACTGCTATTGAAGCGATGTAAGGAATCAATGGCTTGTATTCGATCTCATGGGAGAGTTTATCATTTCCTCTATGAGAACATGACATTTACCTTCTGAATCCCACCCTTAGGGAAAAGTTTCCTCACGAACTGATTTATACGCAGAAGATGGTGGCTGTAGAACATGGTCCAGTCTTGAGCACTACCTCCCCGTTGGATTCCTACTTGATGTGGCCTGCTTTATAGGGGAAACTATCTCCGGAAATCATAAACAAACCCGTAGAATGTTAGTACAAATAGGTAGCATCACCCATATGATGCATTGGATCGCAAGTTCTGTGAAGGCTCGTTGTAGGAGTGTCGGAGACGTCGCTGAGAAGATGTCTGTACGTTAGTAGTGAATCCTACTAGAATAGCTTATTTCAAATTTCGAGGCGACTTGGGGCGTCGCGAAACCCTTTTTTGACGATTCTACATTTGCTCTCTTATTTAATAATCCTCTTACTGAGTCTAAAGCTATAGGGTGATTACGATAATCACGGTGACTGCAAACTGTTGACGTCCCTAGAAGTGATGGTTGTCACATACTACTCGTCGTCCCAATTAAGTAGCGCTTGTTAAATCTAGTGTGGGAGATCGGAATTAATTGATTGTTTGAAAAGCAACTTCTAATAGTAAGTCTTTTGATTTTCAGAGTGGGCATTCGCCCACTCAACTGCCCATGTATGAGCATGGTATTTAGGCACATTTTACACCCAAGAATTTATTTTATTCAAGCGATTAGACATAAGTAGATAATATAAAAAAATTCTTCTTTCTCAAGGTCTGGCTGTGAAATGAAATTACCGTCCCGTTGTGTAATAATTTGTGTCAACGTTGATGGATCTTACACGAGAATATGGGAGTTGTATCAGGCTTCTCTGAGGTATTTTAGATTTGGTACTGCTACGTTGCAATGCTTTTGTAAAGGAGCCCTATGGAGCATCAGAATGTTTAAAAAAAATACCTTTCCTAATTAGCTATGATAGACACCACTTTAATGAACTACTATTTTAACGGCATCGGATTACATGAATAAAAAGAATCAACAAAATTAAGGATTACCGAAGAGCGCCCCCAAGTTTTTCCAAATAAACGCGGTATTTTAACGTCCTAAGCCTCTTCTAGAGCCGTAATACCCCATATCAATATTGACGGGGGGCTGGAAGGCTATAGACGTGTCACGCTCTGGGCAGCATTCCCACCTGCAGCGGTAGAAATCTCAGTTTTGAAGTTTTTACCCTCTTGGGTCTTCTGTTTGGAACCATCCCTAGTTGGCGCCGAGCATCGCCCCTTCGTCTTCGGCCTCGTACATTTGTAGCTCAGTTGCTCAAATAAACCTCTGCCTTCTGCTCGACCACTGGATTTAATTGGTTCCAAGTTTCAAGAGGATTCAAACTACATCAGTTAGTAACCAGTACGATAAGTGGGTACAGAAATACCGACCACCTGCTGCAAAAGGTGAAGTCCATTCATGATCGACTTTCAGTGCTAATAAAATACAGAGAAAGTAGCTTATGATGCATCAGTTCACCTGTATTTTTGCGACACCCCAAATTTCTCGTTGGAGTTTAGCGTCACAAATGTGTGACACGTGCTCCTCACCAGTTTATGATAATCGTGTGCGGAATGACTGATTGATATTATCACAGCATAAGGTATGTGCGTATTTCTCATCCGAGAAGAACCGCATTGTTGACCACACAACTAAAAGAAATAATGCAACTGATGCCACATTGCAATAATAAAAATGCACTTGAATTGCGGTGAACAATTTTCCCCGAAAACTAGGTACCGAATAAGCTAATTATGTCTCTACTTGCACACAAACTTTCCCTTTTTTGTTATTTCCAGCCACTACACAGGCCAACACTTTAGAGAGTAAAAAGGCCACACGTCACAAGCATTTGGTAGATAATTATTCAAGGAAATAGCTGATAACGGTCGCACTCCTACACATCACAGACTAAAACACATGGCATAGATAAAGGTGGCTGGCAGTTGATTGGACAACACCGAGGAATAATTAAAAGCTCCCTTCTCTCTCTCCCTCCCTCTGTCCCTCCACCTAAGGTGACTCGACGTAGGAGCACGCTGGTGGGTGCACCATTCCGAAGATGTTTAACTCGTAGAGGCTGCATATCACGAGGAAGAGAATGTAGGTGATCATTAACCCCACACCGTAGGGTTTAGTCAGTCGCCAGCGATTCAAATGCGTTGCGCCGAGGAGAATCAACACAGTGACGAAGAGAGTCAATGTGGCATAGGTCAGGCCTGAAGGTAGAAATGGCAAGAAATAGTGGCAGCAGAGGCATCACTAATGCAGTAGACAAGGCGTTACCTTGCGAGTAGATTACTACGGGTCCACCAATAACCATACTGCGCACCAACCAGGGAAGTCCCATACAAACGAGGATGTCAAAGATGTTGCTTCCCACCGCGTTGGAGATAGCCATATCACCCTCACCTGAAAGTTCACTCAAATAGTAGTCAATGAGGCGGCCAGGACGGTTGAGTCTTAATTTTTTTTTGCTACTTAAAATCCATGCATAATGCAGGCTTAATCATTTGGTATTCTGTTCAACTTGATGGTTAACTACGCAAGCCCGTTAGTTCTTGCCGATCATACTGGTGTAGGGAGGACATGGAGTGCTACATCAGTGCCAACGGCAAGTCGAGTTCGACCTAGAGGGGTGACTTTTTGATTTCGGCGCCTGATCGCCAAACTTTCACGTCACAGAAGAACGGCATCCGTTGCGGATGCCTGCATATCCAAAGACCCCGAGCAGAACAGTGAGAATGACGTCTGCCTTCAACAATGACCCCAACCTTGCGTCCTGCAAGAAGGCCGTTAACAATCGAAGGGAAGTCAGCGAATCCACCTCCCCACTATGCAGTTCACAAGTAAGAGGCAACTCCAGATAAGCTCCAATCACCAAGGCATATCACAGACCTTGGGATCAAATGTCCTCTTAGCCACATGATGATTTAATGATTGCCATTTCTGCCCCATGGGTGTCTCTAAAACACGGACTATGTTGTTATGGCCGATGTAGAATGTTGGCGGAGGAGGAAGAGAAAGGAGTTTTGAGTGGTTTACTATTATGTGTAGCTGTGGGTGTAACCAAGGCAGTCCACCGCATTTTGTAGGCTGTACTTCCGTTTTGTGGCACTGTCCTCCGGCCATGCTTATAGCCGCTCAGCCATTCCGTGTGCCAATAATAAATCCTCCTTCTTACCGCTATGGCTCATTACGACTCAATAGGAGACTCGTGGCACTATACAAGTGGTTTCTATGTTATATTATAGTCTGTTACAAGTGATTTGCATCGATATTCTTTTTCCTGGAATTTTAAAACTAATATTTATTAACTTTTTGACACAAAGTGACTAGTAGGATCAATGCTACTGAAATGGGTAAATTAGTAGCTTGGGTAGCTTAAAAACCAAATTGATGATTATTTCACATTTAGATTAAGGGCAATACTTTGTTCATTAAAAGTAATCTTGTTTAAACACAGGTAACTCCATGCATCAGTATAAGGTTCAAAATGCAGCCTCGCATTGAGCCACAAGCGTCAGGATCGAGTGAAAAAAAGTACGTAGCTGAACAGAACATACCTTCGCGAACCACAATGACGGAGGTAATCGCGTCTGGGACACTAGATCCAGCAGCTATGAAGGTTAGGCCCATAATCGTGTCTGGAATCCCCAAGGTCACACCTAAAGCAGGAAGCTTTCTTTGCCAAAGCAATCACCTTATAGTAGGAGGCAGTGGCAGCTTAATGTTGAAAACGGCATTCATCTGGCTCGTAAGCAGTTTACCATCCCCAATATTACCAAAGCGTTTGCAAGCATAACGATTCTGCCCGTGATTGGATCACCAAGATTCTTCGTTCCATTGCCCATTTTTCCACATACCGTATTAAAACATTTAAAAAGTATTTAAAAACTCAAATGAAGTGAAGTTTCAGTAAAGTAGTCCAAGCCAGATAAAAACAACCCTGTTGATTCTCAGTAGATCACTCAAGGAGTTTTAAAAACACAAGTTTTTGATTACAAGTGATCATAATTGCAAAGTGGTATTGTCGTGATTCAAATTACTGGTCGGTAAGCTAAAAAGTGGATGTACACAACTACAGATTAGGCTAACACAGTTAAGCCTGGCGGATACATTGTGTGCGGATTGTGCGTTTTATCGGCCCTCTTCATTAGTTTGTCAGACCTCTACGTTAGTGACAAGGCCACCTCTCCACAAGGGACTTTAGAGGCAACTTGGATGCTGAAATCCAATTTAAGTAGGTGAGCTTATTGTCCCACACCATGGAAGTCGAACCCCTGAGTTGGTTCGATGTTTACTGGACACAATTTATTCCCAATTTAAATAGTTTTTTAACATCGAGTGAAATCTATGCTGCGATAAATCGCGCCCAAAACACGGGGCCAATCGATGGCCGCGTAAATGCCCAGTTGGCAGCTTATTGGCTAAGCAGTGGCCAATCAAAATGAGGCATACCTAGAAACGAAAGGGAGGGTAAAATGGAAAATGCATTTACTCCAACAAAACACAGGCAAGGAGATGGTAGTCTTCCAATCGCTAATTAGCCACAGCCAGAAAAGTAAAGATGGCATGCTATTCCTATTTTTAGACCAATAGCAGACTGGGACAAGACTTCAATTAACGAAATTAATTTCAAATGTATCGTGTACTCCGAATTGCATCCATCAGCATGGGTGAATAAAACAGCTCACAACATCGTACTTTTTCGCCAGAGTATGCTATGGTTACTAGACCAAAGGAACAGCTTAACATGAGGAAAATCATCCAATCAAAATGAAGGTATAAAACTTGACAAATTCGATGGGGATTCGTTTTTCTCTTTTACTTTGAGGGGAAATTCGGCAAATACAGTTTACCTAATCACGTCGTAACTTACTACACAGTGGTTAATCACATGGCGTAGCACAAATAATAACGAATACTTTGCGTGAATAGAGAAGTTTTACTGCACATTACGGGTCATTAGGGGAGAGCGGAACAGAGCTAAATGTGGTACACTTTCTCGCGCACATCAGTGCCTAGTGTGACGGAGGAAAAAATTACTATAAAAGCGAGGGGATCAGCACACAGGTAACCAATCCGATAGCTACCTAGCTATCTCATTACATAATATGCGTGAAGCCCACCCTATTCCGTCCGTCTTGTGAATTTCTACGCCCACGTAACACGTAGAAATAAAACCGAGGATTTATAACATTCTGCAGAATTGTGACTTTTCAGTACTCTGCAGTCAATTCAATCTCCAACTCACCAACAACCGCGATCATCCACATCATAAAGATGGTGAAGACACCAATCCAAAAACAGGAGACCAGAAATGCAATCCAATGCCCTTGCCAACGCCGCCATCGTGGAGATCGGCTGTCGGGTGTGGTGAGACAGAGGCAGAAGCGAATGGGCCAGGCGAGGATGTAGTAGATCCACCGCATCATCGATGTCCCCTTGGGTGGGAAGGCCAGAGGCGCAAGACAGATTTGGGCAAATGTTCGGGGATCCGAATCCCCTGTGACGCCACCAGTTAGTTGCTCCTTGCTTTGAAAAGTCGGTGCGATGGCTGTCTCTGGATCACTACGAGGTACTGCGGCAACATCTGTGAAGGGGTTTTGAGGGATACTTTAATCAGAATCTCTAAACGTTTCTAACCATGGGTTCTGGCTCAGAAATCTGCGCCGAGTTAGCTAGGAAATACTTCCTTCTTCTCCAATCTGTTAATGTATTACTACTTTGTAAGAAGGTGAGCCTAACGACAGTCAAATTTCAATGCGAAAGAGGATATTCAACGCTCAACTCGTTATAAAAAGAGACTTAAAATGTCACGATTTTCCATGTGTGGTTGAATGCCAGATCCGCGGGGATGCGCTAGAATTGCCATTGCCACCAAGATCGAGGAAGGAGAATCGACCATCGGCACCCAGATATGACACCAAAGGTCGTTGTTTGTGTTTTTTTTGACAAATTCAAGCCAGAAAATGTAATAATCCTTAACCTGAGAGCAGTCAACATCCTTTGTATTGCGTTCAACGCAAGTAATCTATTTGCGACACAATATGACGCAATCAGTTACCGCATGTCATAATAGCTGTGACACGTAACTAGGGGTAAGAGCGTAGGAGCTTCACAGACTTGAGTCTGGAAGCTCACCTGTTAAAGGCAAGTTTTAACAGGTAAATTTCGCCACTTTTGTCAGCATATGGATTCAAGGTTCGCGATAAACTGGAAGTTGATACTTTGTTTGACTGAATCTTTCACAAAGCACCGAAGGAATAAGAGACTTGAAAGAACATCTTCTGGGAGGAGGGTATTTTCAATTCCACTCTGGAAGGGATGGTCGGTATGCCGTCCATTGCTGAAGGCGATGTCTTTGAGAGTCTATTTCCAGCTGGAACTTACACATCATCGAGCATACCGCGAGTCGATACAAACGTCTAGAAGACCAGCTGAAAAAATCGTAAACTACCCAAGCCTAGGCTTCAATTCCAAAAATCAACGTTAGTAATAATCCCAGCAACTTCCGTGCATGACTGAATTTCTGCAAGACCAAATTCAACAGGCTCCAATGCTTCCTCACTGAATGGCTTTCCTCTTGTTGAATCTACTTGGGTTGCTCCTCTGGGGAAAGGTATAAAACATTTCCTAGGACCATTTTTGCAGATTCCAATGGTCACCTCTGTTTATAACAATAAGCCTAGATCTACACAGGGAGAAAAGAGCAACCCAATGACCAAAATGTCAATAGATCTAAATTCATGAAAGAAGGAAAGGTGTCAGCACTCAGCACCACATCCAATTTTCCACTGGCGACCTCAACCCGCTAAGATTAGGATCAAATCAACAGAATAACAGCGATTCTAGGTGAGAAATCAACCCAGCATTGCATACGTCTAGACCCATCCATAAAAAGGACACTGCTCCTTGGCATGGAAACCCACCAAAGGTCAGTACCTCCAACAAATCTGGATCCAAGTCTACAGAGATTCGAACCCCTTTCTAATAACCATAGCGATCCTGAAAACGAAGATTTGTAAGCATTTGACATTAAATAAACCCTTTATCAAGTCTGGAAACACATTCATTGAGGACTCGGCTCACCTTCAATGACTTCATGGGAGCTTAGATGATTTATCAACTCAGACTCATCCGCCTCCAGTCGAGAGTAATTGGCTAGAGGTGTTTCAGAAGACTGCAAACCCATTGTCTCGCCATACTTGCCACCGAATTTGCCCGAACTCTGTGCCGCGATCTCCACATTGCTCACCTCATCGTGTAGCACTCGGGGACAGATGTTGCGATGGGAGAGACACCAGGCGTTCAGTAGTACGTCCAGGCGTCGATTGAAATGCATCAGAGAGATGTAGAAACCATAGAAGAGGAGTAGAATTAGAGCTTCGTACCTGAATTTGGAGGAGACCAACAATCGGTGATAGAAAGACTGTGAGCAAATTATATTGCCAGATAATTCCGTCATTGTGATTTTGCTGGGCGGCATGACATCCAGGTCATGACAGCAGCCCCTCACTCCCAGTATTATGACCTCTTTCGACTTCAGGGAGGACTTGGAGCACTATAAATCATCATCAGCATCTGCCATTCCTTTTTAATCTCATCAACCGTCTCAACGACGGAGTTAAATAAACTTAGACCCAGCCTACCACCTACGTTTCTATTTCACATTCTTTACTCATTATTCAGGATTCTAATTTATAAGTAATTGTCTGAATACAAGGCCAGTACAGATGATGAGGGTGAATCAGTGCTTTCCATCATCCTTAAACACAAACCTCCCAACCAGTCAGTTCGCATGGCATGAGGTCTTTCAGTGTCTTTTGGAGATGGAAATGCAACTTTCTACAAATTAGCTGATCCCGACTCATTTTCACGAGAAAGAAGTTGTCTCAGGTAGTTGGTATTTAAGCTTCAGCAGGTGAACAATTCCATCTACAGTCCACTAAACGCACACACACATGGAAAGGTAAGTATAGTCTCTTGAGTAGTGTGGGTTGGTGGGTCGCCTGAATTCATCCCCTTAGCGAATCTCAGCAAACAATCCCTTCCCAAAGGCACACTATCCAACGCGAAAGACGTGAAAAACAGCGGATTGAAGAATGGTTAGTAAAAGCCAGCGCCATCCTCTGATGCATAGCATGTCGCACTCATTTGCCTTGTGATTGTCACGACTTCCTCTTCGCGGTTAATGCAAACGTAAACGGACTGTCGTATTATTCTTCACGTTGAACATTGTTGGCAGCTACATTGTTGAAGGCACCTCTTGACGGCTAAATGTTGATTTACATTAATCCAAAGAGACACGTAATTTTCCACTTTAATTGACATTTCATGACCCTACTGAACGTGGCCACACATCCACCGTGGAGTGATTAACCACCCGTATCATGTGACGCATTAAAATCCATGCCTGGACGGTGCGTTCCGTGACCGCCCAACACATTTTCGCCGAATGCGAAGTCGATTCTACAAGAAACTTCTGAAACTTTGAAACCCCAACCACATCCATCAAGTGCTCGACCGAGATTTTTTGTGCATAAGGGTTCAAAATATTGGGAGGTAAAGACTAGCGTACTAAAAGACTGCGTTATATGGATCTGCGGCTAACAATGCATGTGTGTACAACCGCCTGTACTTGACAAGTTCCCCAACTTCCAGCCGGTTGCTGTGATGAGCTGCGCCAAAAAGTTGCCCAAAACTTTTGTTTACCTACTTTTTAAAAGGGGTTGCGTGTATGGCCAGGTTGTATGAGTACACACCATGCCAACGGCGTAGTGACAAGTTGGCTTGGCTTGGACCGACTCACCAGTAAACTTTTTCATCGACAATGACCGAGGCGAGAAGGATGATTGACACGAGATAGAAAGTGCTGTCACGAACGAGTGGCCACCAGTTGAGGTATATTATCTGGCGTTGGGAGAAAAGGCATAAAAAGGTTAGAATTTCTTTTTATAGGCAAAGCAGAATTATACCTTGACGATGATGCATAAAAAACAGACTAGGTGATCTTGAAGAGGAATCCCACTAAGAATACCTAGAAGTTGGAAAATATTGAAGTAATAAGTAAGTACTATTGTAACAGTTTGACAATTTGTTTAATGCTTCGTTTTGATTTCGCGGGCATTTAAGGCTCCACCTATGTACTTCCGCTGGGCGGCATGACCTCTAAGTCATGCCAATGGCCCCTCAGTCTTCCCGGACGTCGGCAATACATTTTCTGTCCTAATGTTATGACTTCTTTCGTCGTTAGGATAGATTGGGAACGCCACATTATAACCAGAAAGAGGAAGATAATTTAAATTGGAGAAAAAAGAATAATCAGCACACCTCTTTACTGAAAAGCGCACAAACGCTGGTAACGAACATGACATTGAAGTCGGCGGAACCGACTACAGCTCCCAGACCGATGTCATCCTAAAATAGAGCAAAGAAATGTCAATAGAAACGTAATCAGGAATATGTGAGACTCGCCGCTAGATTGTTTATTAGATAGAACGGAAGTAAACCTAACAAGTGAGCATTAATTTAAAACCTCCCCAATTCTTAAAGTAATTTCGCTCAAAATGCTTAAGTGAAAACCCGAGATATGAGGCAACTTTTTGAAATTTAAATGACCGAATTATTTGTCCCACTCTCAGTTTTGGTAACGATCCACTACTAAGGGGCTCTGTCAATGTACGTCCGCCAGGCGGTCTGGCCTTCGGGCCAGGCCCGGAGCCCCAAGCCCTCCTGTACGCCGAAGATACATATTCTGTCCAAGTATTATGCCATCTTTAGTCCTCAGGCAAGTCTCGGGGCACCACATACTCGCTGATCCATCAAAACTTAAAAGACCATTCCCGCTCGGTTAAGCGTTGTCGTCCCCATCGGAGGGTTTTTAAGGCGGTAAGTTGGTGTCTGATTAAATTAAGTTGTACGGTCTCACAAACAAGAATCTCAACACTTTACCAAATCGTCGACTACTTCTGCGTTTGCGATTCGAAAATGACAAATAATCTGTACAGACGCCATTTCAGAGACTGCTTTTTGTGATAACTCGGCACGACTGCGTTGAGTTTGCCAAAAGACCTTTTTTAATTTTAGGGTTGTAGCAAAAGTCATTTTTGTGAATTTTAAGATACCAACAGCCATTCGCGTGAGAAAAAACGTTTATGTAGCCGATTTGATGGCAGAAAAAGTCATAAATGCTTCGAAGCATTGCATTAAAAACCCAGATTTAAAGGGAAGTGGAAGGCTTATCTAACGAGAAGAGCGTCGACCCAAGCTGGATTTATTGTTAGGCTTTAACGTTTGTTAAGACGAAGAAATTTTCATTTGCCAGTTTAAAGGCCTACTCGCAAGTAAAAGTGTATAATGACCTGATTGCGAAACCGTGAGAAGCTTTTACCACATACTTCTGGAAAACACCAAGCATCTTTTGCTTAGTTTGTTAAAAAAAAACAAATTGTGATGAAAAATGAAACTGGTAGATAATTGAAGCACCAATTATTCAACTTTTAATCTGCGAAATAGCTTTATTGTTGACAAAAAACAGACGCTCCGAAAGTTGTATGACAAATATGGTTTGGATCTCTGTTGACAATAATTTACCCCACCCGTATTTAATCACTCGCCATTAGATCAATGTACTACTAAGAAAAAAAGAACCACATAAGTGCCACTGTCAAGGGGGAGTTAAACCCCGCTACCAATCGTCAACCTTGAAAACTACTCCAATTAAAAGATCCATTTGAGGTTCGTTTAAAAACTACTGTTTTTGATGTAACAATTCACAACACATCCACAGTGCAATCTTATAGCATAGATACCATCATCTTGCTCTGGTTTATTCTCTTTGCTTACCCTATGGGGAAAAAAGCACACTGAAAACACATAACTTGCAGCAAATTCCTCCCTATTTAGATAAAAACATTGACAAGGTAAGAAAGTAACCATATCAATGGGTGCATTAGTGCCTAAATAAGTACAACAATAAATGGAAGTAATGTCATAAACATGAAGGAATTGAGGAAAATGGATGAGAGGATATTGGGGGACGGGCCTATCTCCATGACCACATGAAATGCTACTTTTTCATGATATGGTAAGTATTGGTTGGTTAAATTATGCATCTACATCAATGGCGAACTTGTCGTCACAATTTTTATCCTCCATACATGAAAAGAGAGCTGAACGTCTAGTTAAGGCTTCATAGATGACGAGGCTTTTCCAAACCTCGGCAGCTGCGATTTAGCAATTACTTGCAAAATATACACGGTGATGTTTCAGTGGGTAATTTTTAGCATCAACCTGACTGGAGGCGTCAAGGGGGTAGCTGACTAGCGCTGGGAAGCAGGTAAACGAGCGTGAGGGTTTGAGGTGTCCTACCAAACGTGTCCGTGGGTAGAATCAGAGTTGGCGTAAATGAGTATGAAGGCAGTAACCAATCAAATTTCACCGTGGGAAAGTTTGCACGCACCTCAACTGTGCACACGAGTCCGAGCACGAAGGGTGGATAAATGTGCTTTAAATTCACCCATACTGCGCTGCCACCTTATGTTTACGCTATTCATCTCTTAGTCAGCCAGTCCCTTACATAATAGCTCGGTTGGGTGGAGGCAAAAGCCGCATCGAGTGACAGTAACAATAATTTACACACGAAAGTCCTTTTTTACCTTGGCTGGCTACCACATGAAGCCAAGTAACCCGAGTTCACTACCCGCATACATACTCAATTGTAATTGATATGCTGACAGCTCCTTTCAATCCCGGAGGCACAGCTAAGATAGCCAACAGAACCAATTGTGCTTCAACGGGATCGACAAAAATTCAAAAAAAGTATACAACTCCAAGGTGATACTCTCTTTGGACGCATCGATCATAAAGGAGGTTTTTTTCACCCAATTAAGTGCGTGAATTATGCAGGAAATTATAAAAAAAAACAGCAAGTTCAGCACCAAAACCACTTATAGGCCTCTGTTTTGACCACAAGTACATTCGTTGATGGACAAGTTTAGAAGATTACAAAGAAACGAATAAGTAATTTTAGGTTGTACAGTAGTCTCAGGCTAATCGCAGACTCAAAGGCTATTTGTGTAGTTGGGGAGCAGAAATGAGGGGAGTGAGGTCGGTCTTGGAGCCAATTAAAAGTGGCGCTTTTGGGAGTTTGAGTATGATGGGGTACGCCGCGCCGCACCACGTCGCAGCTCTTGAAGCAAACCTCAAAGCAAATTTGCCACTTACTGAAGGCGGTAGGGCTTAAATTCTACCTAGCACATTGCCTGTCAAAAACGCCATAGTTAAGAGTGATCCGTTTTAGGCATTTTGAAGACAACAAACTATAGATTGTTCAGCATATTTTCCCTTATTGGAAGAATTAACGGTGTTGATTTTCTTATGGATCAAACATGAATGAAATCAGAACAGACTTGATCCATTTTAAGTTTCATTCCTTTTAAGGAGGGTAAAGCGGTACAAAAGAGTGGAAGCGACAGCAGTGAAATATTCACGTGTAAAAAGTAAACAAAGTCCCATTGTTTGTATGAAAAATACCGAATAATTGGAACAACGTAGTTAGTTATCCTTGCTTTCGTAAGCATTTAGGTAGCATTTGGGGTAGCACAAATACTTACTCGAGCAATAAGTACACCGACAAGAGTTGTGGCCAGTTCAGGTGCAGAGCTACCAGCCGCCATAAAAGTCGCCCCAGCCACGTCCGGCTGCAGACGCAGGACTATAAAAAGGCGCATAAGACACAATACGCAAACACCAATCACTAACCATCGCAGATGACCTTGAGACAGGGAATGAAGTACTCGTCGCAGACGATAGCCAGTGCAAGGAACATGTAGGCGGCTGCAAATATGTGGAAGATAACAAGACCCGATCTGCGCTGCTTTTGAGTAAACTGATCGCGTGGGAAGTTATCGATAGCTAGAGGTGTACAATTGAGACCTTTGAAGGGAGGAATGGTGGGATTCATTAGCAGAAGGCGGCGTTCCACTGGAAGTTTTTGATCATCTGAAAGAGGAGTCGTCGATTAAGCCTAACAAACCTTGAACTTCGATACTGTCTCGACCTTCCTGTTGGTATAGAAGGATGACCGCCTTTGAGGTGTAGAAAAGAATAACCAGAGCAAGAGTGATCATGCGGTATTTAAACTGCGTTGATTTGGGATCCGTAATCTGCATTTCGGAGAAGTGGATATTAACCAAAAATATCTAAAAAGTGAAAAAGAACAGCTAGTAACTCGATAACTTCGCGAAGCTTGATCTATGATTGCGAACTGTAAAGCGTGGTATCGACAGTTAAAAAAATTGGGAATTCAACAAAAGGACGCAAACAACAAAACACTGCTAAAAGAAAAAGGACTAGTAAAGATGTATGTGCCATAAATCAGACAAATCTAAAAGTGAATTTCAAAGATATACAGCTTATATCTTCAGTGAAAGGCAATGGGACCAATGTATTACACGTAAAGAAAACAGACACCATTTAGGGCATGAAAATGAAAATTAATCGCCTATAAATATGCTCCTGCCCACTTTGTCAGTAGAATTGGGCGTCAACTCCCAGTGGTTAAATGAAGCACAAACATATCATAAAGCTACTCGAAAATGTGTTCCAATCATCTAGAGCCCAAACTCTACAGCAAAAATTGCGACCTTAAAATGGAAATCGTTTACACCACTAGGATAAAATAATCATGCATTCCACCAAAACTGCAATTCTATTAGAATTATAACTAAATACTATTAAAAATGCGATAAATAGAAAATAATATAAAGCAAGTTACCCAAGTTAAAAACTCATTATGTTACGACAGTCAAGGCGAAATTGCAGACACAAATGGAAATTTATCCCCAAACGAAATTTAGAAATGGCGACAACTTGACGTTGACATTTCGCAAAGCCTCAAAGCAGGCATCGTTTTCCGTAGCAAATACTCATCAAATTTATCCAAATGTAACGTATTAAATAACGAGAATTTTTGTGCAAAAGGGCATGCTAATCGATGTCTAATAAATGCCAAATAAATACATCTGTAACCATGTTGTTATTGTGAACCAAAAAAGTACTAAGTCCAAAAAAGGAAACCATTACGACACACGAACTTACCAAACAGGCATTGTGCCGGGGAATCCGGACCCGCCGCCAAGGTCAAGGCGCCTGTGTCATACTTACACTCAGCATTTTAAAACGAATGTTAGGGCCCATTTTAGAAGCAAAAAGCTAAATGCTTGTACGTGTTGAAAATACAAGCAAAGCGTTAACCTGTAAGAGCATTAAAGCCTACATTAACAGATGAAAAGTTTCAGATATTAGGCAAGACTTCCAGTAAAAGGCGACCACCAGTGAGGTTTTCTTCCTTTTTTAACAAATTGGGCATCGAAAAGCAATATTTAGTACTGCAATAACTTGGAAAAAGTAATACTTTGATAAAACGCGCTTTTTATGGTTTTTAAGTGCTTTCTAATTTGTTATAAATGAGACACAAATATGGGATTTTCTAAGTGCGCCTAGATTGCTATATGAGGGGAGCAGCCCCGTTTTATTAAAGTGTTATTTAAATATGCTTTAGCCCTTTTTCGTATTTTATCAGAATTAACTGTCATATTTTAGCCTCTATCATTTTATATAATCATGAGCAGGTTTGAACTCATTACATCAATGGCGGGTAGGTTGCGCGAATGGTTTGGAGGTGGGGATTCGTATGGCGCTATTTTCCGTGTTGTCCATTGACGTATTCAGTTTTTAACATTTTTAGATACAAGGTTTTGGTTAAAGTTTTTCAACGATGCTGGTCTTCCAAAGGAAACTTCAAAACGCTATACTAGCCTTTTTTGTGAAAATCGCATAACCTTACAGCATCTTCGCTTCCTCGACAAGGATCTTCTTAAAGAAATGGGAATCAATGCTGTTGGAGATATTATAACGATCCTTCAATATTGCAAATCCCTTGACATCGATGTAATTTTGCTCTTATTGCTTGACTATCTTCGTTTATAGAAGCTTTCTGACGCACAGACTGATGTTGTGGTTACCTCGACAACTTCAAGCTCAGAGAAACCATCGATCCTCCCTGGTCACGAATTGCCAGTGCCTTCAAAACGCCGCGTTACAAAGGAAATGGAGGGACCTTATGTAGTCAAGTTCCCTGAAGGCAAAACGGAAAAGACTCGACGAATTCTTAAAAAAATGGCAATACGTAGGCTATATAAACAACTGAACTTGGGTTTTTTTAGCGGACAGTGGGAATTTTTCCAACGATCCCGGTACTTCCTCGCAGTCATTGCGTACTGTGGTCATTACGGCTACCCCATCCTCAACGTCCAAATCGGGTCCTGCTCAGGGAGCTCCTCTTGATTTTGACGAGGAGAGTGATGACGACAATGAAGACTTTGAAGTTATTATATCGAGGTAGTTTTCAAGCCATTAAGTCCTACTCTTTCTCTGATCACGTCCACTTGCTTGTAGGATCGTCAACTTCTCCTCACGAACCTTTTTTTGTCTATCCTACTGGTTTCCTTACTTTCGCCCTTGACTCTCATTGAAATAGGTTAAGCATATCATCTCTATCGCCTTTTGTCCCTCAGTACTAGTCCCGATGTTCGAACAGCAAATCTGGGCACTCGGCCCTACGTCGCACGCCCCTCCGTCTTCGATCGCCTTGGTGCGGAGGTATCTTTCCCAAATGTCGCTGCGGCGAAAGGATCCTCTGCTCTACCCCCCTCCTCGTCTGCCACATCCGGTGGCAAAACTGTCCTTGCTCGCATTGTCGATCGCACCATCACTAGCAACGCGGCAGAGGAGACTCATCTTCGTCATAGTTTCGCTCAGTCTGGCTCTCTAAAACGATCCGTGAGTAGATAATGGATGCTTGATTAGTCCCAGGAAAAGTTTCCACAACCTTTCAAGTGATTGCTGCCTCGGCTCTTTGTGTTGATATCAATGGTCCTTCTTTTACTACCTCCATTAAAAGGCAAGTGAATCCATATTTGCCCGTCTGGGTGCTCCTTGGAGTAAAGCAGCAGAAGACGAGCCCGGCTTACCCTACCAAGGTGTTTTGAAGCTTTCTCGGATGTCAATGCCGAAACCACAGCCTCAAACACCATCACCACCGCATGTTTTAAAATCCCCTTCCAACTCTCAAGCTCGTGTCTCCGCGAAGAGTCGCCTCGGCTTTGCTCCCTCTGCCTGCAGCCCCACTCTCAACCGATCAGCGGGCATCTTCGCCACTGATTTGCAAAGAAATTGTGCGTGCCTACCGTGCTTTTTTATTGTTTCTGCATATAAACCGGGTACTTGCACGCTTCTAGTCGTTACTAGTCTCGTTTTTGTGCATACATCACGTCAAATTGCAATTTCTCCACTACGCGCCTGCAAATGTTGCCTGAGTTGGGGGTTAATGTTGTGCCACCAGAGTGTGGTCGGCGTCGGTGACCTGCGCTCGTACTAACTCGATTATCCTTGCCATGGCTGAAGTTACTGCTTGATTGCTGTTTGCCAGTGAAGCCATCACTGAAAGTCGGAGTTGGCTGGAATGGTTTAGTGCTGCAGGTTTGAACAAATGAATGCATCCATCCCGTGCACATGGCCAATGGGTTGCATAAGTTTAAGAGACAATGTAGTCTGTTCCTAAATTCCCGGACCTGCCGAGAAAAGTAGCCTCCAATGCACTTGGTCGTTGTTAAATTTACTTTTTCAATTTTCCGTCAACTTCATAGAGACAGTGTGGGTCAGCATACGCCCTTGGCCCCACACTGTTCCCCTCATCTCATTTTTCCCTTTCCAGTGCGCCAGAGGTTGGGACGATTCTAACTCCCTCACCTTTTGCTTTTGGAATTCGTATCTCCCATCGCACTTCCGGTAGTGGTGGAGCTGTTTTCTTCTCTCCTTTGTATATACACCCGCCTTTTAGATAAAAAGCAATTCACCAAACCTAGCTCATTTCTGTTCTTGCTTAATGTATGGTCTCTTGCATGGGTCACTCTCTTTTAGCGAAAAATACACTTCACTTCAAGTACTGTTTCCGTAATGACGAATGCTCGTTGGTCAATCTGCTCAAACGTTCATAAATTCGACTGAGTCCAAGATTTCTCTTTGGATTTCAATTAATACCTGCTGTACTCAAATAAGAAATCGTAGATACTCTCAAAATATGTGTGTATATACCACAAGAATAGAGAGAATCAAACATTTTAAATCACCAGCACAATCGTCAGGAGTTCAGGCAGTGATGACAATAGAATGTGTGGGCATGTCATCTAATCGGTCTGATCGAGGACGGGGAAGGCAAGAATGGGTTTTCGGAGGTACGAAAAATCGGGTAGAAGTGCCAGTACCTTTGAGACGCGTTCTAGCACCTTGGTTTCTTTCGTAGTTGCTGCTATTTCCGACTTATCTGCGTGGACGTCGAGAGAACGAAGAGTGACGGATAGACTTTGTATCGGGGGGCTCTGAGGTGGTGGCGCAATAGAGTGAAGGAACTCGGCCTCTAGGTCTGAAGAGAAACATTCAAGTGGAGGCCAAAACAAGCTTTGAGGAGGAGAGACAGAGTGGAGGAGGGTGGTGGTATTTGGTTTGAAAGTCACCAGTTGATAAAATTATCTTGGCGTTCAAGCTAAAACAATAATCTTAGAATATTATTTTCTATTTATTCATAATGATGGCAATGGTGTCGCGACGTTAAATTGGACTAGTTTAATTTGCAATAACTGGAAAAAGCATAGAAGTAAATAGTGTAAGGAAAAAAACTACAAACCTGATATGGGGGCAGATGGTTTCGGGGTAGCTTTAGAGGGCATTTCTTCAAACAGCTCCAAGTCAGCTTCTGAGGCGGACTGGATGATATTTTCTACGGATAAAAAAAAGATGCAAATGAGGTGTCATCAATTTCCAGTCAAATATCCCACGGAAGTGTTTTTAGTTGGCGATGCGGCGCGTACCTAAGTTAATTCTTATAAGGGTAGCGTATTAATTAAAAGTGAGTACGTTAAAAATGAGGAAATTGGTTTTCCGTTACACATTAATTGAGTAATCTTTAGGATTTGAAACTCCACATGCTAGAACACTGTCTTCTCACCACGATTCGAAGTCATTAAGAAGCACGTGCTTCAGGCAAATAAGCGTACAAACGCTGACCTCATTCTACTGCCTGCGACTGTAGGTGAAAACTCACCTGGACTAAGGGGATTGGTTAGTCCACTCGCAGACCAGTCAAATTCGGGTACGGGAATCTTTAATGCAGGATCAGTGGCAGCAGCGTCATTCGCAGACGGAGATGAATGGGTTGGACTTAGATTTGCCGGAGCAACGGTGTGGTTTTCGATGGGCGTTGGTTCAAGCAACTTGAGACGTCCGTGATTGGGTAAAGCGAGACGCTACGAGGGAGAGTAGAGTCAAATGCCCTTCTTTTGAAAATACCATGAAATGGATTATTGTTTCTATCTACAAAAGGTTTTCAAGATTCGGCTAAAAATAGGAGTAGAAAACGATAGTGCCTGAGGGCGATGAAACAATCATAAAACCAAAGTGAGTGTCTTCAGTGAGCAGATGGCGAATCAGGAGGAGGAATATCGGAGTTCGTACGTGTAATCACTTCGAAAATGCCCCTAGTAATTTGACTAAAGCAGAAAAATCTTAATATTTAGTTACAATTAATAGTAATAAGAGTAAGGAAATAATTTTTGGTTCGGGTCGTTTGGAGAGTCATGTGGTTATGAAAAGTGAGTTAATGGCTAATGTGGTAATGTAGCTAGCTGAAGTACATGATTAGAAAATATGAACACGGTAAACACAAACACCCCGACCACTTCCTACATTACTAATCAAACTAAAAGTGGGTAACAACAATAAAATCGCCATGGCAAGCTACTAAACGACCTACATACTTTTTGATCTGCGAAGGAGGTTGCTATCCAAGTTTATGCTAGTAAAAGATTGAAAACCAAGCGAGGATGGTAATTAGATACAATAAGAAAATGGAAGAAAGTCGTACTGTGCTCTGTAAATCCACACCGATTGTTCCGAGAAACATGGAGTATGTATTCGAGGCATTCCAAACGTGGAGAGAGGCGAAAGACTCTGGATGAGCAGAAACGGAGCTTAAAAGACTGAAAAGTGGAAACGACATTTGAAATTTGGCACGTGAAAGTCGTTCAACAATTAGATTGTCGTAGATGAATTACTTTTTTACAGCTTTAGTGGACGCCCTCGCCCAGAGGTCTTCCAGATGAGCTCTAAATTCGCTAACAGCGTTGGGAGATAATAGCTCCGAAGGAACAAACGTATTGAGTCCCGCTCTCTTATCAATTGAGAAGGCTGCTTCAAGAGCTGTTTGGGTGTGGACTAGGAGATTTTTCTAAAAAAGTGCAACAATTATTAGCGAAAGTAATGTTGCACTGCAAATGCTGCCGAATGATTAAAAAACCTACAACGAGGGAGAAAGCAGGAATAATATTTTCGGTTGAATAGACGGGTTTTTGAAAGTCCGAGAAGTCAGCAAACTCTTCGGAGACTTTTTGCGATGGATCAGATTCTGTAACAGGACTTTTCTCGGGTTCGGCAGACTGAAACGCTGCGAAATCATCGAAGTCGTCATCGTCACTCGAACTGTTAGAGTAGTACTCTGGATCTTTGAGAGGAATATGTTTGGGTCCTACAAAATCTATCGAATCATTTTCTGCTACACTCCTGAAGGAAACAAAATCGATGTTTTGCGTATTATCTACACATTTTGAGGTTTCATATGGGGATTTACCACAGTCAGACGTGATCGAAGGAATAGCTAAAATGTGGGGCGCAGACTTTGAAAGCCTAAGAGACTTTAAACAACTTGATGGAGGTGACGCCTTATTGCAGACAGCATGCCGTCGATCTACCTTGTGAACAAGTGTGTCAAGAGATCCCCCATTGGTAATCGGTGAGACACAGGGGAGTGGGAGATCCAGTTTATCAGAGTTCTCACATTCTTCGCCACAAAGTGTGAGACCATTCCCATCAAAATCATCCAAGACACTTCTTGTATTAGATGAGTTTGATATGACGCAAGCTAAATGAGATGCAAGATCCCCAACTGTTGTTCCAGGAGGGAATTCGGGTGGCATTTCAAAATCCGATTCACTCGCAGACTGATCTCCAGGCGAGTTAAATTCGTCAAGAGATTTCTGAACACCGCAATAAGAGGTAGTACAAACTGAGGGGGACTCTAGGGCATCGAAACCATTCATACTCATACCACTCATCGAAAACACAGGACGTCAAGCATTGACCAAACACATTTACAGTATACGGGTGAGTTCGTAGGTTATCAAAACACGCTTGTAGACGAATGTCAGATTTTCAGTCATATAACTGAGAAGATACTTTAATACGACAAATACAAGTCAGTGTGCTTAGTAGTTTGCAAGACATAATACTAATATCAGCACATAGGCAATAAAGAAGTAATTTGTTAACTACACAGTTAATGTTCATAAAAAATGGTTATGTCATGCAAATTGGTGACTTATTTGCCAAAAAGTAGGTTTCCAGCCAATTAAACACTTTAAAATTCTTAATAACCCGATGGTGGTCAGCGGTGCACAAATGGCATAAACTTCGTCAACCCCAATTTTACAGACATGATCCCGACACATACATTGAACGACAGATGCAAGTGTAGCATTTTATAACTTTTTTAGGGTGACGTTGCATTTATTTTGAGAATAAACAGAAAAGTTTGAGGGCAAATGACATGGTCTGAGGGCCAGGCCGCTCGGTGTTGATACTGTAGCGCCCTGAGACTCCCTTAAGACGAAAGAAGACACAATACTCGGGCAGAATATATATATTCAGCACGGAGAAGGTGTCTGGGCTATTGGCATGGCCAAAAAGGCCAGCCTTAGCCAGCGAGGTACAAGGGGGCTAATTCGAAGTACAAAAGTGGCGCCTCACCAATACTGGGGATAAACCACCATCGTATTACATAGCCTCCCTCCTCTTTTGAGCGTCCTCCCCGGCGCTCCCACAGGTCAACCTCCCGCGTCAGCCATTACAACGTAGTCGGTGCAGTAAAGAAACACCCACTAGCCGACCGTGCCAGTCACCAAATTAGCGCGCAACTGAGGGGATACTTGACCTCAACGTCACTGATACCTCTTGGCAGCTTGACTGGATCTGGGGTTTCGTCCGGTTTGGGGATTTCATTCAGGACGGGGAACTGCGCCGGCCATCATGCGTGTCCATAGATAGATGCAGGAACACTGGCCTAAAAGCAGATTTGAGTAAGGAAGTATAAGATTTAAAACAGGTCCATGAGGGACAGTAGGGGAAATCCGTAACGAAACTTCCAGATGGTTCACAGCTAGTGTCGCTTCAGTTGTTAATAGCTTTTCTGCAGAGCACGGGACTGGGAGGGCTGCCGAAGGTAGACGTCAACACCAACCCTTCTGTTAGGGGTCATCACCATTCTCCCATCCGTAGCATATGTACTTCTTCCGTCCCACTAAGGCTTATCACGCAGAAGTGGAGAATCAGGATACATGTCTTTCAAGATCGGGTTCGCTTTCCGCTGCCACCAATGTAGCGCCCCGAGACTCCATTAAGACGAAAGAAGACACAATACTCGGGCAGAATATATATATTCAGCACGGAGAAGGTGTCTGGGCTATTGGCATGGCCCAAAAGGCCAGCCCCAGCCAGCGAGGTACAAGGGAACTAATTCGAAGTACAAAAGTGGCGCCTCACCAATACTGGGGATAAACCACCATCGTATTACAATACTGTAGCGCCCCGAGACTTCCCCAAAATAGAGAGAATAAATAATACTCAAGCAGAATGTATACATTGGACAGATAGAAGGCACTTAGGCTACGGCCATGGCCCAAAAGCCAGGTTGCCCGGTAAGGTACTATAATCAAGTCGAAAGTGACTCCTCGCCAAAACCGATTGTAAAACTGCCATCGTATTCTATAGCCCCGCTCCTCTTTTCAGCGTCGTTATTGGCGCTTTTCTAGTCAACCTTCCGTGTCAGCCATCACAACATAGTTAGCGCTGTAAGAAAACATCCACGAGCCAGCCGTACCAGTCATCAGATTTTTATGCAATTGAGGAGACACTTCACCGTAACGTCATGATCCCGCTTGGCACTTCGACTGCATCTGGAGTTTTATCCGATTTGAAAATTGGATTCAGGGACAGAGGATATGATGGCCATCATGCAAGTCCATGGACAGATGTAGGAATACTGACCTAAAAGCCGGCTTAGGTAAGAAAAAGCGGGATTTAACACTGGTCCGGGGGGGGGGGGAAAGGTCTCGTGTGTGTTCCTCCCTGTTACATTGTTTTCATTTCTGATCTGCCCAGTTATAGGTATCTGGGCTCTAACCATCTAGTAGAGAAGTGGAACAGGTATCGAGAGTTCACTTTATCACAGCTTTATGCAGGTAAGGTAAAGAGACTCTGCGTTGAAGCTATTTTAAAAAGTTTGCAACTAGTGGCGCTTCAGTTGTTAATAGCTTTCTTGCAGAACACATAGCTGCAGTATTTGCCGAGGGTGGACGTCAGTTTTAGCCCTTACGTTTGGACTCATCTCCGATTCTCCCATCCGCAGCAAATGTACTTCTTCCGCCCCACTATGGTTTATCAGCCTGCAGTGGAAATCACGTTAGTTTCCTTAAAGATCGGCCGTGCTTTCCGCTGCCACTAAAGTCGAGTCCTAAGGCTTCCCTGAGGGCAAAAGAATACATAATACTTCGGCAGAATATATATACATAAAGAAAAAGCAGTGGGTACTTTGGCTACTGACATGGCTCGAAAGTCAGCCTACCCGGCGTGGTACACTTATCAAGTCAAAAGTTGCTCTCAACCATAACCGACGTTTTAAAAAACCAACGTATTATAATACAGTAGGAGAGCCCCTAAGTGACTCGTTGTCATAACTAAGAAAAAGACGCACAGCCAAAGTAAAACATCACTGTCTTCTCACATAGAGCATTATTATGGGCGTAGCCTCTAGTCAATCTCACGCGTCAGGCATTACAATTTAGTCAGTGCTAAAAGGAAAAATACCCATTAGTCTACAGTGCCAATCAATAAATTTGCGTGCAAATAAGAGGACGACAGACTGCAGCGTCACCAGTCTTCTTCTATAATTCTACTAGATTTGGACATTCTCCTAAAAAAATTGTATTTAGGGCCGAATGGTGAAGTTAGCCATCATCTTGTTCTCTTTCTGACAAGGCAAATTCTATCATTCAACGGTCAAAATCAAAAAAAACTGCCATTTAAAAATATATTTGCTTCTAGCTGCTATGATTGTAGCAACTTCAAACTTTTCTAAAGGGGGTGAAGGCGTAATACACAGGCAGCATTTGTGTCACCAACCTACAGAAGTTTTCCGGACTTCTTGCATGGTCCTGGGGCCGCCCGGCAAATGTTCAGTGGCGAATTCCCTAAGCAGCACATTGCAAAACTGAGAGCATAACTTAAGTATAAAATCTGTTCCAATATATAGATTTGCACGATGCGTCGTCGATGAATTTCTGGTCATTGCTGAATTCTCGTAAACCTACTCAATGCAAATGATGTGCTGCGGGGGAAAATACATTTTTGCATAGAAACCATGATTAACATTAAATGTTTTCCCAAGCCAACCCCAATCCCCAAATTCCTGCGTTTTTGTTCAAGGCCATTCTCAGCATCATAACTAAATCGCAATTTAAACTGCCTTTGAGGGTGCTTCAATACAACTTTTTTGTTCAAAACATTATTACGAAGGAAACAATGTTGTTATTAGTTTTTGATATATGTATCACCTTATTAGCATGAATTTTTTAAAGTAGTTTTCTTCTTTTAGGCGAAATGAGTGAGTTTGCAATGCCCCTGAAGCTAACGTATATTTTCCTCCATATTAACCGTCTTCCTCTATTTAATTTCGTAAACACTTATGTAACAATTGCCTTCATCACTTGCTGAAGCTTTTGCGCATCAGATGAGATTATTTACACTGGATGGTTCGAAAGTACTTTAGTTAATATATGTTCTTAGCTTATTTGTTAACCTGCTTCTATGTCTTATCTTCAATTTCTTGGGTAGGTATAAACGGCAATCAGGCGGATTCACCTAAATCGCCAAATTGGTTTTCCAATAAGCGAATACAGGGGTTTTTCAAGAAACTTTCTACGAATTACCCCACTTCTAAAACCACTCCTGTAAGTATATCCTAATATTGTTGTTTACAGCGTGTTTCGTTAATGTATTTTTGGAAATTGCTTGATTGGAGTTCTAAGCCATTAGCCAAAGTTGTTATTTACTTGGTCAGTTGGGGAAATTTAATTAACCATCTTCATTTTGCCTTTAAGTACAACAAAAGTTTATTATTTTTTTCCATCTTAAACCAAGCTATATTCTAATGTCGTGCCATTGGGAAAGAATCTACTGGATTACGCTTCCTCTGTACCCGGAACTAATGCTATCGGAACAGTACTCGTTTTGTATACAGGCGGTGCGATTGGAATGCAAAAGGAAAGCGGTGTGTATAAGCCAAAACAACATTTTTTAACAAGTTACCTCTTTCAAATGCCAATTTTCAACGACCATCCGTGAGTCCATTTCTACGATTGACAAAGTTTTTTCTCTCCGTATTTATCAGACGGGTGAAATTATTGCTCTATTATTACTGTCCAACATGCATTCGTATTACCTGCATGGTTTTGCGTCCATAATTGTGCAATATCTGCTTAACTTTCCAATTTAAGGAGTTTTCGTGAATTGAGATTTTAGGGTTTCTTGCTTTTATGATCTCTATTCTCCTTTGGTAAAATAGCTGCGGCTTACCTTCCGGTTTTACGAACCACGCCTACATTTGCTTATCTTCCCTTTAAATTAGTCAGTACTATCAAAACCATTAATGTCTAACGTTTAGAGCTTCGCAACCTTCCAAATCATATAGAACAAACCATCATATGACACGCACACCCATGCCTTTTTGGGATTGCACCAACGAGATATGTTTCTATTTGACCCTTAAGAATCTTGCGCTCTCCATAAAAGACTTTCCTGAGTTTGGCTCAAGATCTCGTCTGCTTTAGAATATAGCACCACCAAAGCCACACCTATACCTTCTGTCGCAACACAAACTGTCTATTTGACAATGATGACACCAGTTGCATTTGTCTTCTTGGCAAACCCACTTGCTCACGACCAAGAAATGGTGTGTATTTAGCGCTTAATCTTACCCAAATTTAACTAGTCATGCATGAGCTGGCAAGGCGCTGCCCCCTACATCTTTCTAGTATTTCTTCACTTTATAATTGACCTAAAAACTGTCTACTTTATGGAGTGCTAGTTTGGGATTGTAGCATCATTAAGTCCACCTTAAAGTGCTCATTGCCAAATAGGCGATCCAAGTGGTTAAGTTAGTAAAATGAATTTGATCCTGAAAAGAATTGCTAATAACGGGCGAATGTACCCTAAAATTTTAGGTTCTGGGAGCATGCTCCACTGTTCTACAGCTCGACATCACTGCCTCCTACGTCGATAAAGACCTCGACACCTTCTACCGTCTCACTGCCCCTGGCGTTGCCGTTGGACGAGGACGGACGACGAATTCTCTACCGTTTACTAGAGTACGACACCCTCCTCGACTCCTCCGATTGTCAGTTGGAGGTGTGGATCAACCTTGCTAAAGACTTGGAGCGCTTCTACGATTACTTTGACGGCTTTGTCATCCTTCACGGCACTGATACCCTACCCTATGCCGCCTCTGCTCTCTCTTTCATCCTTGAAAACCTCACAAAACCTGTAGTAATGACGGGCAGTGAGTTGCCCATAGATAGACTGCGTAACGATGGACGAATTAACCTTCTGGGGTCTCTGCTCTTTGCCGGTAGTGGCTACGACATTCCTGAGGTCACTGTGTTCATTCAGAACGAGGTGTGTTCTACCGCCTTGGTGGGATTATTGGGATAATTTTACCCATTCCACAGTCTTTTTGACAAGACGTTGCACCGATCAAGGTTGAGTTGTAGTATATCATAGGACTTTGTTCCCGGAGGGTTGGTCTTGCTTCCACGGTTTGAATAACTCTAGGCTTCCTTCCACACTTTGGTCAGGATATTCTCCTCTATCCTTTTTCTAACAAAGCTAAAGTGTTGTGTTTTTATGGGCACCTTTGCGTGGATGATACTTAAGATTGCCTCCTTTAAGCAACTAAAAGGTTTCGCAATGCTTAATTGAAGGCACAAGAGTGATCTGATTTAATGGTTGCCTTTCAGGTCTATCACAGAAGGCGCATTAATGTTGTGCACTAAGGTGGTGCCAACTGCAGTTTGTCTTTGTGACAGATGGGTTTAGCAGAGTTGTTTGCTCTTTGCAAACCTTATATCCGTCTTTTAAAAGACTGCGGTTATTCATGGGTAATCTCTCAGTCTTCCTAGTCACTTCTACATTGAACATTTAGAAACTACCCTAAAGGAGCGAAAATTGTTTAGTTCACTCATGCGGTGCTTAGAATCTATGAGCTGATGAATGTTTGGGTATTCCATCTTCATCACTCGATGAATGGGATCATGAAACGGTTGTACAACTTTTGGCTCACAATAATAGCTCTATAACATGAACTGCGAAACCTGAAGACTTTGATGATTAGGTTTGTCCATGCAATTGTTAAACAGCGCAACCGTCTGGAGGAACAAGGAAGGTAGTGTTTTAATTTGAAGTGCTCCAGATGGTGATGAAGCTGGTGGATAAATAGGAAATCCAAAATTGGTAAAGATAAACAGGTAAGATATCATTTTTATTACTTTTAGCTTTACCGCGGTAACCGAATCGTCAAGGCAGCGACAACTGACTTGGAGGCTTTTCTGGCGCCGAATTCGCAACCTCTGGCTGTGATGGACGAGCACGTTAAGGTGTATAAGGAGCGCATTTGGACTGCCCCTAAACAAGCCTCCAAACGACTGCGTGTTCAATCCAATCTTTGCCCTAATGTCGCTATTCTGCGTCTCTTTCCCTCCATCTCTATTGATGCTGTGAGGTCATTCTTCCAACCTCCCATGCAAGGTACATGCTTGCGTTGGACCTTTTTTACGGATCATTCAATCAGATCAAAGTGGGAGATGGGTGGGGTGCTCCTAGTGAGACCAATAATTGAAAGCTATTGGATCAGATCTTTTCAGCTAGAAAGAATTCTTCAGAATGGGGAAAATAGCCCAAATAATAGGCTTAACTATTCTTGACCTTCAAGCGATTGACGACTCACCACTACCTAATAGAAATTGGTGCATTTATTATCATCCTTTATAACTTCTAACACTTTTACGTTCACAGGAGTTATTCTCGAGACCTTTGGAACTGGAAACATCCCTTCGAATAATGCGGAACTTGTTGAGGCCCTGAAAGAAGCCCATGAGGTGCATAACATAGTCCTCCTTAATGTCACTCAATGCTGGAAGGGTACTGTGGCCAATGTCTATGCAACAGGCGCCATTCTCAGCAGTGTGGGTGCAGTTTCTGGCTGCGTAAGTGACAATGATTGACGTGATGAGGAATCTATCTGTCTCAAACGGCGTATAGTTCTTTTTATGAAAAGGTTTACTTTAGAAAATAAGACGTTAGGTTATTTGACTGCAGCACCAAAGTATCACCTATCCAAATCGGGTGTAGAGCCGAAATCTGGATTTTAACTTCCACCCATTCGGCCGAAGTTGTGGAGCTTTGGAAGTACGGTGCTCCTTTCACTTGTAACGCAATCAAAATTTTGACGCGATATTTGATGCAGCAGGCGGTGTTATAATTCTTTAAAATTATGTCACAAGTTTCTGACAGCTCACACCCATCTTAGTCAGTGTCGTGTGAACCACCCTTGTCAAATTTGACAACTTTTGTGGCGGTTCATTTAAATTATTTGTAGAGACTTTGATGTTGTTACTATTTTCACAAAACCGTCTCATTTGCTGAATTTTTGACTGAGTGGATAGACGGACTCTAAATGCTAACGAAGATCGTATCAGCTTTCACCATAAGAATATATGCAAGCTTTCAAGGGTAATCATCTTCCCCATCTCTTCTTAAACAGAAATTGAATTTCTTTCAACAAATAAGCCTTTTAAAGGGGATTAAATTGAAAGTAATGATTGCTTTTTAGTAAATAAATTCGAGTCGTTTGTTTAATTGCAATATCATTGATACCCTCATTAACCACATTTGGTATCTGCTACTAATTATGAATTCAGTAGATATTTTGTCCCACAGGATATAACTACAGAGGCAGCGCTGATGAAGATGGCCTACGTGCTGGGAAAGTGGGACAACCCAGCCACACAGAGGCGCATGTTATCGCACTCATTGCGTGGGGAAATGACTGAACCATTCGTGGAGACTCGAAGTCATCGTCGGCATTCAGTGAGCACTAGTCAATCTTCTGAAGCTTCGGCGTCTAAGGAGATGACTACAGCCCTGGGCGAGACTCTTGTCAACGCGGAAGCCGCTGGACTGGCCAGGCAGTGGTCTGAAAACCTCTTTCATTCGCTGATATGCGCCGCAGCGGATAACGATGATGTTGAGATGTTGGAACAATTGCTGCACATCTCAGGACACTTTGAGGCAAGGAAGCAAAGAATTTTTATGGAATTTTGCCATACTAGGGCTCTCTAGAAGTGAATTTGACTGAGAAACCGTGGTTGATGATCGGATGTTTCATATGAACGGACTTACGAGAGGGTTATTTACCGCCCCTTTGGATTAAGGATGCTGGTTAAATTACGAAAGGTTACCCAAAAACGATGTTGGTCACCGACTTCTTTGTCGTCCGTCCAGTCTTCTATTAGTCGACGTAGCTAAGTTGCCGTAAAAGGCGTTACAAGTCAGCATCCTTGATAGTTCAGGTAAGTAGACCGATTAAATGCCTCTGCGTTCTGTAAATAGAATACACGAAACCAAATTTCTGCTTTGAAATGGCACAACTCGTGGCCACTGGCCTAATACGAAGCGGTCTTTCGAACAAATTTGCAGCGAATGAGGCAAGACCAGCAGCTCGGGTAGCCTGAGGACACTTTAATGTTATTTAGGGAGTAGCCGAATCGCAGGAGTAAAAAGGTGAAAACAAATGCTTTTTCTCGCCTTTCAGTACACTGACAGCGGACGCATCCACCCACTGCATGTGGCAGCAGGCGCAGGCGCCTACGCCGCGTGTCGACTGATGTTGGAGAATGGAGTGAGCGCCAATATCGCGGATGCGCGTGGCTTCACGCCACTGTCATACGCCGTGCGAGGACGCAACTGCACACCCGCGCTCATCAGTCTGCTGCTCCATTTCGGTTGTCGCCTGCCGCACATCGCCTCTGCACGCGCCCGCGAGGCCAACATTGCGGCAAGTAATGGCAGACTGAAACAACTCCGATTCTACCGTCTCGCTGGGCTTACACTTCAGGTAAGCGGGAGAGGAACTGGCCATCATCTGATGTGACCGATATCTATGCTTACCTTTGATCTCAGTTGGTGAGTGATCTGGCGAGTGGTGGGATAATTAGGGTCCGTATTTATCTTAGGACTCAGAGTGTGCAAAAGGCAGATTCAGTACTAAACTGGTGGATGGCTGGACGAGTTGTAGTGGAAGGGGCTGACTAATTGGTACCCTTGTATTTACTGCAAGTATTTCTAATGAGCAATGTGTCCAAAATACCCGCCTTTGTATATCCTCCCCCAAACTAGCCCAAATCTGGACATGAATGCACTTATTTGATCAAAGTTAAATGATAATTTGATTTAACCGTTTGGATAGGAACTGGATGCAGAGGGCCGTTCTCCACTGCACACAGCGGTTGCCTACCATCAAACGGAAGTCGTGCGTTACTTAATTACCCCAGCTAAAACGGTCGCCGTTGCCTCCGATTTCAACGATTTTGATCAGAATGAGCTGTTTGAGCTTGGTGGAGCGGGAGTGGATCCTAATCACTTAACAGGCTATGGGACCACGGCTTTGGAGGAGGCTCGCAAAAGGAATTTCCTCGACATCGTGCAGATTCTCGAATCGGCTTCAGGGACCCATTAGGGGATGCCCGGACATTAAAACACGAATTGGGTCTTTTGTTCTATATTAAACATCTATTTTCCATTCATTAAAAAAGTGAGTGATGTAAGATTGGGCTGAAATAAAAGCTTGAGACTATTCACCCGCTTGTGTTTGTGACACGGAGCCAAACTCTGGTAAAAATAGGGATGACACAGCTTTTATAAAGCTACGAGACTGCTTAAGGTATTTTAAAACCCTGCGGAACCAATAACAATTGCAATAAGAGTTGGAATTCTAAGTATTTTGTACAATTCGCCACATTTTAGAAAATTGATATAATTACTGTGAGGACCATGACACTTGTTTACAATTTGATGAATAATGAGGTTGGGACCATAACGGATTAACAACTTGAATAATAGAAAGGGACAACCGAGATTCCGGGATCTTGAAGAGCTAAGACACTAAAAGAGTGACTTGTCATTTTTAATCTCAGGGGTTTAGTGTCTCTGAAAATTGATTATAATTTCAAAAATATATCGAAGTTGCTGATAGTATTGTGCATTTCAGAATATGATGTGATTAGCCGCTAAAATAATGTTAAAACCTATTTGCAAGCGTCTGACCTTACTCTGCGGCCATGTAAGACAATCACTTGAACTTAAAAAAAGCTTTGCTAATTTTAAAAACATTTCTTTAATAGCATACTGCAGATTTATTACTATGATACATAGCATTTGCCGTAGATTTAGAGACGAATTGTCGAGCTTAGTTTTTAGGACTGTCCAATAATAACATGACTTTGTTTAAACGTCTTGAAATCATTTCCACTGTAGAGGCCAAAGAGAACCTATTCGGAACTGCTTTTGTGACTGTATTGTATGGTTTCACTCTTACACTAGGTTTCCTCTTTTAAGATATTTTGTTTGTCAAATTGGCATTCAAAACAAGTTGTTAGAGTAAATAAGGCGTGGCAAAGTAAAATTCGTTGTGGTGGGTCAACAGATGGTATGAGTCACTAACTTTGTACCGTTGCGATGAATTCTGAAAGCAATGCCTGCTTTCTGGGGTTTCGATAGTGTTGTAGCGTTTGGCTTTCAATGTTTAAGTTTGCTATGCTTAATGATTTGCTATCAGAACGCGTGTCACTTCCCACGATTTTTTTCTAAATGCATTTTGTGATTTGTTTACTTAGACTGAACCGGATCATAAGATTTTATTTTGTTAGCAGACCGAATACAGGTATTTTTCTCCTATTAGATGTTGCTGTTTGTTAAGTAGGCACAAATAAGCATACAAGCATCTAGTGATATCGAGAAAAGGTATGCATCTGAATCATTAGCTGGAGTGCCAACTACGTTTGTTATTTATTATGCTTATTGACCTTATTGGTAGCATTACAGCACATGATTTCTATAACATTAAGTTTTACATCAATTGCACGGAGCTATTTTTCGATGCCACTTGACAGGGTTTCATTTTAAAATATTATAGAATCAATGGCTTCGGATCTGGGGCTTTTTGAATTGCTAGACTTGGTGAATGATTATGCTAGTCTTCCGCCAGTTTCGGAGATATCAAAAAAATCTCCCAGCTTTTATTATGAGAAGGCGAAAGCGCTAAAGAAGTACTGCACGCCGGAATTCCTCAACAACCCAGAGGCTAACGCCTATGCAAAATTTGGTGATTGGTGCAAATATATTTCTCGTTTCAGGACTTGTACCATTGCTCCTCATCCAAGTGAATTTTTCGGGTAAATTAATTGAAAATATACTCAGTGTGTTGTATCTTATAACCACTAATAAGTGGAGTGCGTACTTGAGTTACTTTTTAATGCACAATTTTGGTAGCATTTTCTGATCATTGTACATGAAATCAAGTTATCTTTTCCAAGTAGAAAGGAACATTGGGCTTAGTAATTATAATGGTTGCGCAGAGTTAGTTTCTACACTTATATGTTACAGTGTAATCGACTTTGTTGAAACATGTAAATTTAATACCTTACCAAACCTCGAGCACAAATGTTTTGTTTCTTTGTTCATTCTGGCTCCCTCAAGTCTTGGAACTCTACAATCGTTGACCAACAGTACTGCCACAACTACTACCCCTCCCACAAGTGCCTTGACACGGGCACCGGGAATTTTAATGATGAGAAATGCTTCCAACGCCATCGGTTGCTACGACGACTACTTCTGTGAGGGCGCATCCAATGGAAGCCTCCTCTTCATAGTCTACGGAGTGGTTTTTAGCCTCCTCTGCTCCGCAGGTCTCCTTCTAAATCTTGCCTGCATGGCGGGTTTTAACAGGGCGACCAATCGCTGTGGCGCTACTCTCTACTTCTCGGTTATAGCCGTTCTCGATTGCCTCTATTTAGGTATCATGTTGGTACTCAGAGCGTCGGTCCATTTGAGTGATGTTGGCTATGCGGGACAGGAGAAGGCCTATGCTGAACGGGCGGCCTACTTTGTTCCTGGTGTTATGCCTCTGTTGACGTTTTGTGAGGTAGCCTCGGTAAGTCTAAATGAACCATCTTTTGTGTTATTTGAGGTGTTGGGTGGAGTTGTATGGAATAGGATGTTCTTTCATTCAAGAAGGTCTATCATAATGATTGCGAGTTGGTTGATAATGCAGCTCAACTTGATTTGAGCTGTTATTACTACTTGTTGCGTAGTTCATTACAAGTTGAATGATGAGGGATGTGAAACACACAGGTGGAGAATTCAAATATGAATTCTATCGTGCTTAAGTGCAGTCTGAAGACAGATATTCATCCGCCTTCATAGGACGATGCTGTCGACTTGATGATCTAGGACCTGTTTGGCATTATAACTTCCAGTTTTCCGAAACCTCATTGGCCAGTTACAAGGGGTGGATTCTGATGGTGCCGAATGGATAAAATACTGAAAGACTAAGGCGTCATGGAGGTGAATTTTTCATCTAATAAGGTAATACTGGACCATAAGTTGCAAACATGAAGCCTTTTAAATACAAGATCTGGATACAGGAACCCAAGCACCCAGCAAACTTTGAATCGGCTGACTATTAGTCAGTCTAAATATTGTAGAAGACACTTATTTCAACCGGTTGGGAATGTTATGTTCTTCTTTAACTAGTTACGTACACGTTCTTTCACAATATCTTCACGTTTTAATAGTTCACTGAGCTTCTCCGCCAGTTGCTCTTAAAAATTGGCCAACTATCAACTGTCAAATTATTAAAATGTCCTTTGAAATTCTGTGCTTATTAAGAGGTACCTTGAAACTTAAATTCACACATTTCTGTGAGAATAACGAGCTAACCTTTTCCATGCAAAGCTTGTGAACTAGTTGAAGTCATTTCTTCTAGACAGTGCTTTGCTGAGAAATGTAATACGAGCCGTTAGCCTCTCAAAATATAAACCGGATTTTTAACTTCTCTTCAGCGTTTTTATCCGATGTATTCGAAACCCCTTAAAACGTGCTAGCTTTCCGTACTGTTTTGACCCCTTGTGTGGAACGTTGCCAACTGAGGAGGCAATTTCTCCGCATCTGCACTTATTTGTCTTAAACTACTTCAACATTTCAAAAATTCTTAGGTCTGGCTGGTGGTTTGTCTGCTGGTGGAGAGATACCTGTACCTCCAGCGCGGATACTTCTCCAAATCCGTCATCTCGCTTCAACGGCACGTTCGTATCATTTCCGTCGTCACGCTTCTTACCTTCTGCTACGTCATTCCACGCTTCTTTGAGTTGAAGAGCCAGAAGAATTCCAACATTCCTGGGGGCTACCGTGTAATCTACACTGAATTCGGCACCTCGAAAGTATATAGGTACGCATTTGTGTGTGCGTTTGGTGGGCTTCAACTCCCCGTTCTTCTACTGTTGTTTCAGGAGCCTCGTGGACTATCTCTTAAATGTTCCTTTGGAAATGTTTCTCCCTTACCTTGCGGTAGGACTGTTGACAAGTCTCGCAATCTCCAAGATGGTCGATCTTGGCTCCTCAAAATGGAAAACTGTCGCAAGCCTTTGTTCACACTCCGCCTATTGTTGTGGTGATGATTTTGCCAACTGCTATCCCATGGTTCGACCCGAACGCAAGCATAGCACCAACCAGGTAGATGTCCTGCCGATGGATTACGTCGATGGTATTTCTAGTCCTCCGCGTTTATCTGCTTTTGAGGAGACATGTGGAACCCAGGTCCATTATTGTGGCATTCCCTTCGAAAAACGTTCTGATTTAATGCCATTCTACTTCCTCGTGCCACCGCCCCGGCAAACTCTGAAGGAGACAGCTAACGTGGTTATCACAGTGTGTCTGGGCTTCCTTCTACTCATAACCAAGATTCCTAAACTCATTCTGGTAGCATTGGAGCTGGAACGCTACGTTGAGATGGACTCCACGTCTACTCGAATGGCTAGTGAGTGCCTCAACATTGCATTCATTGTGTTGAAGCCGCCAATTTATCTCCTACTTGGTGTGCATTTCCGACATACACTGACGGGTCTGTGCTGCTGCGCATGCCTCTACGCGCCTGTGATTAGTGGGGGCACTCATGAGGAACAGAATGAAGAGGATGGTGATAATGATGAAGACTGTGGTGGAGGAGGAGTGGATGACCCTCCAAAGACGTCTCCCGGTGGACAAGGTGAAGATCTGCCCACTGTGGCAGAGAAGGGTGGATCAGTTAGCAAATGAGGAGTTGACACCCAGCTTGGCATGTTGTCTCTTCCTATGTTTTTCATTAATGTGTACGTGTGTTTGCATGTTTACGTAAACGTCACGCATGGGAACCACTGAGTCGCCATTCACTGTTTGTAATGTAGCAGCCAGCGAAAGGCAAAACGTCGTCTGTCTCGCATTCTCATGTATTACCCGATTTCCACTGTGACTCGCAGATAGGCCAGCACGATCTACGGCATCGTTTTGATGGTCTTAAATGGACCAAACATCTCAAAAAAATCTACCGGAGTTAGGCCTAATTTGCCTCTGGAAGGCCTCAGAGCATAGAGTTAGGGGAGGGGGACAGTTACAGGAGTAATGCAAGACTGAAAACGTCTACAGGGTTGTTCGTGTTATGTGGTTTTCATCTTGTTTTGACCGACGTCTTCGATCCGTTGACCATCACAAAGACCTCCATTTCGACGCTTGTGATGCATTCATCACTCCCTTTAAAGCTTGGATTGCAAGGAGCAATTTACTCTGTTCTGCGAGTTGACCGCTTTTCCTTCGATGGAGTCCACAATCGAGAGATAAATTTTCAGATCTACATCATAGTCGCACTTCGTTCCACTTCATTGCATTTTTACGTTAAGTGGTCATCCAAGTCGTTTCTTGCACTTTGCAAGCTCCAGTGGTATGATATTTTCGGCTTGAAACAAGAATTTACATCATGTGAACGGAAATATGTCTTTGTTGTTCGTGAGAGACCAAATACTCTCAGCGTACTCTGCACCGCTCTCACTCTTGAGGACGCTTTGAAGCAGCTCTCTAGTAAGGGTCTGGGAGTGCTGACGTACCGGTAGCGCAGATGGTGTGAGAATAATTGGCAGTGTAGCTGTACTTTGACCACTCAGTAATGAGGTCGAATCCCCCCACTTCAATACAGGAGAAATTGGTTTCTTTAGGCCGTGCACTTGCCAACTCGAATGGCTTTTATAGGCACCCGGAAGCAGTTTTAAATGAAGACGATCGGCAGCTCCCTCCACCTTTTACGGTCTTTCCGCATTCACAGTATAACTGAACGTTAGAAAGTTGGGATTAAAGAAAATAAGGTAAGTATAGACTTTTAGGCCCAGAGGAGCTAACAGCTTGAGGTTATTAGATCGCATTGACTTTAGAATGGCCTATCAAATAGGGAAGTTGAATACATCGTGGCGGCATTTGAAGGCGAAAAGGCACTGGTGCGGGGCCAACACCGTGGCCCACCTTTGCACTGCTACCTTCCGCAATGCAAAGGTTTCTTGAGCGGTTCAAAGAGATGAAAACTAAATTCCGTTTGACCCAAGCTACAATTCTCGCTCCCCGCAACCTCCGTCTTTAATTTTGAATGGTCTTAGCGTGAAGCATTACAATTATTCAACGCCATCTACTGCTGAAGAACTTCGCGACGTGCGGCAACCATTCCGAGAGTGAGCCCATGTACGTCCAAGAAAAAGCACCACCTTCCCAGTTGACGATTTTGCGCTAAGTTGTCAGGGATATACATTTGAACACCTGCCCTTGTCAGTAGCCTAATTCTCCACATGATGCACACTACTGGACTTGGCGTAATTATGGCGCAGGTCATGGGTAGGTCCATAACTCACCTTCAACTCCACCAGTCTCTTGCAAATCACGCCTAGGCTCCATCATCCTTAATGATTGCAGCTGTGCCCAGAGCGTCCATCCAGCATATGGTGGAACACTGTCAAATCATCCATTCTCATAGAACAGTAGTAAAGCCCAAGGTCTTAGACAAACGAACCACAGGGGACAAACAGCTGCTCCTCTCCCAGCTTCGCTGGTTCTGAGTAAACCGTTCATGTACCAACGCCCTTAAGTTGCCGTGAAAGGCGTATACAAAGTGGGACCCCACTACCTCTGTTGCGAAGGCCGCGGATTGCAAAATTAGGTGTGATGGATTTCTGGAAGTTCTGTCAGACGTCAGGCTGAGAAAACTACAGTTTTCAAAAGAATGTTTTGGTAAAAAAGGCATCGGTGAAAAGTTCTAGGCCAGCTTATAACAGCTTGGATTGACAATATAAATACGACTCCTTTCTAACAAGGTGTTGATCACTTTTCCCAGCGCTTGGTGGGTCATGCACCTGTAGGGACGTTGAGGATTCTCAGATGAACAAAATGATCGCAGTTTTTCCAGGATAACATTGAAGGGAACGCCTCTTTCATGGTCTACGGCAGAAAACGTATTTGACAGTGAAAAATAGAACGCAGAGAGACAAGGATACCATATGCAACCAAAAATATCGTTTTCGACCAGAAAAGGAAGAATTCTACATACCTCTCTGTTCCATGGAAATGATCTGACAAACCTGCTTCGTCAGACTCCTGTTTTTGAGCGTGTACTGAAATTTGAAAGACGAGGTGGAGGCGAATCTGACTTAAAAGGACAGGAGTGGGAGGAGGACTCACGTGATAGGCGGACATCCCGCCAATGGGATCGGCAGAACGAAAGATACTTCCCTCCCTCAGAAACTGCTCTATTATGGTTTGCACACGACGTTTCAGTTCAACTGATTGCGAGGACTTTTTGGTGTTCAATTCCTTTCTTTCAGGGATATTTTCCCAATCTGGTCCACACTGTTTCACAAAAGGCGAAGTTAGAGATAAATTAATAAGTATTCAATTTACCCAACAGGTGAAGTGGTAATGATTTGAAGCTGCATAACCAACTTCACCGGATTAGGTGCTAAAATAGTTCCCTTCATTAAGCCCGAGAAATCACAAAAACATATTCAACCATTGCACCACTGGAAAAGTCCAAGATCGGTTACTTCTAAGGTGAAGCAGTATGAAGATAGACGCTACTTACATATAACTCATCTTCCATAGCTGCAATTTCAACCTCAATTTGATGCGTCACCTCGGTATTCAATTGGAGATCCAGTGCTGTGAACAGGAATAACCCATCGTTCTCAATCACAGACTGAATCCGCCGGATCAGACCTCTGTCCATGGTCTTCTAGAGAGGACAAAGAGAATGAGAGGGTGAGCAAAGATAAGGGAGAAATTTACTTGCAGGTCCGCTTTGAGGTGATCCAATACCTCCGTCGCGTTGTAGGGGAGACTGTAGACTTGAGACTTGAGCTGGTGTGCTTGCAAAAGGCTGTCAAGCAGTTCTTGTGGATTTGCAATCACGCCTAACGCAGGAGGGTGGGTATGGGAGTTCGCAGCGAAACTTACGACAGTAGTTGGCAGAGATATTGATAGCCTCACGGAAAAGCTGCAAGCGGCCACGGAGATGGACAGCATCACCGATGCTAAGGTTTGACGTGACTTTACCGACGGGTTGGACAACGGGTATGGAACGAATAGCCAACTGGAGAAGTTTTTGGCCCAATGCAACACTTTCAGCAGAATGTTGTTTGGACAACAGACCTGACAAGTGCGGAGAAACGCGTTTTCGCCAAATCGTACAGCTCAATAGACCTGTGCCGTCGTCAACTGTTAAAAAGGGAAGAAATAAATGGCTTATCCTCTCCTTACCAACTCTAACATTCCGGAAAGAAATTGTGTAAAAATTGCACACTACAAAGTCAGTCAGACAAGGCCAAACCTTGATACACTCGTTATTACACGTTTGTAACGTCCAACAGGGTGGTAAAATGACAAGTCCGCATGGAAAAAAAGTGGAACATCCCAACCGGTAGAGCAGGCTGTTTTGCAAAAATTGTCACCAAAAGTTAAAATGTGCCCCGGAAAATTAGTCTAAATTAGTTGAAATAGTCAGAAAAATGGAGCCCCGGCATAACTATTCCCTCCAATTCCCAAGGCCTAGCATCAGCGTGGCAGATATAACACCTCAAGAACGAAGTGTTAACCTTCACAACCGAGAGAAATTGGAAATAGGAAACAATAGTCCGTAGGGGCAACTCTATTTTGTGAAAGAATGTCAGAATCTCAAAAACAAGCAGCGTGAAAAACAGTATTTTAGATGGAGGGCCGTTCTGACGGACGTAAGAGCGGGCTTCCTGAGGAAAATACAAATTAGGTGATACCAAAATGCGAAAATATTGGGCTTTAATTTGACAAGAGAAACCGTATGCTACTGTTCAAATAGCTCTATAAAACATGATTGGTGGATACAACAGATGAAATCAAGCAAGTGTGGGAAGTAATCCATTATTTATAGCTGGATTACTTATAGAGAACAGTAAAAAAATACCTTGATGGATTACCTTCAAAAACATGAAAGGTTAAAAAACCTGCCCAAAATTCTACGATTAGCTAGAAGCAAAGCAGATAGAAATTAACAAATTACCACAACAATTACATCAGTCTTTCACCAACTAGAGCAACATAGTTAGTCAAATATAGTTTTACCTGACTTCATTTTAAAATAATTGTTTGAATAAATTAGGAATCTTACGTAGAAACTAAGCCGAGTAAAGAACCTACCTTGTGCAAGATAGTAGTTTTGGCGAACATCGATTTGACGAATAACGCCACAGACATCCACGTAAGAAACCCATCTCGAACCAAAACGAAATAACCCTAGAGACCAAAGAGATAATTGCGATTCACTATACTCTCATATAAAAACATAATAGATAAAAAACAACTGCTGCTTACAAGCGTAATACTTTTTGATAAAAGAAGCGAAAAGTAAGAAAGAAATTGGCGCGGAGTAGTAGCGATTTGGTGTCAAACAAATTTCCATCGTAGGAAAATATGCACTTTCAGAAACCCACCATTGGATATAGTAGACGGTGACAGCTTTAAGATATCACCGATAAGCATTCGGAAATTAAGCTTCGTCAGAGGATCCAAGATCACAGGGCATCGTTCCGACGGAATTTCCAGTACCGTACCGTTTATCCACTGACTGTCATCTGTCAACCCACCCATTTAAAGACACACGAATGCAACCCCCGACTGAAAAAAAGATAATATAAAAAGAAACGCATAAAAGTTCCCAGACAACCACTACTACGGCGCGAAATCAACAGGTGAGTGGATAAAACATCGAAAACAGGTACCTACGAAGAGGATACAGACAAGTGCGAATAACGCAAGAGAAGAACTAAAGTGTGTACACACCGTCTAAACTACAGTTATATAAGTCCTTCAAAGAAACTTATACGAATGACTACGTACCGAAGTGCAGATAATACTTTCCAAAGCAGAGGCTAAACAATAAAAAAGGAAGCAAGAGAGAACGTATGCGACATTTGAGATATATAAGGTTGCGAAAGCGCACGAAACTTCCTGCTATGCACATTAACAAACAAGAATTAGCACAAATAAGAAGTAGCACCGTCCTTCAAAAGAAACAATCAAATGACGCGCAATATAGCAACGTCGGGGGTTATCAAATTATTTCCTCACGAAACAATTAAACTACCACTGAGAGAAAAAACTCCTTATTATGCAAGGCCAAACTTTTGTTCGATATTGTAAATGCTACTTAAGACTAAATACCTCCTTAAAAGGACAAAACAAGGTTGTTGGTGAGCAAATCAATGTAGTTTCCGCAACTTAGACTTTATTTAGGTGAAAGTTTGCTTGACAGCTTTTAGAATACCAGGATCACATGTGATATTTAATTGCGAATCCAAAACTGTCGTTTTGTTAAAAGCCGTTTTCTAAGGTACTGGCCGATCGGATGGAGAACTGCTGCTGGTGAGATCCAAGCTTAATCCTTATCCTTCAGCCTCCTAAATAGCGTGTAAACTAGCAAATCAGTTTCTCCCTGTGTACTAGCTTGAATGGTTTGAGTACACATAGATTTCTTTTATACTGTTATTTGGGATCAATTTTTTTGGTGCTATTCCTTTTGATGTAAGCTGTTGACCACAAGTTTAGCATAAATACTGGGCACACAATTTAGGAATGAAGGGGTAAAACAGTTTTGGTTTCAACTTCCATATTATTGAGCATACAGTCAAAATCTAGAATTGGGTTTTTTAGAAAACAAAGCTTAATGACCGCAAGCAAAGCTTTTGTAGCATTTTTTAATTTGCCTTTTTTTGTAACTGCAAACTCATCTGGGCTTATTTCTGATTCGACTGTTGTTTGTTTAACTTGGCGGTGAGGTCGATTTTATGATCTCGGTTCTGTCGTTTTCTGGTCGAGGTTGGTTCTCTTAAGCGGTCAAGCTGTTGGTTTCGCGTCTAATGCTCAGTTACACTTTCAAAAATCCCAATACATCTAGTCGAATCACTCTGCTTTGTGAAAGAATTTGAATTTGTTGTAGAATATGCACCCATCATGAATGCATTAACACCTGAACCATCAGAGACGGATTCCGACTGCGAGTACAAATATGTCTTTCCACTTCGGCACGAAGTATCCCCCCGTGATTACTTGAAATTTATCCTCACTGTCTGGTATTGTCCTGAAACCAGTGCTGCCATTGCCGGTACGTTCCTTTACGGCCGATTTTTATTACTAGACCTCATGGCCAATTCCTATGGCGAAGCACAGCTCAAAGAGCTTCTAGCTAGTCCAATGGAAGTTCTTCTCTTCAAGTCCCGAAAGTTCTTTCTTGAACTTGACATTTAAACCTCAAAGTCCCTTTACATTGGTTTCTACTGCTATCCAAAAAAAATCCTAAACCATCTACTTAAACCTCCGTACCTGCAGGCAGCGCCTTCCAAAAGTGCCTCCCTGGGCGCTACCAATAATCCAAATGTTACGTTTAGGTAACTCAGCCTTTGTACATTAACACTACTGTACTCTGGAATTGTCTGTTTATTCTTTACTTTCAGAATGGAACGGTATGTTTTTTGTGCGCCCTGACTCCTATGTATGTGATATCCGTGAATTTGTAATGAGCTGTACCATCCCACAGTTCCTTGGTTTTCTGCAGATATAAGATGTTAGTATCAAAGCTTTGACTTGACTTTTTTATTACTGATCTACCCTGAATAACCTCCATTTCGTTTATCGGTGAATCGCAATTTCGTTACATCTTTGTGGGGTAAATTTCATTGTCTGCGCCTCGGCATGCGTGTGTGTGTGTTTAGGGCTTTTTAACTAATTTTTATGCACATTCTTCGTCTTCTTTCAATTGCTTTACTTTGCTGTGTGTATATGCGTGTCGTGATACGACACTTAAGTTTTCTTCCCATCATAGTATAGCGGCTTTGGCTTCTGTTTCTTGGCTTCCATTTAATGGTGCAATTGTGTTTTATCGTGTGATTTCTGCTTTTTA